GGGGGGGAACAGCGTGCTTTTTTTCTTTTTCCGGGTGGGACTTACTCGTAAGGAGTTGAGACTGGTCGGCCACGAGCTGCCTTGAACTCCCATGGAGTGATTGGGCCTCTTAGGATCATGTCAGCATCAAGAATCACTATGTACTCTGCATCAACGTTAGTGTGATGAAGCCAATGAACAACCGCCGCTGGTTTGTTAATTGCTGGGTACCTGATGATGCACTCAAACCACAGAGAAAACGAATTACAGATTTTGATGCTTGACTGGAATAAACGGAAACAACCCACATCTAATATGAAAATGAACCGTAACTGGATGGGCAATATATTTACCAATCGCCAGTAAGAGGATGTCGGCTCATCGAAGGGACATAATGTGTCGGGGCCAAGTCGTGACCTTTGTAATTTTTAAGATCTTCATCTGTGCAACTCAGAAGCCGAGTGATATTTCCAGGCTGACCGCTCAACCGAAAACTGTGCATGAAGCCAACGGTTTGCCAGTCAAAATAAGGAGTACACTCTGTAGAAAACACAGTGTGGATCTTTGGGTAGGGTTCCTTAAATTCATCAACAGGTGGTTCATGTTCGTCTGCCATTATATGTACACTCCCTGGTGCAAGGAGTTTTGGTTTTGTTGACTCTGCAAAAGTGTTGCTTTTTAGAAAGCTCAAGTATTTTGACCACTTTGGCTTTGGGCACCCGCTCGCCCCATGATGCAGTAAGAGACCCTCGTTCAATGTGTTTATGCATTCCAGACTCAAAAATAGACCTCTTCTTTTGCGTTGATCATGTTCCATCACCTTCACCTATGTAACAGATATGAAGCAAAAACTCAGTAACCACCCATACGGATATCCTACATACCAGATTACCGGGTTTCCATGAAATGCTTCCGAGTTAAAAGCAGTATACGGAACATAAAGTACTGAAATTGTGTTCACTGGATAGACTCTTTGATGATGCTATTAACATGGAATTGGAAAACACCTAGCAAAATTAATTTTGCTGTCTCAGTATAAGGGTTTTAGCAATATCTATCCTAAGTATTGACTGGTTTCCATGTTACCTCTCGTGGATACAGAGGCTCCGGGAACAGCCGGTTGCAGTCATAAACGATATCATCTTCATGGTGATCCAGTTTGGTGAAAGACCAGTTCCCAACTGAAAAGGGCAATCCGTAGTGCAGGAGAAGAGGCTCGACCCCATCTCGTGGAATATAACCTGGGTATATCATCAAGTCGTCGTTAATCTTGTGCTGAAGTCCAGCCTGTGGAGAAAACAAATCACACAATGTTACTTGGAAATCAAACATACAGAGAGTCGGATACAAGTTGAGTAAGAACAAAGGGTTGACATACTTCTGCAGCACCGAATGAGTAACCATACATCTCACTGATCCAACCTTTCCCATAAACATCTCCAGTTATGTTGGTGGCCCAGTGAGCTCTATCCTCTCGAACTTCTTCTGTCTTTGATAGCCACAGCGGTGCCAAGACCCGTAGATCATCGATGTGCATTGCTAAAAGCCCACCGACCTTGTCACAGAGTTCCGAATGTTTGGTGTGCAACCGTGCAAGAATATTATCACAACCCACCAAGTAGCTGTTCATAAGTGTGTCAGCGGGGAAACAGGGTTCTCAATCTATCTCTAACCATAGAATGGATCAAAACAAAAAGGTGGATACCCATAATAAGCTGCAAAAGGTCTCCCTTTCTCGGCACCAAGTTCCCATGGGATGATTGGACCACGGATGATCATGTCAGCATCAAGAATGAGGACCCAGTCAACGTTCTTGGCCTCTTCACTGTGCTGAAGCCAGTGAAGAACTCCAGCTGGTTTGTTTATAGCAGGGTACCTACATTTGGGAGGATGTACAACTTCCTGTTACTTGTTCCTAAGAGACTTCACATATACTGACCTTCTCCAGAGTAACACATGTCAATAACCAGACATCCTATGATGATTATAATGGTAAAATGGCTTTGCAAATGCAAGCAACATGAAAATTCAAGCATTCAGCGGTGCAATCTGTACATTAACCCTAAAAGCTACATGTATTTGCTTTCCCTCAATGCCACCACCAAAACAAGTTACAATTTCTTTCTTGTATTACAAGATTGGAAGACACACATGGGCAGCTTCCTGTCAATCTGACAAAATTTCTGCTACCTCTAGCCTTGTCCATTACTGAATGTTAAATAGGCCATATTGGCATGGAGAATTCTACCAAATCTAGATAATCTTCTAACACCGAACCACATAATATTTCACAAAAATGATCAGATATAGAACCCAATTTAACATTTGCAGCTCGATGTGTGGTGACAACCAAACATTAAAATCAGAAGTCAATAACAACATTGCCAATCTAATCAGAAAACCAGCACTAAACACAAAGCTAGTTAGTTTTATTACAGAGCAAGTATCAAAGCAAGCAACGTTATATATGAAGCAACTCAACAGGCTCAAAACCCAATGCATGTAAAAATGAGACAGATTTCAACAACCTCAAACAAACAATGTGGTTCTGCCAGTTTTCAACAACAGACAAAGGAAGCAAGAAATCTCGAATGCAAGAGGAATGTACCAGTCGCCGGTCTTAGGATGCCTGCTCATGGAGGGAACTTCGAAGGTGGGAGCGAGATTCATGCCTCTGTAGTTCTTCTTCTCCTCGTCCGTACAGCTCAGCAACCGGGTAATGGGGCCGGGTTGTCGGGCCTTCTTGAAACTGTGCATCAGACCCACCGTCTGCCAATCGAAATAGTTCTGACATTCGACCGAGAACAGCGTGTGGATCCGATACGGCGCTCTCTGAGCCGTTTCATCCGCCAAGCAACCCACCATCGCCGCTGCTGCAATTATTGCCAACCATATCTCAGGTCGACCCACGAATCTCGCCATGGTTGGGGCTCGATTTCAGAGGTCAGTTCTAAGTGGGTAACCCTAGAAACCCCTAAATTTCCATTCTTTTTCCCGATCCAGGAAGCCCAGGAAAAAGTCAATGAATCGACAAGTGGATGATTGATCCATTCGTCGCCATCCATAAAACGATGGTATGATTAGGTAGTAGTGACCACGAAGTGCAAATAATTGTACTAAAAAATTCGAGTTCTTGGAATAATTTGATTGAAAAATCAAAGATTCTGTGATGGTTGGAGCTTTGGGGATTGACTATCTGTTTCTCGGGAGAGAGGCGTCGAAGGGTGACCATGGCAGCCGACAAACACGTGTATGCTTTCCACTTACATGTGTCCAAAAAGGCGTAAATAAACGTTACGTAGATGAGTACTACTCCTACGTGTCGTCTGTTCAAGGGCTGAAGAACCAACAATTATACTGAGATGTACGTATAGTAATTCCAGCACAAAGGAAAACACATGGGCTTTTCAATCATTGGGTCGAAGCCAAGTTAATTTCGTACAGTATCCAAAGTGGCGTGAGAAAACACAGCACAGCATCATCATGTGCTTTGATTAAAAAGAAACAAGAAAATTATGTTCTAATGTTGATATATTCTCAACGGATTAAGTTAATACAATAATAGATAATCTAACGGTCTAACCCCGTGATCTTGTGAACCCTTTCATTTTCTACCAAAACAACAGCAAACATCGCGTTTAGAGCTCCCTGATTTATTACGTACAACTTAATTAAAAAATTAAAAAATTGACAATGGTGCAAAAATCTCAATCACTTCCTATCTTACATACCAAACAAGATAATAACTCAAAACATGGGCGCTCACCTTTTTTTATTATTAACAAATCAGTAAGAGAACTCGTGACCACGAAGTGAGATGTATTTCTTCACCCAGATGGCAATGTCTTCAGCACAAGCCTGAGCCTGAGGCGTCTTGAGGAGCATATCAAGTGTAGCAAACTCATGAACCGCATCTTTGTAGTCCAAAACTGGAGAATCAACGTTCACCTTCCTCAGCTCCTCGGAATAAGCGATGGCTCGGTCTCTCATCCAGTCATGCTCCGCCACAACTGTGAGAGTAGGCGGCATGAGCTTGAGGGGTGGTCCACTTCGTCCGGGTTCGAGCGGGTTGGCTGCCGGGTGATCCAAGTCGAATTCCTTCTCTGACAAGAAGAGTTTCCAGGCGACAAGGCTGATGGACTTGTCGTAGAAGTAAGAGTTTGCCAACTTTATCTCAGACTGTGTCGGGACGCTTCCCATGAAAAATGGGTACATTAAAACTTGAGCCACAACCTTCACAGGCTCCATAAGCTTCCCAGCTTCGACTGCTTTCCGAGCCACATAGTCTGCTATGTTCCCCCCACAGCTCACCCCTAGTAGCACACATCTGTTTCATATAAGTTCAGCAACAAGTAAGTGCTACATTCTAATTCCTCTAAGTGGCCGAAATTGATCCACTTGGCCTAGATCATCAAACTTCACCGCAACAAACATTAACATAACCAAAACAATGATACTCAGATGTCCCACAATCTGTTTTTGATTGGAAGAAAAAGAAGAAAATCCATAATCAGGGTAACAAGTGTTGTCGTCTAATTCTAAGTGTGTCTGACTCAAGAGTTCTTCAGTACCCTGAGCACTACTTTATGCCCAAAGCCTCATGAATCAGTTCATCATTTATCCGGAGAAAACTATGAACACCATTAAAAGCAATGGCATTCAAATACTGAAACACCTATCAAGAAAACGTCCGATTTCATCTTAATCGGCTAGTTCAGAAACAATGCATTACAAATCATCAGTATTCTTCATATCACATAAAGAAAACATCAGTCCTGAAATTGCAGAAAACGGCACTAGAACGTTGCTGGAAAAATGACCTGAAGTGATGCATCATGAAGGAAACAAGATTCTTTTTTGTTAAAAGCTGTGCGCGTATACACAAATAATATACCTAGAAGGATCGCCATGAGCCGCAAGCCAAGGTTCAACCATGGAAGCTCCAAAGGGATCAACTATGTGGCGCTGAAAGTCATGTTTCTTGAACTCAACGCCATTGGCACGCTGATTGCCTACAGACTTGCAGCATTCTGCCAAATTAGCCTGTTTCTTAAGCCAATGCAGCACCTTTATCCCGTCTTCGAACGCAGCCGGGTACCTATTCTCCGGTGCAAGCCTGTATCCGACAGCCAAGACGATGACGTCACATAGCTTGGCGATTCTCCGGCAGAAGAAATCATTGCTCGCCGAATCACAGCTTCCGCTGACCCATCCTCCGCCGTGAAACTGTAACATCACCGGAAGTTTCCGACAACTCCCCTTAGGAGATGGCGAATATCCTCTGTACGCTTCTACAGTGTCGTTTCTGAAACCATATCCGTTCCTTCTAGATTCTTCCCCCGTTGGCGCCGGAGAATTTCGAATGGGAGGGCCATTACTGTGTCTCCGATCGGATCTGGGTTGACGGTGATTGTCCCTGTGGCGTAGATTACTGTGATCAGGTTCAGGCGGAGAAAGAGCAAATTCGGGTAGAAAGATACGAACACATAGAGACGTCAATGGATCGATGTGGATGTCCTTCGTGGCAACACCGTCCGTGAACGACGGATTCGCGGCGGCGACCGATTCGTCGGGCCGTGTCGAGATCCCGAATAGATCCGACGAACCGTCAGCCGAAACCGAGACCAGATTCTGGAAGCGGTGTTTCAAAAGTAGCTTGAAGAACACGCTATAAAGCTTCACGGCTACGCTTGGCATTTCCCTCCCGAAAAAATCGAACTTTTCCCCCGCAAGCTTCTCGCTTCTCTTCTTCCTTTTTGCCGAGATCGATATATTGATTTCCGAAAACTAATCCGATGTGGGAGATCACATCTATGGCCGTGGCGCTAGGGTTTCCGCAGCTTGGAAATCCTCGATTCCGGCGATTTCCGGAGGAAACAGATGGGTACAGCTGCAGATTCTTCCTTTCGAGATGGTTGGAATCGAGTATCAATAAGAGGTTAGATGAAACAAACATGAAATTGATCAAGCCGAGGTGTGATTTCTGTACTATTTGGAATCTGCAAAGGAGAAGAGGATGAAGACGAAGAAGGGCTAAAACTAAGGGGGGGGGGGAGAGGAGACGAATGTGGGCGGTGTCTCGGGGAGACAATTATCCTCTGCGACGCGGTTTTCATAAATCGAGAGTCGTGCCCAATTGTACGCAAGAGACGCGCTTTTCGAATGAGATTCCAACTAATAATACAATTCAAATAAAAAATATTTTGTACAATTTTAACAAAGGCGGATTAATGATGATTGTTGAAGCCTGAGCAGACAAAGGGAACGTTTGATTGAAGTAATAATATAGCATCCAAGAAATGTCGAAACTATATACATGTTGATGTTTCTAATATCGATCTCGATTGCCAATAAACATAATCACAAATATACCGGATGGTTTTCCAGAAGATGTAAGCATTTAAAAGTTCAGTTTTTGAGGGTCTGTCCTGGTCAAGGTCAAGCACGGTAAACTTGAATCAAACTAGAGTTTGGATATTTTCAAAGCTTTGATTTTGAATGAAGGAAGATGAAGTGTTTGACCATTATTCTTGTATGGAGTTTGTAAAACTTTAATTTCAGTATTACGTCGTGTTTGTTTATTCAATTTTTTTTTTTTTTTTTGGTAAAGAATGTTTATTCAATTGTTGTTGTCACGCGACCAATTCTTTTCTCACAAGGACAAAAAGAAACAAAAGAACAAATGTGGAATCACAAGCAGAAAATAAGGGTTACACAAGAGAGATCTCTTGATTAAGAGTAGAAGTGATAGTCTTTGGCTTTGAGAATAATGGAACGCAACCCTCCAATGGCAGATACAAACATCAACACCACCCCCAGCGTTATGCACATCTGTCACCATCCGTTAGCTTAGTTAACTAGATAACGCCATGAAACATTAATTTACCAATGGAAGTGGGTGTGACTCACCCAATTGCACCACCACGACAAGGACAACCTCGCCGGTCTACGCATCAACAGCCACATTATGCATGGGAGCTGGACAACATCATGGATGTCTTCTCTTTCAGACCTCGTTAATAATAAAATCATGCGCATAATTCACATTTCACCATAAAACAAATAATCGAGCTTACAAAATACGTCGTCGGGGCAAAGGCAAACCCTCCGAAGAACGCGAGAAGGCTGCCGAAGAATGGTATTGTTATGGCGATGAACATTGTAACCCCTGCAATACATATTCGTTCATTATGGTCCGTTTTATTTGTTTTTAATTACAGTTTAATTACACACTTACCCACGTATAGATTGCGAGTGATGAAACGCAGCGTTCTTGAGGGATTGAAATATAGCCTCCTAACCAAGAGTGACTCCATCATATCGAACACCGGCATCGCATATATCTGCCAGAAAATCAAAGGGCCCTATTATTATTATTATTATTATTTCGTTTTTAATTCGTTCATCGCGATTATTGTATAATTAATGGACGAATCAATCAATTAAATCACTGCCTGGTAGCTGCCGATGACGTGAACGACGACGAACAAGTTGGCCAGAGCGATGAGCCAGGCGGGTTTCTCCAGAGTGATGAGGATGTTGTCATCGACGGTGTTTCCGAACATCCAGTACCCGACGAGAGCCACCGGAAAATAGCACAGAGCCACCACTGCGTAAGCCACCAGCACTCCTCTCCACATCGGCCCCTTTGACGGCTTCTCCGGCGTCGACGGGATCGTCGCCTGAATCTCAAGCACCACGTTGTGCCCTGCGTATGCAAATGCCACGTCGCCCATCGCACTGAAGAAGTTGAACACTGTTCCCGCCGTGGTTTTTGATTTGTAACCGTACTCCACGTTTCCTTTAACTCCTTTCGCCGCTGATGCCGTCCATGCGATTGTTGAGTAGCTGCATATCATCATTTTGATAAACCTAACTTATTCAACACGTAACCGTAGCTAGTGCACATTTATTACAACAATGTGCCTTACCTGAGTGACATAACGGCGGCGGCCAAGGAGACGCCGGAGATGGAGTTGAGATTGGGGAGATGTGAGAGAACAAAATGAACGGAAGCAAACATCATTATGAAATAAGTTAATTTGATGTTTTTGCATCCCTGGCAGACTAGGTTGTGGAATTTCTCCAAGGATTTGCCACCGGTGACCATATATACGATGCATACTCCCACTTCCACCACTAGCTGCTGAGGAACCACGATGTACAGCCCGAGTCTTTCACCGAACGCATGTTGGCCAAGTTCGTGGTACCTGTCAAATCTCTTGCCCGGAACCATCTCATGCATCTCCACCATTTGCCACAATGTGTACAACGTGATTATCCATGACAATACCAGAACTACCACCCCGGGCCCCCTGCCAAATTATTCCAAAATAAAAAAAGAGCGGAGGAAATTGACCGTGAGAGGAGGGGGGGAAGTGGAGGGACCATCCGAGTTGGGCCATGGCATAGGGGAGGCTGAGAACGCCGGCGCCGACCATGGCAGTGACGTTGTGAAAGGCGGAGTACCACCATTTCGCGTTTCTCGAACCTGTGATCGGCAGCCACTCTTCTATCTCCTTCTCTCTCTCCGTCTTTTCTCCCTTCATCCATTCCGCCAGCCACTCTTCTATCTCCTTCTCTCTCTCCGTCTTTTCTCCCTTCATCCATATTTATCATGTGAGTACTATGCATGTTTTGTGTGTTTGCGTGTATATATATGTATACACACACGTAAGAATACGAGGTACTGACTTGCCGATGGTAAGGGTTTTCGATTCGCGATAGAGCCTCAGCCTCCATGGCAGATATCAATAATTGATGAAGATGACGATGAAGAGCGACAAGCTTAGTTAGTTGTGTGCCAAAATGTGTCCCCTCTTTGGAAAATAAATAAATATCACCTGTCCGACACATTAGCTTAGTTGGCTACAACCTTACACTAACATATTTATTATATTTATTGCCAACTTAAAATTTATATTCACTACTTCAAATGTTTTTTTTTTTGGGGGAAAAACTTATTTTTCTTTTTCTTTCTTAACGAATATGGGTGTGATCCACACGTCTATAACTTGAAGTCACAATTGACTTGAGGAACATCTTGAATTGTGATTCTTTTTGCATCGTTAGGGTGAATTGTAAAGATTTCCCCATATTTATTGGGCTCACGTATCCCGTTTTATTTGCTTAAGGTTCGATCCGAGACTGTGATAGGGTTCAATCTCTAAGGCCCATAAATTAAACCATAAGCCCATGTATAAATACAGATTTCCACCGCCTTCACTTTTACATCTTCCAAAGGGTTCAAATTCTGAAATACGTGGGGGCGAGGCGAGGTCCCACGGGGTCGTGCGCGTTCAGAGATCGTCGATCGCCGGTCTCGGCGGTGGAGTATAAACAATGCAAGGAGATCAAAATGGATTCCGCCTTGTGCCTTTGAATTACTTATGATCAAGCAGAGAACGATGTCACGGTCTCAATTTTATTTTCAGGTGCTTCGTGTCTCGCCTTTTCGTTCATTTCGTTAATTTATAGGTTTACATTGGTTGAATTTCTAAATCTCTCTGAAATCTAGGTTGTTTGATTCGATTTCTTGGTTTTTTCGCACTTTATCGGGAAAATCTTTCGCTGATTTTCTCAACGCGATTTTCGTCGTGTTTTTTGGAGGATTTATCGGTAATTTTTTCCTTCTGTTTTTGCTTGTTCGATTTCTTTTAATCTTCTACTTAAGATGTTATCTGTTACTTGAAGTTAGAAGAAGGATTTCTCTTCTTCTACAATTGAAGTTAGAAGAAGTATAATTTTAATATGTTGTTTTCCTAGGTTTTCATGCCAGCGCAATTGATGTAAACTCTAGGGTTTAATTTTTTTTAATATATGAAATTTTTGTCCGATATAGACGATAACATTGAGTATTTGACTAAATTTTCACGTCTCTAGCATTGTCTGGATATATAGATGCTATCTGTTACATGAAACCGCAATAGCTGGTTCATCTAACTCAAAATCAATTGACAATGGAGGAGTCTGAACCTAATCTTGTGCAGGTGCAGCACCCGCACCAGCTGCCTTGACCCTGAGGCATCGATGTACGTCATTATGCGGATCGGATACTAATGAAGAGAATGAGGAAACAAAGGCATATAAGAAACTCTTTGTATGGAAGTTTCTTGATTCGTGAGGTATGACACTGATTTTATTCCTCGTATAAATGTAGAAGAGAATGAAGAAACACAGGCATGAAATCTCTCGGTAAACAGGAAAGATGCTAATAAAGGCGAGTGAATAGCCACATTTGTAAGACACTCCTTCCTTCATAGCTTGACCTTGAAATCAGCACTGGACAACCAAAAATTAAACATAGTTGTGGTGATGCATACAGAACTAAGATTGTATGTTGCACATATTTGTGTATGGGTCGACAGGGGTAATATGTGATAATGAGTGAAACAACGGTGAAAAGTTATTCCAAGTTATGCATTAACGCTTGTTTATATTATCTCAATGAGATATGATTTGTAAATCTATCAGAACAAATAAAATTTAGATGGACATCTAATATTATCAAATGTTGCATGCATTACATGTGTTCTTTCTTGTGCTCTGTAAACAAATAGTTTCCTCTAATACTTGTCGCAAACTCATTCATGTGCAAGGCATACGTGAAGATAGTAAGATACATGTTCCAATAAATGGAATCTTTTTGTTTTGAGATAATCTTTTTTTTTTTTGGGTACAGGTTTTGAGAGAGTCACTGGTCTTTGTCGTTCTGCATCTGGAGGGGTAGGGGTTTTGAGATAATCTTTTTTTTTTGGGTACAGGTTTTGAGAGAGTCACTGGTCTTTGTCGTTCTGCATCTGGAGGGGTAGGGGTTTTGAGATAATCTTTTTTTTTTGGGTACAGGTTTTGAGAGAGTCACTGGTCTTTGTCGTTCTGCATCTGGAGGGGTAGAGGGGGTGCTGTCATAAGTCATATCTTGGGAAGGCAAGTGTGTGTGTGCTTTTTAAAAAAGATGATGAAACTACTACACATTAGGTGAGTCTTTTAGCATTATTTAACCGTTTTCCCATCCCACCATCTGATTAATGTAGTCTTTGGTTCAAGCGAATATCTATAACCGTAGAACTTTCTTCATTCTCTGTGTTGAAGATTGTTGATATGCAAAGTCAAGATCTGTTGTATCTGTCAAGAGAAATTGGTCTAGCTCGGATAATCTTGCTAGTTGAGGATTATATGGTTGGAAGGTAATGAGCTCTGTCCAGTTTGATGATCTTGTGTTTGCTTGAATACTTGGTGTTTTACATTTGATTTAAAAAAAGATGACTTAAGTAGAAAATAGGGCCAAACGACGGTTTCATATTGTTCGTTGCTATTACGTTTGGCGGCCTCCTGATTCCTCACCTTTTTTTGTTGTCAAACAAAGCACAAAGGGATATGTCAATGGAACCATCTAAAGAGGTGTGGAGAAGCCTATTGGAGGATCTGCCAAGGAGTTGTGTGCTGAGAAGAAGGTATGATGAAACCTTTTTTAGGCCTTCTGAATTACTTATTAATACTTCGTGTCCGTCCAGAGGGCATTTATATTATGTTTCTTGGGTTTATATGATATGATGTGATATTCATTTGTGTGTGATCCCACCAAGGAAGGAAGGTTTCAAGGGTGTTTGAGTCGCTTTGGGTGTGGGAGAAAGCAATACACCAAAGATAATGGTGATGGCAGAAGCCTGAGAGAAAAGACAATGTGCCTGAGAAAAGTCTGGCGATCTACAAAGGTAGGTTTGTGTTGCGACTTCTCTCTATCCATAGGTTTGGTTTCACTTGCCTTTTTTGTTTGTTGTGTGCCTTCTGCCTCTTGCTGCTTCTCTCTCTCTCTCTTGATTCTCCTATTTGCATCTTTGTGAAAGCTGATTGCATCCCCATGCTAATTATCTCCATAATTAACAAAGCGAAGTCTAGCAGCTAAAACCGAATGCAAAATCTTTAAAAGCTGATGTCTTATTGTGGAGCGAAAATTGTCACCCCGTAATTGGTTTTCACTTTGTGCATCTAACGAGTAAGTTCTGACACTAACCTTAGAAGAGTGCTCGTCTAGGTTGCTTAGCATGTGGACTTTTAATGTGATATATATTGAGTGCATCTGGTGTGCCTTCCATGGGCTAGTATAAAAATTATTCGTACAATTATTGGGCCTTAAATGGGCTCTAACTGAATATTGCGGGTCTTGATGTGATTAAAATGATGTTATGGCAATATGATAAAATGATGTCATGGTAATATGATGCATAAGTTGTACCTATGGTTATAACAAAATAAGTACTATGATAACGGGTCTTAAAGACTTTATATGGGCTTCTATAGGATAATATGGGCCTGATGTAGTCTTGAAGTATATAAGAGGGCCCTTAGATGAGGCTTTGAGAAAATGGGCTTTACTCGGGCCCCAATTAGCGACACGCTAAATGGGCCATACAAGGACCTACATTTTCTTCATTGACCCTTTAACAGGCCATTATATGGGCCTCGTTGGGCCCGACACCTACTGTTTTGGGCATTTATTAGGCCCTACGAGGGTCATCAACTAATAGCATACAGTATTTGAGCCGTTGGTGGGCCTCCTTTTAATTGCAAAATAGTTATCAATTATTCGTATTGGGTCTTAGAATAAGCCTTGTATGAACCCGAACTGGGTTATGATGTACCCAATGAGATTAAACCAATTTACATATGGGTCTGAATTTGGTAAGGGGCGCAGCCGTGCGTCTTGGCGTGATAACGTTTTGGATGATTGTGCCTAGGTGTGGGCAATTCGGTTCGGGAATCTAGTTCCGAACCGTACCGAACCGATTAATTCGGGAACGGTTCAGTTCGGTATTATATAAAAATATCAAGCGGTACAAGATTTAAGATACCGAACGGTTTGGAAACGGTTCGGTTCGGTTCAAGAAATACCGAACGGTACTTTGGTATTTTTATTTTTTAATTATAAAATATTTAATACTAATAATTAATAATGATAATTACTAAATATTAATAATTTGTTTACATATATTTGGATTTATGTTTATTTTGTTAAAAATAAGTTGTCTATATTTTATTTTATAAATATTTTATTCTTATCTCTTTTTATTTATATTTTTTTTTCTGTTTTTGTTTTTATATTGTAGAGACTTTATTTTATTGGTAAAAAAGATTGATTTCTACATATATAATATAATTTTTAAAACATAATTTAAAGTTTTGATCATATTTGTAGAAAGTTTCCAAATTATTATGTTAAATTTCTTTACAGTTATATAAAGTTTAAAACTTTTATTTTGTTGTCTAAAATTATTATGTTAGATTTCTTTATTTTTATACTATATGGATTATAAGTATGTTATAAATTGTCCCAAACCGTTCCAAACCGTCTTTATTTCGATTCTTATTTGGTATTTATTTATTAGTACTGTTCCGTCCCGAACTGTCATAATATCGAACCGATACCGAACCAAATAATATATGATACTAATTTGGTACAAATTTTATAATACCGAATAAACCGTTTCTGAACTGAACCGTTAAAATTCAGAACTGAACCCTGAATTCTCGAAATGCACAATTTGTGCCTGTAGCCGACGTTAAGGTATGCGATGGGTTTGACTTTGAGCCTCGATAATTTATCGTTCTACCTGTAACCCTGCCAGTGCTGGGCCATAGTTTGGGCATTACTGCCCGCTTTTCGTGTCCGCGACCTTTCGCGGGGACCACCACACAAGTGACGAAAAGCAAAAAAATGCATATGCAATAAATAACAAGGAGATGCAACTTCTTCTTAGGCTCCTTGACACCTTCGTTAGTTTCGGGCCTATCTGCGATTATCTCACATAAAACTATTTATTTTGACACATTCCATTAAAAGGTAGGTATTAATAATCCAAGAAAAAAAATCATTACTTACCATCGTGGCTTTGTATAGGTCGACCTTCCGCGGCATCAACATATAATTCCCATTGTTTCAATCTCATCACCAGTTTCATAGAAACAGACACCCGCAGATATCTTCCCTTGGCTTGCATTGACAGTTCACCACGGAACTGCTTCTCCATAAAGCTCATCATCTACGGCTCACACACACATTCATCACACAAAGTCACAGAAGCAGAATATGCAATCGGAACATTAATAAATTTTGCACATCGTGTCATCTTTAAATAAAAAAAGCTTCATACCTTCTTCTTCTCCTTCTCAGCAGCTTCAACAACCCCGGCGGATCTTCCAGATCCTCCTTCCAAAACACACACATACGCACACCAGTCAATGACACAGCTTTGCCTGCATAATCAGGGAATATATCCCTCCTGCTTCATTGTCAACAAAAGGAAACAGAGTAGGAGGAACCCGTCTCACAGAGACTGAGGATATTCTGCTCCATTTATTACATGAGAAAACGATTTAAATCATACCAAAACACAACATCGTACTGCAACAAAAGAACTCTGCATCTCTTGGAACATCTATCTCATTGTTTAGATGGTTGTTTAGCATATGAATGAGCTCTTTAATGCGCCAACCACAAGAAATGGCACAGCTTCCCTACTAAATGCGAAACCATGCACTAGGTGATAATACTAGATGTCCATCCCCAAAGTATAAACAATAGAGTTGCTGCATAACTGGAAAACAACTCTAGTGTGATTTTTCACTATTGTTTCAATTGTTTTCACATATTCCCTAGTTGATCCACAAATGACCATTCGCAATATGCAGTCTACTTCAGTATAGATCACTGTAACTCGTTTAGACTTTGGTTTGACCGATGCTGATTTCATGGTCAGGCTAGGGGAGTATCTAAGAGATTTGGCATCTCACTCAATTTTAAAGTAGTTTCTAGCATTTCCCCTGTTTAGCAAGAGATATTTCACTGAATAAAGATAAAATACCACCAAGGATTATATGAGGAAAAAAATCAATGTCATACCTCGAGACTCATTAAAATTTCACAGCCTTGAGTAGTTTCTTGCATGCCTTTGTTAACCTCTTCATTGGTATCTGCAACAAGGTGCATCAACGCCCCAGGATCATTGGAGGTCAGCTGGTGCTGCAGTTGTAAAAGTTGTAGTTCAGACGTCTTAGAGTCATTACAAAGTTAGATGCACCAACAGTTTGAGGTTTTAAGGAGAAACCTTTTGAGCTACTATCTATGTATCTTGACAATGCATAGAGAACTGGAAAATTAGACAAATATTGCGTTGCCCCTATATTTATAGAATGTTCCACATATTAAAGACAGATTCAGTCCAATGGAGATGAAATGACAACCCATAATAAACACCAAGTCTTAAGTTTATATCATCTTCCGTGAGAAAGAATTATGCCTTCTTATAAAGATGTAAGCCATACCTGCTGTTAAGGCTTTGGATCGAGGACCAAGGATAGGTGGATACATTACATTTACAGCTTGAATCTAAACAAGGCAAGTAGAGTCTGCATCAATATCAACAGAAAAAGACAGGCGATTAAAAAATAAAGGCAGAAACCTATCGAGCATATTAAGCAACAATAAGATAAGGATATCAGACAGAAAGAGAAGATAGAGGTCAAGGTCAACAGATTCTTACCTCATAAACTTCCAAAACTGATAGCATGAACCCAAGTCGACATCATTTGTCATAACTTGTTGTAACCATATGAAGTGTCATCCAAGTGATATGATCGCTGGATCTTCTTCTACCTCAGCCTATCAAAATAATTAGCCAAATATCACTAAAGAGAACCTATGACTATGATGCTGGTCGCATCGTAAAAAGAACCAACATGCAATAGTAGTACTTGATAATATATGCCTTAAACAGACATAATCACCTTTGGAGAAATAAATGCTTGCCATCATGAGTCAATCTGATTCATACAACAGAAGACCAAAATTCATGGATATGAGATTGACAGAACCTAGTCGGGAAGAAAAGCACATAACAGTTCTCGCTCCTTTGGTTTAAAAATAATACAAATGGATAAGACTCATACCTTCTACAGTTATGCACATGTTTAACCTAGAGTTGTCTAAATTCAATTGCAACCCTAGGAAACAACATCTTAAGACCACATTTCGAATGCACAAGAAAAGAAATCACAGAATGAGTACAACCACATTTACAGAGAACAAAAAAAAACTCAACAAACAAAAACAGCAGAAAAGTGTAGCGAGAAAATCTTAAGAAAACACGACAAACATTGCAGAGAGAAAAACAACGGAAGAATTTCCCGAGAAAGTGCGAGAAAGGAAGAAATCGAATCAAACAACCAAGACATCAGGGAGATTACGAAATTCAATCGATGAAAACCTAGAAACAAACGATAGGAAAGACAAGAGGGGAGACAAAAGCACCTAAAAACGGGACACACTGGCGAGAGAAAAACAACGGAATATTTTCTCGAGAAAGTGCTGGAAAGGGAAGAAATCGAATCAAACAACCTAGACTTCAGGGAGATTACGAAATTCAATCGAATCAAACAATCGAAAGAGAAGAGGGGAGACGAAAGCACCTGAAAACGGGACTGTGAAGGCGGAAGATGAGCCAATGCTTGATCCGTGTGGTCTTGTTGTGCCGCACGTACTCCGCCGCTAGGATCGACGACCGCTTTCTGATCCGACGGGAGGGAGAATTTTCACCCCAAGCAATTCGAATTACCAGTGGCAACGTTCCAGGAGGCGGTGGAAGCCTTTATTAGGGCTTGGGCTTAATAGAGATGGATTATGGGTTTACTACGGGCCTTAGAGATTGAGCTAAACAAAGAAGCCAAGCCCAATCCAAGCAAACAAAGTTGTAAATTAACCCCCCAAGAGACAATCCCTTCCCTTAAGTTTTTTTTGGAGTAATCGGAAACCCAACTTCGAACAAAAACCTCGTCCTGCACCCAGCACAGGAGTTGGTCATGCAAAGCACAGACCATCTTTCTTCACCAGCTCACTCTAACCCTCACAAGTGCATATTTTAGAATTGATGGTTTGACAAGATCAGGCAGAAAAGCTTGGTTTGTACATCATTTTACATAAAGATGGACCCAGAGCTCAATGCCTATATGACATGACAAACAGCTGAAATGTCACCTGCGCATGGGTTTGGTCTGTGTTGGTAAAATATACGAGCAACAGCTCAATCTAAGAGGCCTGAGAGCCTATCATAGGAGCCGTTAAGGAACGAACCCCAATGACCCTAGGGTGTAGCCACTTAGAATTGCCAAACGAGAATCGACAATCTGTAATTCGCATCAACCCATCCAACAACATAACTCAAGAATACGACACCACTTTCCACCAGCAAGTATTCAGTAAACTTTAATCATGGTGAAATGCCCTTCCAGCATTTTTACGCAGATGGATCTTGTCAAATTGAGTAAATGAAGCAGGAACAAGATCACGGTAGTATCACTCTCACTCTTATTGCTGGACTCAAAGTGCTCATTGCCGTTATACACTGACAATTCCAGCATACTTTGCAGCCCAACATAAATTTTTTCAATGCAGTTCACCCTTCTTGTTTCAGCTGGCTAGCTATTACAAACACAAGAAGTTCAGCTTATCGAGGAGTATATACATAGATTAGATGCCTCCTTGTTGATCAATTCCTGATAGATAGTTATAAAATCATACTCAAAATTAAATTACAGACACGATGCTTGGGGGCATCAGCTCCTAACGGATAAAGGAAAATAAGCACCCAAAGTGGTGTTGCAAGAACCATATGATGAATCGAATGTGCTAGAGAGAACAGATTAATCCAAAAACATCCATGATATATAAATGTCTGGAAAATGTGACATAACAATCGTAAGATATTCTATGAAATTCTTCATAGTACATGGAAGGGGGCATGGTTCTTCAACTATCTAGTTTTCCTGTCTACTAGCAATTTCACCTTCCTTTCCCTAAAGAATTCTACCCACAGATTCCAAATCCAAAGAATACTAACGCTGATGGCGACTCCAACCACAACAATCCAAGATATCCACACCCACTTAGGTATCAAACCGTCGGCCCCACCCACGGCGTAAAAGGCAACCATTTTCCAGACAAAGAGGGGACCGATCACACCCCTAACCAAACTGTAGAAGGCGTAAAACGGAGGGGACAAGAAATCATACACTTTGGGGGCGAAGCGAGCGTCAGGATCATGTCGTCTGGCACGGGCGAGGGTCCAAGCGTTCTGGCAGGCGCTGGTGACCTCGGCGAGGATGAGAAGACCAAGGATAGCGCATGCGCCGTGACCGACAAGGAAGCGGCAGGTGAGGAAGACGAACAAAGTAGCCAAGTGATGGCCGATGAAGAGGACGTCGCTGGGGTAGAAGAGGACATAGTGGAGGAGATCGGCGAGGAAGTAGGCGATGCTGAAATCGAGGACGGAGTTCTGGGAGGCGGTGTTGGGGGAGGAAAAGGAGCGGAAGGGAGAGGAGAGGAGGGAGCGTGAGGAAAGGATGACAGCGGGGGTGCCATGGAAGATGGAGATGAGACAGCTGGATGCCTCAGGTCGGAATTTGGGAGGCCAGTTGCGGAAGACGACCGAGTAAGCGAAGAGATAGATGACAGAGAAGATGGAGAAAAACAAAGGGAGGTCGGGGAAGTTCGATGCCATTGAACCCTAAGAGTCGGATGGTGAAGGGACGTCGTCCCGTGCCCCCTCTTATACCGAGGAAGTAAAAGAAAGAATGTGATTTTTTAATTACCCAGTCCACTGTTTTTATTTTTACGAATCGACAACTTTCCAAATGCAAGAGTGCCGTTTCAGGTCACCTTTTTTTTTTGTGGGAAGCTGCGAGGAAAATGACAATATAATATTTGCTTACTAAATCAACTGGTAAAAAAGCACACATCACAATGCACCATGTCCTCCCTCCCCCAAGAGAAACTTAGATGTGTCCTCATTTTATACTACACAACCTCCTCCTTTCTCATCTGTGTAAAAAAAAAAAAAAAAAAACAACACGCCCTATTTGCTTCACTTGTTCTTGAGGGATTCTGATTTGATTTTTTGTTTTCTAATCCCTGCTCTTTGTCAATGATTCCTGGCTATAGAAGAGGAGCTCCTTATACGCTGATGCTCAATCAATCTCTCCCTCTTCGATTTCCTTGCAAGGATCTGGATCTGGATCTGGAAGCCCTTCATCCTCCTCCTCCTCATGTTTCATAAACAACCCAAGCTGCTCCAGTGGATTACATCCCCCAAACCCAAAGTCGAAATTCCCCAACCCATCCTCACAACCCTCATCCTCCTCTCTCGCCTTTGTTAAGTTCTCACCACCATTAGCCGTTTTCAGCATTTCTAGGTCCTTTAGATACTCCGCGTTCTCATTTATTTCAACCGACTGCTCCATCTGTTACCATTTTCCATACAACCCAAAACAGTTGGCTATATACGGAGAAAATTCATATCCAACTAAACTCAAATCCCGGAATACAAAAAGAATGACATGTTTACTTTACCTCCAGCAAAGCCCGACGAGCCGCTTCTCTCTCAAGTTCAAGTTTCCTTTTAGCCTCAGCCACAGCTTCAGCTGCAGCCTGAGCCTCAGCTCTTCTACGAGCTTCTTCAGCTGCCTTTGCTTCAGCTTGCAACCTTGCTCTTTCTGTCAGGAAAGGGTAAAATTTTTGTCATCCAAGATTCCGCCGCACCTAAATCACTTTTAAGACAAAGTAATCAACACTTAAACTAGCAAATCAAGCATCATCAGAAACCTCTCTTCTTCTGCAGCTCAAGCTCTTCTCTCTCACGCCGCAGTTTCTCGGGGTCTAGCCTGTCATTCTGATCTTAGACAAAGGAATGTTAGAAAAATGTTCACACAAATAGTGGATCACAATTTTTGGAGCAGGCATTCAAAAGCACAAGCAACCTGACTAAGTGTCTTCTCTCGTGCTTTCAAGATCAAGTCAGCAAACCGATTTTTCAGTAAAGCAGCCCTGTAGAGCTTATCAGACGGTAGCTGCCTCTCATTCTCAGCACTATTTCCTATAGTAATAATGGGATCAAGAATGAGACGCCACTCCAGATAATAGAGCAGAGACATTTTTCTTCCATGCTCCTGATCTTACCATCTTGGTGACAATCTGCTTCCTCAGCAGAACACAGCTTTCCGTGAGAGGCATCTTCCAGCTGATTCAATCCACTCACAGATCCTGCATGTGGAAAGAGGACAAGCAAACGTGAGACAAAATAACATAGAGCTTAACAACAAAGGCACATCAACAAAAATGTACTGACGTCTTCTGTTCGATGGAACACTTGTCTTTCCATCCAAAGGAGATGCAGAATCCATGGTCTCTTGCCCCTGCATTGAAGCAGGACAAAAATAGAAAGAAACAATCAGGTTCTGCAAGGTTTTGCAGTATCTTGAAGAATTTATAATTCCTCCAAGCTAATTCAACTGACGCTATTAGGAAGACGATAAAGTTCCCACTGCGAGTGTGACAACCCATTTGTATTACTATAGTTAGACCCTTAGAGTAAATAGAAATTGTGTGATGATGATGTATCAGAGACTTAAGGAAGTCGCTTGAAATAGCGGCAAAAGAACAGAAAGTTCTTCAAGGAAGCAACGTAATCCAAAGTTACCAAACCAAGATTTACCTTTGATGTGTCTGCTAAACTTGTTATCTTAGGATCCTCTGATACACTTTCTGAGCTACTAGAGCCTGTATTATATGCACCAGAAGGTGAGCAAACCACGGGTTAAAGCTCAACAAGACACAACCTACTCATCACAGGGAAGGGGAGTGACTACAAATTACAAGGAGTTGCTAAAGTACTGGTGCCATCAAATCAGGCATGGAATATCAATAAGAAAATAAAACGGCTACTTTAAAACCAAAAGGTAGGTTTACTCCAAGTAAAAGCTGCAGAAGAAGATAAATGCGGCAGAAACGTATGCGGCCACATCAACACAAATATGGCTTCGTGACCACTTCTAAAAAGCGAGCATTAGACTTAGACAGCCCAATGAATCCAGAGTAAAAAGAAAACTGTAGCAATCACATTGCAATCTACTAGCAATTCAACGGAGAATGAAACTGATAATACAAATGGGGTGGATCAAGCATACCACTGGAGTTCCCTGAGAGCACATCCTCTTTTATCCTGACAGGAGAAATGCCTGGTATAGGAGGTTCGTTTTCACCAATATCAACATCCTCATCCAATTCACTCCCTAATAGAGAAGAAAATGAAGGTTAAAAAAGAACATTCACACGACGAGACAGTATGTATATAGCAACAGACAAAACTCAAGCTGACCATCGCACGGTTGCCCTGATGAATTTACTGGTCCTGATCCATGTAGAAGCTGCAAAAATGAAAACACCATAGATAAACTGGATGTCAAAACATCTTAGGTAAATTAGGTATATTCCTGTCGCAGATACAATACCAAACACAGTACAAAAGGGGATTACCTCTATTTCGCAGGGTTCAGCATTTGACTCGTTCTTCCGGCTTTCCAGCAAATGCTCATCCAAAAGTTTACGCAGATGGAGCAAGGCATCATCACTAAGATCATTAATGTCAATCTCAATTTCATCATCTCCAGCCTTCACCTCATTCGAAGTGTTCTGTCTCAAGAAATTAATTATATGTATCGGAATATCTCCCAAATACTCCAAATCCCTACCCAGCTTGCACCTGTACTCAGCTGTCATAACCTGCTTATACTTAGTAACCTCTGAAATACTTTCTTGGTTGACTGCATCCATCTTCCTCTTCTTAGCCATAGGTAGAGCCATTTTAATTTCTTTCTCGACAGGGGTGTCCGAGTTATTTGACGAAGGGTGTCCTTTGGTTCCTGATAACTTCTTCTCAATTGTTTTCCAACGCACTTCAAAAAACTTGCTGAGAGTATCAGCCATGATGTATACATCATTCCCCGGAGGATTATACGCCATTGCATTGGTGAAAGTAAGCCGGACATCAGCAGCAAATTCCAGCGGGCTTGAATATGTACCTGAAGTTAACTTACTCTTTACTGTTCCTAAATCCATAGGATGCTTGATAACTGTCAAATAGTCTGGTATATTCAGCTTGATTACATCCACAGGAGTGTTGAAAACCCAAGCATATTGGTGTGACATCAATCGTTTCAAGAGGGCTTCACACTGCTTCATCAGAAGTATTATAGCAGTTGTGACCGGGGCTGGTTTAGCAGCACTTAGAGGGATCACTTTCTTGCCAGGCCCAGCTGAGCACCTTGACTTTCCAAAACTCTTGGCTCGAGAAAAATCATTTGTGGATGTATCAGCGGAGCTATTTGTCCTTGGAAACTCAACACTCTTCTGGAAGGACCGAATCTGTTCCAGCTCCTGTCTTAGCTTATGAACCAAATCCTTTCTCTCTGATGATGACAGGTCAGACAAGGGAAAAACAATTTTCGGGACACCAGATATTTCACGACCTAACCCAGCAAACTTCCTTTTGGAACAATTTGAATCCTCTGAAACACTAGGGCTATCAGACCCTCCATACCCACCGGGTGTTTCAAAATTGTTCCGATAATAACCTCCAGGAAAATCACCGTTTTTGACTGTCATATCGAACAAATATTTTGAAGGCGCTATTGCCAGATTCCCCTATTGACTTGTGAAACCAATGATTGAACTAACCTGCAGAAAACAAACCTGGAATATGCTGAACCCGCTCATGAAAATTAACCTAAAAACTCAAAGTTTCTTAAAAACGCGGGAGACCACTAAAACACTACAGATGAAATCAGAGGACGATTCCAAAACCCTAATAAGAGCAGCCCACCTTCTCTTGCGCTTCCGAAAGAATCCACAACTACTCGAAAGAAGAAACAATCGAAACGAAGAAAAGAGGAAAGAAGAAGAAGAAGAAGAAGCTTACCCTGTGGAACTCGTGAGCGAAGATCCAAGTCGAGTGGAACCCAGAGAAACAACGAAGAAGCCAAAACCTAAAAGAGCGACGGAGATATGAAGTTTGACAACCCTAAGTTTGAAGAGTAAGTTGATAGGAAGGAAACCCTAGGACGGTAAACTTGGCGACGGAGACGACCGAGAAGTAGAGAGAGAAAGTACAAAGGCTTCTCTCTCTACTCTCCAGTGTGCGAGCGAGTCCACCCTAACAGTGCTCTTTTAATGCGGCTGAGAGAAACAATATAGACCGTCAGATTTAAAGAGAGATTTAACTGACGGACTACAGCATTTTATCTGAGTTTTTTTTATAATATTTTTTACCAAAGGAAAAAAAGGTAAAAATATTAACAAAATCACAAAATTGTACAATATATTATTACGTAGAATGTTGGGTTTGATGGGAAAATTACCATCTGAAACATTAGGGGAACGGGCCTTCTGAGGCCTAAAGAAGAGTTTGGTTGGGCCATTACGGAAACCCCACAGAAAAATAGTAGTGTCCCCAACACCATCGCACTACAAGGCAACTTCCTTGGGAGGGGAGGGACTGCTGACGTGATTTGTCATCTGATTGCTTTTTTTTTTCCTCATTAGAAATAAACCAAATTATTTAATTCAACGACATCAATCTAGCACACAAACAAAAAAAGAAGGATATTTAAAAGGAAAAACAACCACATGGAAACGGACGGACAGAGACATAAGTCGGGAGGCAACACATATCTCCCAACTCCTTGGAGAGGTTTGGTTTCATTCACATGCAGAACTTCTGAGGAACAGAATCGAAATCGTCCCCAAAGTCATACCTCTGTCTTTCTCTTCCCGCCTAACCACACAGTTTTCACACTTCAAGTCAGCATTCCTCTTTTGTTTCAACAAAAACTAGAGCTTCTATTTTAGACAATCTAACGTACCTTTCCCAAGTACAAAGGGTCACTTGACAAGCTCTCATCCATGGCTACCAGCTTCTTTGACAGCCCTATCATCCTGAAAAACCGCCATCACAGTCTGGGTGATGCTGCCGCTTTGATCTAATCCATTAGGAGTTATATGTAGGAGGGGTCACATACCTTTGGATAGCTGAGTCGATGTGCTCAATCATTTCACAGGTTTTGTACTGTTCAGGATCCTCCAAGAATCTTACCATACCATCCTTCTGGTTGATAATTGCATGTATCTGACCATCCTGTATCTGCGGGTTCAGAAAGATGACAAATGCTAACAACCTCCCCATTGGAATTTTCTGCTTACACTACAGTAGTAAAACAACTTCATCCAACACACACACACACACCACCTTACCATCTGAAGCACATGCATTTCTGCCTCTTTAGCACTACCAAGTTGCACTGTGTTGGCTATATCTTGAAGCGACAGCGTCAGGTATCTCTGAGTCAGTCTCTGGATGTTCCTTTTGTAGAGGGATGAGATTACTTGCTTTACCAACCCCATGTTCTTGTCCTGAAAACAGAGAGATTCAGCATGCCAAGAGAAAATGAAGCTTGTGTTGCTAAAAAAATCCATGTTGGTATTTACATAAAACTTACAGCTTCAAACACTAGAGTGTTTGCCTGAATTGATGCCTCCAGTTCAGCAATCTTTCCCTCGTTGTAACAATTTCCCAGTTCAACGTAAGGCTGAGAAAAGGGTGAAACATTTTCAAAACCATAATCCAGTGAATAGATCAATAATAGCAAAAGTAACATATTGGACCGACCCAAGGTCTCCAACCATAAATGAGAACCACAAATAGGCAGCTGAGGAATAAGAAATGAGGGAAAACTCTGCATAAAGGATATAGTTTAAACTCACCGTACACAAGTTCTTGAGGTTTCTCTGAGCTGCTGTAGATGCATACTTGGGGAGACTGTTACTGAACTGCACACATGAAAAGGAAAGAGGTTAAAGAAAATAAGGTTAGCCAACAGAAAATGCTGCAAGCAACACCTAATATTCTGAAGGCAACAAGTCAAATCAGCAGTATTAAAACATCCAACGGCTGTGAGAATTATGTGCAATACAATAACTTCCATGGCAGAATATTAGCAAAAATAAAGAGCACATGTCTACCTGTCCATGGTGAATGAGAGACACCAATATGTACTTTTTGTATGCCTCAACAGCTATGGCGCTGATGGAATTCATTGGAGCAGTCACAAGCTGGCAGTACAAATACTACCACACTTAGATCTGGAATAAGAAGAAACCTTGACCACTTATTATGTGCATGAAAAACTGAAATAGAATGCATTACATTGTGAAGAAGCTCCAACGCTTTCTGAAATTTCTTTTGTCCAATGCATATCATTCCCCTGCCAAAAATATGAGAATCACTATAATCGAAATTTCCGGTAGATAAACAGAAGAAAACATGCGAGAGACTAAACTTGATGGCTAGCAAATAATGACATCTTTACATACTACATCCTTACAAAGATTAGAAAAATAGCATGGAGGAAAGTTACTGACCCATAATAGCAATAGAGAAAAAGGTCTTTCGGGTGATCAATCTCTGTGATGTCATCATTAAGAATAGAGAAACCGGTCTTGTAGCACTTTGCCAGCAAACATAGCTGAAGAAAGTCCGGATGCAATGAGGTCAAACGTTCAGTGGAGGGCTGAACCTTGCGAACAGCAGTCAACAATGGAGCCACCCCTCGCAAGGGCTCTCCAAGCAGCAAAACGTGATCCTTCAATCTCTTGCAAACGGAAGCAACTGCACACTCAAAATATAAACATTGTCATCTGTATAGAGAGACCACACAAAAACAAAATTTGCTCAAGTGTCAGGGACTACATTTTTCACTTGCTAACCGGATCTGCCCACCATCACATGAACTGATGAACCTTGCAATTATCAGAACCACAGTAGAAGCCTCCTCCTTAGACACCGGGCCATAAGTGCCCGCCTCGCTAGCACAACCACAAACATGAAAAGACCCAATAAAGAATATGCTCTTCATTGCAAAATAATGAACACGCTTGCACCCACAAACCTCAATTGCTATAAGCGGAACCATAAGGGCAACACAGAAAAGAAAACTGTGACAGATCACCTAAACAAGCATCAACTATTTTGCAGGCAACCAGAGCTATACGTGACCCCTCGAAAACCTGGGCAAACAGAATCTACATCGTAAAATCGAAACCCATACGCGTGATAAAAAAAATAAACTCACAGGAGATAGAGGAAGCCAAGAGAATGCTTCAATGGGTCAAGCTGATCAAGGGAAGGAAGCAAAGCAGCCGAGTGGGCTCGAAGCGACTCTTCTTCTCCTTTCAAAATTTCATGGAGGGAAAATAGGTCCTTGGAACTTCCTGATAAACCAAGGATCTGCGCTATTACACCTTCCACCGAACTCATATCTGCCACAACAACAAAACCCTAATCGATCGCCTTTTTCTCTCCCTCCCAAATTCGTGCAGGTCGGTTCGTAATCACTGATATCTGTGTAAAAAAAAATAAGAAGAAGAAGATGAGATGCTTCCCAATCGTCCAGAGGTTTTGGGAAGCGAAGTGAACCGAGTGAAAAGTGGGATCCAACTCGGCCGGTCGTACCGTGAACCGGTGACGTCTCGGGGTCTGGTTTTTAGGGCCCATGGTACTCAACTTTTCAAGTTGTTGGCTCACGGGCCTTAAATTTCCACAACACAAACAAACAAACAAATTTTTGTAATGGAAAACCCTAGCAGCTCTCGTCCACATTCTTAAACCTCCGGTACTAGCCCGAAGAACTGTCATTCCTTTTGGGTATGGCAGTGTTCTTAAGACGAGCAATTTCCAACCCGAATGCGGTTGTGATTCTCCGAAGAAGCTCCTCAGTTGCTCAATCTGGCCGCCATCTCTCGCATATTATCCCCTCTTCCTCTGATTTGGAAGGACAGGAAATCAAATTTGAGTCCCAGTTCATCCCGGCCCTCGGTTTCCTCAGAGATTTCCGTCGAGGATTCGCTAAAGGCAGAAAATCAAGTAGGCTTCCCCTTTACTATCTCTTTCTAGTTCTTGACTTTTCACATTTCGATCACTTCTCGGCCAATAGTCGTTGGAATCTCTGAATCAGTGATCGCGAGTCCGCTTGAAAGGAAAATGGTTAATTTTTGAAAAAAAAAACGCACAAATAGGATAATTCTGAGCGTTAAAGATGCACTTACGTCGTGATCTCGTTGGTCTTTGTCTGATTAATTGTTCCTCAGAGAATGATTCGGCGGGGGGAGTGGTTGAAGTAGCTCCGGATATCGGACCTACGGTAAAAGCAGCAACTTCCTCACAAATGGAGGCAGCAATTGATGCTTTGTCACGGGAATTAGCTAAACTCAGGACAGGAAGAGCATCACCAGGTTCTAAAAATCGATTTTGGGTATTGTTCGGTCGCAATTGATGGCCATGTGAATTTGGGTGTATATTATCAAGTTACGAAGAACACGCAATGTACGGAATGGGAATGAATGAATCAAAAGAAGAAGATACAACATGGGTGAATGCTTGATCACATCATCGTTGAAACTGGAGGAGTAAAGATGCCGCTCAATCATTTAGCAGTCGTTTCTGTGTTGGATCCCAAGACATTATCTGTGAATCCTTATGATCCCGACGTAAGAATCAATATTAGTTTCTCTCCTTTGTGTTTACCCGAATGTTTTGTAGAAAATCTATTCATATTAAAGTAAATGGAGTCCAGGGTCTTGTGGAGGTGCCATTTTGGCTGACATAGATGCTGTTCTGGATTCTTATGTTATTGAAAATGAAAGCGTCATGTAGTCAAGAACCCCATTCAATCCAAGTAACCTTTTGCTCCATATTCACAATTCTAGACTCTGTGCTAACTATCTATATTTCTTGTATTTCTTTAGTCAGTGAAAGAACTGGAAAAAGCAATCGTCTCGTCACCACTAGGATTAAACCCGAAACTGGATGGCCAACGGCTTATCGCGACAATCCCACCGTAAGCAAGTTATTCTTCTGCAGTCAATGCATTTCATTCAGACATAACTAAATCATTTGCACGCTTGTGTCTAATTATGCCATGTTTTGAGCAGCTTAACCAAGGAGCATATTCAGGTAAGGTTTGGAAGAGTTGAATTGTTATTCCTTTATGGTTTGGGCACTGTTGAGAGATTGAGTTTGAAATCTAATTTTGAGCTGCAGGCGATGGGCAAGATTGTGACCAAGTCCAGTGAAGATGTCAAACAAAGCATACGAAGGGCCCGTCAAAAGGTATATGTACGCATATATCGTATGGTTTTGGTTTTCATATGATTCAAAGAAAACTGGCATGTCCATCAAAACTTGCAGAATGTTTCGTCGAGTCTTTGTTAAAAAGTTGAGATGGTGGAACTGTGGCAGGCACTGGACACGATAAAGAAAGCGGGATCGAGTCTACCGAAGGATGATGTGAAAAGGCTGGAGAAGGAAGTGAGTTCCGGCTGCTGATGATGATGAGCTGACATTCTTCTTTTGGTGGATCATTTTGTTTTAATCGTGTTGTTTCAGGTGGAAGAGCTAACGAAGAAGTTCATAAAGGCAGCAGAGGAGTTATGCAAGTCAAAGGAGAAAGACATCACCCAAGGCTGAAGCCAACTACACTTGGAGAATGTTTTATGTTACCGTTAAAGTTGGACATACGAGAACCTAGAATTTTTTTTTATTTTTGATAGGAATGAAAAAAAAGAAGATTGATGAATGATGATTTGGGGATGATCTTACTGGTGTTTTCCTCGGGATGGCCTTTTTGATGTCTACAATTGGCTGAGACTAAATTTCAACAACATCAACAAGGTTGAATCTTCATTTTTTCTTTCGTTCCCTGTAAAAAAAATGTATCATTATACCAGAGCCATCCATGTCAGATGTTCCCTTTGAGAATGACTGGTCAGGAATCTCGATGTGGTAGAAGATTAAAAATAGAGCTATTTTTTTTACTCTATTTATGCATGGAAGCAGTCAGCGAAATCATCGCTTCCCCCCCCCCCCCCCCCATATACATATTAAAAAAAAGGCATCAGAAAGTAGTAAAGAGGAGAAGTAGAGCTGGGAACATTGACCAAACCTGGCATTCTTCTGCGATAATATTGAGGGAATCAAGCCATTTCACAGAACGGGCACCTATTACACCCGGCACTACCACCCTTAGCGGATATCCATGATCCCTGTTCAGTGGCTTCGCAGCAACAACCACAACAAAAGAAAAAAAAGGTACTTATGCTAACATGTAAAAGAACCAACACATATATGGGTGGAGTGGAGGGAAGACAAGAGCACCTCTCCCCCTCCCCCAAACCTAAAAAACAATTACTACACCAACCAACCACCAAATCTAGATATTTATTCTCCCAATTTAATATATGGTATTTGTTGCGTGTCTTAACAATTTGAAGAAATGGAGGGTGTAATTTAAGTGGAGTCCACTGGACCCATCATCACATCACCTACAACCATCCCCAAAGACAAAACTACTCCTTTCCCCAATTAACCCCTCTCCCTTTGCTTCGTCTTCGTCAACCTCTTGGATTCCCAATATCACTCTCTCTAACAAAATTTATGTAAGAGTCGAGAGAAGGAGCGGAGATGGGATCATGTGTATCATCATCCGTTGAGAAGAGGTCGACGGCCGTAAAGCAGGTGCCTTTCAATGGCTCCGCCGTACCCCCTGACTCCGGTGCTCGCTCTTGTCGTCTCTTTTTACAACGCTCATGTGTAAATAGTCGGGTCTGATTTCTTACGGAATCTTTTTTTGTGATCACTAAAGAGGACGAAATGTTCTTCGATTCACGGGCCTGGTTGGATTCCGACTGTGAAGATGATTTCTTTAGTGTCGATGGAGGTACAGTTTTTCTCCTGCTATTCATATAATATACCATTTGGTAGATAATTAGATACGGATTTGGGTTACGTTTCAACAGAGTCGAGTGGAACAACCCCTGTGCATCACAATTTCACCATGAACATCTCTTCAGACCAACTACTCTCAGTGTCCCTTGCCGACAGCAAGAAGAGACTGGTCGAGCTCTTCAGAGAGTCCCACGAAGTAGATGCCGATCACCTGGCAGCAGAGTCAAAAGTCAGAACGTGTCTGTGGCTGCGGACGCCTGCTAGATCTTCCGCGCCGGCCACACCAACCGACAGCCACCGGAGGATGAACCGCTGCGTACCGCGTTTGGTATCTTGCAGTAGCTTCACCGACCGCCGCCGCAAGATCATTAGCCCCCCCGCCGTTGCTCCTCCACTGTAATTCTTCTTTATATATATTTACATAATCTATGGGTGTCCATGCACGCATATATATATATATATATATGTGTGTGTAGTATAGAGAGAGAAAGCAGAAGCAGGAGAGGCCGGGACATTCGGGCATTGAGGTCGCAATTGATGGCCATGTGAATTTGGGTGTATATTATCAAGTTACGAAGAACACGCAATGTACGGAATGGGAATGAATGAATCAAAAGAAGAAGATACAACATGGGTCTCTATAGAAAGGACATTTTGAAATCATACTGTCACCTCCACAATCATAGTCATCATATCCACATTCCTTTCTCCATTACACTTTTTTTTATTTTTATTTCCAAGTTTCAAATAAAAGCGGTGACAATCCCAAGAAAGAAAAAAGAAAGGAGGCATAACAACTTTTAAAGTGGAGAGGGAATGCATAGAGGCAGGAAGACAGACAGAGAAATTACAAGGAAGAATGGCCAAGGCGGAGGAGGACACGGTGCCATGAAGTATTAAGAATCCCTCTAAGGTTCCAGATTGACTCCACGCACTCCGGCTGCACATTGGCCCCTGAGTCCACCTGTCCTCATCCCCCATCCCAAATGAAAAAACTTTTCCAGATGATGAACAATGAACAAGGGAAAAGGGCGTACCGCTTTGGCAGCGATCTCGGTGGTCCGGGAAACATCAAGAGAAGCTTCAAAGAAAACCCAAGCCCATTTGTCAGTGGAGTGGTGTTCAGATATGTACGTCTCCTTGGGCTTCTGGCTTCTAGAAGCTTCCACCCAGCTTTTGCCCCCGTCTGCTGACACATCCACCCTCTCTATCCCACGCCCACCTCCGGCCGCTGCGTACCCTCTTATGTTTACCTGCCCAATCCAAAACATTTGTCTCAACTGCTCACCATCAGATTCTGAATGTGGTGTACAACTTCTTAGTACCTTTCCGGGCTTCACCATCTCTACGTCCTCCAAAGAACATATTGCACTCTTTTTGCAACACCCAAAGGAGTGATTCAATATGAGGTTTGTAAAACAAAATATAAAAATGGATGATACGGAAGGGAGGAACCTGAACAGGAAAATCCATTTGTGGCCTCCTGGTGGACCAGTTGATATTATCCCAGTTCACGCTAGGCGGAAACATTTTGTAATCTTTTTGCATGAAGAAGCCCTTCCAATATTTAATATATACATATTAAAAAAAAGGCATCAGAAAGTAGTAAAGAGGAGAAGTAGAGCTGGGAACATTGACCAAACCTGGCATTCTTCTGCGATAATATTGATGGAATCAAGCCATTTCACAGAACGGGCACCTATTACACCCGGCACTACCACCCTTAGCGGATATCCATGATCCCTGTTCAGTGGCTTCGCAGCAACAACCACAACAAAAGAAAAAAAAGGTACTTATGCTAACATGTAAAAGAACCAACACATATATGGGTGGAGTGGAGGGAAGACAAGAGCACCTCTCCATTCATCTCATAAGCAAGCAAAACGTCGGCTTCGGGATTTGTAGCCTGACTGAGAGGAATTGATGCCTTATAAGGACCCCCATTCTCCTCCTGCAAACATATACATTATACCTATGAAACACTTGATCACATGAATAAACAGCTTCCTCTAGTCTTTAGTTACCTTGCACTGATCGACACTAACAAACTCAACATGTCTCCCCCCAGATTCAGTAGAGTGCATCAGCTTTGCTATCCCCACCAGCTCAAGGACATCTGACAATTTGGCCCCTCCCCATACAGCTTCATATATGACATTCAAATATAAGCACATGTTCTCTCCATAAACTGGGTCAACAAGTAAATCGAACCAACCATTTCCGATTGCAGAGACATCCCATCCAACTCCTCTAACTTTCCTGACTTTGCTCATGGCGGTCCTTCTGTTACCAGCACACTTCAATTTGAAAACAAACATGTAACATCAATACAATTATGTGTCTGAAGGAGACTGACAACAACTGCATAAGATATACCTGCAGAGTAGCCGTGACATTGTACTTCTGCAGGGCCCTGCAGTTTGTATAATAGGTAGAGTTGGAGGATCAAATAGAACATACAAAACTGCTAAATCATACTGCAACAGAGAACCTGAATACAGCACCTACCTGATATCTTTCATAAACAGCTTCCTCGGGTTCTCGATCAATCCGTTAACAGTCACATAGTAGCTGCTTTAGCAAAAAAAAGACCAGAATCAGCGGAAAGAAGTTGAAATTAAACGAGGAAGCAATAAAGAAGAGATGAAAACGACCTTTCAATGTCATCAACTAGAGGTATGGGGCCGTGGTTTCTCTTGTAGAAAAGATCCACGGGAGTGATATAAGATGAAATCAAGGCCGAGCGTGGAGGCTCAGCATTGAATGGTTCCTGTATAGCAGAAATCGCTATAACACAAGGCCAGAACATGCGACATACACTTTGCAGCAGAGAGAAAAAAAAATACACAGGATCTATGCAAACACATCGAACAAACATAAAAATCGAGCCAAAAGCTTATTATTTTGTTTTTCTTTCAAAGTAACCCACGAGGCGATCTAGGAACCGTTCCGATATCGGCCAGGGCGGAAAAATCAAAACTTTGCAAAGTATATTACGAAATCAGGAACAGTTTGGAAAGGAGAGACAGAATTGGATCGTTGGAGAAGCGGAAACCTAAGAGCATGTATGCATGTGGGTGAAAAAGGAACTCGCCTTGGAGTTGATCCGCAGGGAAGGGTGACGAGGTGGTTCCTGCGAGTAATCCGACGGTCCTCTTAATCCAGGCATTCTCACAATCTCAATCGCAATCGCAATCTCAATCTCAATCTTCTGCTTTGGCTGCTCTGTTTCTCTCTCTCACGCGCACAGTTAAAAATAGCTTCCACAGACACGGAACGGAAGAGCAAAACGGTGTCGTATTGGGTGCAGAGACCCTTTGAGTTTCTGTGGCCACAAAAAAATTAAGGATGTCGAATTTTTGGAAATATAGAAAATTAAAAAAAAAGGGATCAAATTTATAATTATGCGAAATGTATACACTGAATGGCATTGTCTGACAGAGACACGGTCTCTCCAGATCTCGTAGGTTGCTGCTTGCCATGAAAGGACGATGATAGCCTGCCTGAAGAGGCATCATCAGAGTGGTTATCCGAGTTCTGCAAATCTATACAATTACGAAAACTCCAATTGGCCTCTGTTAATCGATTTTCTCAGGAAAGATGCCTCCTCGTTGGGTCTCTCTTTCTTTTCTCGCCGACAGATGCGCGACGATGGAACAGCTAAAGCATATTCACGCCCAGATGATCGTCACCGCTCGAATCCACGACTCCTTCGCCGCTAGTCGGCTCCTCTGCTTCTCTGCTTTGTCCGAACCAAGCGATCTGGGCTACGCAACGCGAATTTTCGAGAATGTTCGAAATCCCAACACTTTCATGTGGAACACTCTCATCAGGGCTCACGCTAACGGTAACAACCCAACCCGTGCTTTGCTTCTGTACGTGAAAATGACAAGACTCGGCGTCTTTCCTAACTTCCACACCTACCCTTTTGTTCTTAAGGCTTGCTCTAAACTGAAATGTCTCGAATCATCTCGACAAGCTCATACTCATGTTTTCAAGCACGGATTTGAGCTGGACTCGCATGTGGTTAACGGGTTGGTCAGGAGCTATTCTGTATCTGGTGATTTGGATAGTGCACGTTCGGTGTTCGACGTAATTCCTCATGCAGACTTAAACGTCTGGACTTCGATGATTTGTGGGTACGCACAGAACTCCCGTTTCAACGATGTTTTGATTCTCTTCGATCGGATGGTTAAGGATAGACACGAGCCAAATGGGGCCACTTTGGCGTCCGTTTTATCCGCCTGTGCTCACTTGGGGAGCTTGGAATTGGGGGTAAATATTCACGCTTTCATGAAAGACAGAGGAATTGAAGTTGGGGTGATCCTAGGAACGGCGTTGGTTCATATGTATGCTATGAACGGAGAGATATCAGCGGCTAAGAACCTGTTTAATAGCATGAAACAGAGAAATTTGGCTACTTGGAACTCGATGATCTGCGGTTTAGCCAGTCATGGCCATGCTCAAGAAGCTCTTTGCCTTTTCAGTGAGCTAGAAAGTGAAAAAATTGAACCAAATGATGTAACATTCGTGGGAGTGTTATCTGCTTGTCGCCACGCTGGTCTAATTGAGACTGGTCGCGAGATGTTTGACTTGATGAGGCTGAGATATGGAATTGAGCCGAAAATTGAGCATTATGGATGCATGGTAATGCGGAAGCAAAACTTGTTGAACTTTTTAGACGGTTCGTATAAATGCATGATTTTTTTTTTTGTTGAGTTCCAACAGGTTGATCTTTTGGGAAGAAGTGGGGAGATTTTGGAAGCTGAAGAGCTAATAAGGGAAATGCCGATTGAAGCGGATGTGGTGATATTGGGGGCTCTGTTATCAGCGTGTAAAAGCCATGGGAATGTTGAGGTGGCAGAACGAGTGGCAGAAAAGATGATGGGGTTGGATCCAAACAATCATGGAGTTTATGTGGTTATGTCAAATGTGTACGCAGAAGCTGAGCGGTGGAAAGAGATGGAGAGACTGAGGAAGAGGATGAAGAGTGAGAGTCTGGTCAAAGCGCCTGGGTGGAGTTTCCTTGGTTCAGGTAACTTACCTATCTACGCCTTCATGCATTCGTGTTTGATGGATTCAAAGCATACTTCATTACCAGATACAGGTTCATGCATAACCCTCTGATTTTTATCTTTTACTTGAATTGAATCTCGAAAATGGTTGGCAATATCCTCTCTCAGGATAATACTAACAAAATAGATTTTAGAATGATAAGACAAAAAAATAAAAAGGAGAGAGGCGAAGGTTCCAATAGATAGAAGAAACCCTTGTCCTAATTGATCTCTTCTCTTCTTCTGGGGAGGAAAAGGTTGGTAGCACAAGCTAATCACTCAAAAGGCACGGTACATCACCACCCCTAAAACTCTAAATCACGATAGTTATCCTAATGCATAAAATTCTTGCATTTTCTTCTGTCACAAATAAAAAAAGTATCTGGCTGTAGACAGACGGTCTAATGGCAGCCATTGTCGTTGATGAATATGCAAAGGTCTGATCATTTAGAGTTTTCGTTCAGATTCTCTTTTTTCTCTTCATGTTGAAGATCTCAAAAAGAATTCCTTGTTTCATTTTTTATCTTGGAATTTTTTTTTTTGGGTATTGCCCTCAATTTATAATCACCCGGGAAGTAGGATGGAACGTTCCCCAAGTATAGTCAACTGTATGCTCGCATGTTGCATCGTCATTTTGCCCTTTTAAATTTTCTGCCATTTCACAGACAAATCTCGACTCCGAGAAGTTTGACCTTCCAAGTTCTCTTTAGTTTCAAGCGAAGACAGAAATGTGGTTTCAGAGAATTACCCTTTTGCTTCTCATTCTGACCACTGCCACCGCAGGTACATTTCACCTTCGCTTTAGTAGTTCCCTGTTCTCTGTCCCCTCCTTCTTTGTTCTTACATTTTGTCATTCATTCGTGTTGCTAATAAGGTTTAGGTCCTAACTCTACCACAAAAGATAGCTTAAGAGTGGAGGTTTGACCTTTGCTTATATATTGGCCCCAAATCCCTCTCTTTTTCCAATGTGGGACACTTATCAATTGCTCATTGATCTTCAAACTTTCGCAAGGACCAGATCTCATTAAAGCCACCTTTCGTCATAGTTTGAAAATATTCTTCCTTGTTCTGCAGCTTTTTTGCAGAACCCAGATTTTGAATCTCCTCCGTTGAACTTGCCGGAAAACTCAAACTCGAGTTCTTCAACGTTTGTGTTGTTGGGACAAAACAGCACAGTCCCTGGATGGACATATCAAGGAACTGTCCAGTATGTTACAGCGGGCAAAACACTTGAACTGCCTGATGGTGGACACGCCATTCAGCTTGGTTAAGATGGCAAAATCAATTAGACTTTCATTGCCAAGGGCGATGACACGAACTACATCCTCACCTTCACTCTCATCCCGGGTGGTCAGAACTGTAAAGCAATGCTGGCCGTATTGTTTCTGGACCAGATACTAGTGCGGTTTTTTCTTACAGACAAAACTACAGTAAGCATCCGTGGCAAAGTTATGGTCATAACTTGGGTACCTGGGGGAACGATGAACCTATCAACCTTGTTCTTGAAAGCCAGACAACGGATTCAGACACAAACTCCTCATGCTGGCCGATCATTGATACAATGCTCATCAAGACTGTTGGTGTAACCCTTGTTCCAGACAATGGTGAGTTATATTTCCTCATTCATTCCTGTGGATACAGCTGCTTTGATTTACTTTTGTATGGGTGTAGGTAACCTATTGCTCAACGGTGGATTTGAATCTGGACCGGGATTCTTACCCAACTCAACCGAGGGAGTTTTACTTGACAGTGCACCAAGTGTAGTGCAATTGGCATTAAGGCAGTGGACTGTCATGGGAACAGTCAGATACATAAACTTCCATGTACCAGAGGGCAAAGCTGCAATAGAGATTCTATCTGCATCTGGCATACAAACAGCAGCACGACAGCTAAGTGAAAGATCAAGATACAATCTCACATTTACCTTGGGAGATGCCAATGATGGGTGCGAAGGAGATTTTCTGGTGGGTGTTGAAGCAGGATCATCTGCTCAGAATTTCACGGTTAAGAGCAAGGCGATTGGGTTCAGCCTGGTGTTTGAATCAACAGACGAACCCAGAACGCAGATCATTTTCACCAGCTACTCTGCCGCACACACAAAAGATGGTGTTCTTTGTGGTCCAGTGGTAGATGAAGTGATCTTACATCCACTTGGTGGTGGATCGGCCTCTATAAAACCTGCATGGTTACTCGTTTTCGCTTTGTTTTGTATAGCAAGCCTCTGATTGATAAGTAACAAAAAAAGGGTTTGCAATGAGATGAGATATGAATGAAACCCAGTCTTCATTCAAGTTAGCATATATGACAAAATACAATACAACCATTGTCTTATTCTTGCATTGAATCATGATTTCTACCCTTATGTAGAAAATAGAATACACAAAGCACACACAAATAGACATTTTGCTCACGGGGAGGGGGAGCCTGCTTGTTCGCAGAGATCCATCAGAGCGAGGGTCTGCAACATCAATCATTGATTTTCACATCAACAGGCATGACCATGTCCAAGCCAACAGAATAGATTGCAATTCCACTGAACGTGTACCTCAGGGATGGAGAGCTCAAGTCGAAACTTGGGGCCATCGTAATGGTGCAAGACGGGCCTGAACGCATCCTCTTCCAAAGCCTTGCACAGTTTCCTTACACGGATCCTCACCTATTTTGTGAAATGATCGGAAAACTATGAATACCTCACGGAGAGAAAAAAAAACTCATTAACTTTATACTACGGGACCTGGGCAGGAAATCGGGATTCGCCTTTGCATTTCTTGTCCTCCCACGCAGTTGGGTCGATGTTTGAACCTCCAAAGCTTGTTGCCTTTATAATTTATAAGCAAGTCATATATCAAACGTGCTATTAAACAACACCAAAACAAAGAACAAACCTCAAAAATTCCATGCAACTGATGAGTTGTGTAGTTGTAGAGAAACAAAGGTAAGCCTGGTGTTATGGCACGAACTGAATCCCTGTATCTAGGAGGCAAACCTGAGAAGTGGAAATAAAGCAAGGTATGAAGAAATGCCACACAGCAGTGTTAATTGCATGAGCAAGAGGCAATTGCGAGTACCAAAGAGCTGACGCTTCAAATCTTCCAGCATCGTGTCGTTGTTACACACAAATATATAACCCCCAAGAACTTCATTTCTAGGGAGACACTCCGAGGCAGGCAAAGTCTTGAACCTTTTATCTGCAGCAGCATTTGAATTGTCATTGTTGTTGTTATTAGCATTTCTACCCTCTTTGTTTGCAAGGCTGTTGCTGCTATATTTGCTTCCAGCCAGGTTTCCCAAAGTATTCTTCTGGAAAACGACATTCATATCATAGGCAGCATTGAACTTGGACTCCGAGCTCAATATGTTAACAAGATTGTTCTCCTCCTGAAACCCAAACTTCTCCCTTGGACCCTTGGACAGATCAAGATTGTTGAATCGTTCGCCCTTTGACCTAGTTTGTTCGGCCAGTTTGGACGCAGCCATCAACCATTTCTGATCCTCGGATACTTTGGATTGCCCTCGGAGCTCATCCCCCAGCTGCCAAAAACTGTGCATGCTCTCCATCTCTGGAATCCTATCAGGAGACAGAAATAAAACGAACAGCCTCTTTTTGCCTCGCCAAAGTATTCCTCACAGAACACAAGTAAAGTTGGCTACTTTCCACGCGAACCTACCAGAAATTCCAGATCTGACCATTGAATTAATCGACCAACTATACTGATCTAATAAGAAGGAGACTCGCTATGAAGCGGCAGTACCCTGTGCTGCCATACTCTCATTCATTCCAATTCTGAGACCAATTTTCCTTCACAAGTACAATCATTTCCACCAAAAATGAACAAGGACGACAAAGATTTCAAACCAGCATCAAGATCCGATTCTCGGACATATATTGAAGCTGATAATATATATATATATGTAGCTGCTAATGCTATCACCGCGTCATCAAGTAACATTATGCAAGAAAAAAGTTTAAAGAAGCCAACTGGGTACACAAGATAACTGAAACAGCTAACTTGAAAACCGATTTTAGGATTAAGCAAGGAAATCTTACCAGCAGACGAACCCTAGATTCCAGGACGCTAAATTGCAAGAGAGACGAAATACAAATCATTTTATTTTAATTCCACAGTGTTTGTCAGCAGCTAAATGTCCTAAATACCCCTCACTTTTCTCGTAAACTCGATCTCTGCCATTTCGGCGGTCTCAGTTCTCTCTTTCCTGATAATAAAATCACGGAACAAGCCTGCCGTTTAACAAGATGGAACGGCACAGAGTTTGGTTAGAAAAATCTGAAACGGGATGCAGAGCAAAGAGTGTTTTGGGCCTTGCCGAAATTTGAAATCCAAGTACCGATAGCTCTGGGTTTATCGTCCTCACTTGTTCGTCATCCTCATCATCCAATGGCGCTGCGTCTGAGCAGCATCTCCTTCGCTCCACGGAAGCAAGCAGTCGTTGCATTCGCCGTCAAGAGAAGCCCTAAGCGTCTCAAATACAACACTCCTCGCTTCTCTAAGGTCTCCCAAATTTCTTCTATTGCCTCTATCTCATTCTCTTCTGCTTTGCAACCGAGAAAATCCGAGCGAGAGATGATAATTTTCGTATATAGGAGGGTGGATTGCTTTGCGTCGAGGTAGACCCTTCAGGAGCTGATATATGGAAACTGGAACCTGTTGTTGAATTGCTGAGAGAGGGAGCTGTCGGTGTTATTCCTACGGATACCATGTAGGGTGCCTGGTTTTTCATCTTATTTTGATCCTGATTTTCGTTTTACTTTCTGAGGGTATCTTCCTTTTGTAGATATGCTATAGCTTGTGATTGTAAAAACCACTTGGCTGTAGAGCGTCTTCGAAGGTCAGTTCATATTTGCTGTATCCAACGCTGCAGAGTCTTGTATCCTAGCATTTTTCAAGGCTTCCATTGACAGAGATCTTGTATATGTTTTGTCTTTTTGCAGAATAAAAAATATTGAATCCTCTAAGGTAAGGAGCATGCCTGTTCTTTGGACAGTTTATTGTTTTTTTTTAAGCCTTGTAGCTTAATTAGTTTGGTTGCTGGGATTAGATGTGATGATTTATCATTGGTGTTTACAATAATCCTTCTTCTTTGATCTTCCGTTGTGACTGGGGCAGCCACTTAGCATCTTATGTAGTTCTCTTCGGGACATAGACGCATATACAACAGGGTTTCCCCGTGGCGATGGCCAAGGTCATGCAAATATTTTTCGAGCTGTCAAGCATTGCTTGCCTGGACCAGTGAGAAACTCTTTACCCTTACTGCTGTTTTGTTTTACTTTATGGTGCTATGGGAGCAAGTTTTGCAACTAATAGTCTGTTGGACATAACAATTTTCAACTGAAGTTAAAGATGACTAGGGTGATCGATGGGTGAATTTAATATTGAACATCATTCTAATTGTTGACTTGTTCTTTAGAAGGATGTATCATTAAGTGGTTCATGATGACTGAGTGCAGCTTTGTTTCAACAGTACACATTCATATTGACTGCAAGCAAAGAATTACCGAAACAATGTGTAAGGTATGGCACAGCAACCGTGAAATATGCTTCTCGGAAAAATGTGGGTGTCCGTATGCCTGATGATGCTGTCTGTCATGCCATACTAGAGAAGATGGATGCGCCGTTAATTTGCACCAGGTGAAAGGATTTCTTTTTTTTAACCCATGTTTTACTTGGTGCAGAACTTCATTTCTACTGAAATTTGTCTGCTCGATTCTAATGCTTGATGTGAATTTGTGGTCCAATGTGTAACAAGAGAAGGTGGTATTTTTCTTCTACTCACACTTTGGGAACTACAGAATGAGAATCTTACAAGAAATGTTTTTTGGCAGCGTGAGAGGGCCAAAAGAAAATGAATGGATGATTGACCCCACGGTGATTGCTGATATATATGGGCCAGAGGTATATTTCTCTCACTTGTTGATAAACCCACAGCCATATCACTAAGGTTCTCATCTGTTGTGGGTATTACTCTACTATGTTTCATTTTCTATTCTCAGGGTCTGGATTTTCTAGTTGATGGAGGTACTCGAGTGGCTGAACCTTCCACCATAGTTGATATGACGGGAGCTTATCCAAAGGTTATACGGGAAGGAAAGGTACAAATGTGGATTGAAGGCTTAATGATAAGTTAGTATGCTCTAGGATAGGATCCCAAATCAGCAACTTTTACAATCTACGAATCAAAGACTAGGTTAGTGTTTCTATGAAGGGAGGTTCTTGTCACTTGTCAGATTCAGTGGAAATAAGCACAAAAGTTAATTAAAATGAATCTTGTGAAGTTCTTCTCAACTAGCATTTGGAATTTTGGGGCTCTCTATATAGAAATGAGCCCACACAACAGTAGTCAAGAAATTGCAAAGAACACAGATAGCTGGTAATGAAAACCGGCTTAGACGTGAGGAGGTAGATGGTTTTGGGAGAGAAATAACGTTGGATATACAGGGACCTATATTGCCATGGATGGTAGTTGAAGATGGCGACTCTGTCCTACATGAGAATCTCATCCCTTCCTGCACATAAAAAGAAGAAGCTGGCATGTTGGACTTGAATTGAACAACCAGACAGCACCTGATGCATTTTTCTGATGGCCTGAACGCAGTCCTAATAATCGCCCAAGGCCAACAGCCAGGGAGGATCAGACCTACACTTGTAATATAAACTTAATAGGTTGCTGATAGCCTGATACATATATATTTGTGTGTGTGTGTGTGTGTTGAAGGAACTTATTCCAGCTAGAGGGTCGGCCAGTACCACAACAATGCCCACTCTCTTGGTCCCTGGCGTCACGCTCCTCGCCGCTTTCTTTAAAGGTGGCCTCACATCTTACGAGCCTTAGTGGATTTTCTTTTCGGAGATTTACTGTGTTTGTTATCATGTTTTTATTTCCAAATCAATTTTTATGTTACAAGTTTTTATTTACAAAATATGTAGTTTTTCCATATCGCATTTTAGTTTTAAAAATTCTATCTCACTGTAATATATCTTAAAAAATCAGAGACACCTAACCTTTGAAAGAAATCATTTTGGACTTACTTTAAACTGTAACTTAGCAGGCATAGGTTCATACTTTTTTGTGAAACAAAATCACAAGACTTACAATCTCGTCGCGAGACCGCTCAGTTGAAAGGATGTGAATCTGTTATTTCTTTGCAGCTTCCAAGGCTTCAACATGCGATTTTGATCGGTGATGAGTGCTAACCTCCTACAACGATCAAAATCAACTTTCATACATATCCCTTCGAACAAATGTAGCCGTTCAGAACTAAAAAAGGACCCCAAAACTTCTTTAAGTGGCCCCAGGTGCCTCTGGGGTTTTCGGCCCACTTTCCCTTCGAATGGAGCGAGGAACAAAGGGGAGCCCACGGCCATGTCGGCGGCCGAAGCTGATGTTGGTGTCTGAAGTTGCGAGTCTGGACACCGCCGACACTAGGCCTTCTATGTCAACTCTGGCTTCCACTTCCATGGACTGCGAACAAGTTCCTTCTTCTCCTTCATCCTGTTTCAGTTTTGATCGGTGCCTGCTTTGGAGCCTCTCTCTCCGCTTCTTTGATGGACGGGCCTTCTTTAAGAACTCGAACGTAGTTGGAAATTTGTGTTTGTCAACTAGGTGTTGATGCCGGGCTTTGTAGTTCTTGAATTTCATTCCACACCCTTCCACAAGACACTCATACTGTGGATTTGTATTAGACAGTTGAAACAACCACCAAAAAAGAAAAAGGATTCAGAATCAAATCACAGATGCTATAACGGTCAACCGAGGTTCTAGAGCTGCCTTCAAACAATATCATACCCATGAAATAAGAAAAAGGTCAATACGATACCATAGCATATCCACGATCAACTTTGGCTTGGAAGAAAGAGTCGTGTGTTTCGGAGACGTGGATGCTAAGGAGACGAGAAGTAGGGTAGACCCTCGTGCATACTGAACAGGATGCAGCATGCCGTGCATGATAGTGAGCCTCAAAGTTTTCCAAAGAACTCAGCCGCTCCCCACAGCCGACAATTGGACATGAGATTCTTCTGCTCAAACTCACAAACATAATAATCTTTTACCAAAATCAAGAAACGTTTCAAACCAAAACTGTTCTGAACTTTATAGTTTATAATCAACGCAAAAACTAGTGAACTATCAGAAAAACATAAACCGCTGACATTACAACCATTATATTCATGCCCTTACATCAGTATTATAAGCAGGATTTTCCTCTAAACAATACTATGTAAAATGATTGTTACTTACTGGCTTTAGAAATTATTTAAAAAAGGCAACCAGGAGACAGTCTTCGGCCTAAAGGAGAGAAACCACTATGTTTACAGAGTCTTATCACAAAAACGTAAGAGGCAGCAATCAGGTCAGCGAGAAAAGGGATGAATCGAAATAAGAATGTGAACAATCACGAGAATAACGTTTGAAAAAGCCAATGCCACAATACGGTTGACGCCTTTGTACAATCAGATTGTTGATTAAATTCCTTGATACAATACAGTCGTAAGTAAAAGAAGAAGAAAAAAAGACAGCCAAGTGGAGTGTTGAATACCTGCTTTCGTTTTCTACAATCATCTGGAGTTGATGCCTTTCATCCTCCGTCAAGTCCAATGCCACCTGACAAAGTGAAACAATGTTCAAGAGAAAGTAAATGCTTGAAGTTGAACCACGAGCTCTTAGGCATGCTAAACAAGCTACATAAAAGACATACACGATGGTTCATCGATCATCGGCCGCAATTCAAGAACACCAAAGAAAAGATAGGACAAGGTAAAGTTTTCTCGGTATATTCCCTTCTGGCTTTCAGGACACCAAAGAAATTCAATGTTCACTTACGGCTTCATGAGAAAATTCAACCTAACAAATCTAAGAAAGTGTTCAATTTTTTCCTGGTACCGGAAAAGTACCTCCGAAGATCGTACAAAAGAAGAGGAAATAATCGATAGGAAATCTGATGACAGAGATGGAAATCGAGAAGATTGAAACCTGTTTGGCAAGCAGTTCTCGCTCGACATTACCGGAGGAGAAGAAAGGGGAATCGGGAGGGAAACTTCGGGGGAGAGGAGCCCAGTAGGGAAATCCAAAATCGGGGGGGGAGTCTCCCGCCATAGCCATTGCGGTAGAAGTCCTCAAGATGAAGAAAATTGGGGATCAACGAATTTGAAATTTTTCGAATATCCTGCCATCCATTTTCCTCGTTATATTCTCCAGAACATTGGGCCCATAATATACGGCCTTCTCGGCCCATCGTTTGATTCTGTGCTTCCTCGTACATTATTATTATTATTATTATTATTATTATTATTATTATTATTATTATTATTAATGTATATACATGCGCTAATTAAATAAATGTGTGTGCATTCGGAGAAGGTCAGAGCTTCTCAAAGTCCGGCGTGTACTTGTATATAGATGGTAATAATGATAATAGTAACATTGTGTGGTTAATTAATACGGATATGAAATTGAATGCTGTTGGGGGACAAAATACAACCCCCCACGCCAAGTAAAAGACAACTGGCCCTTCTTTTTTTTTTTACGTCTCATTTTAATAGTCCGCGGTTAATATTATAAGGTATAAAAACGGTCTTCCAATTTAATAATCCATGCAACTTACAATATTTTTTTTTGAATGATTAGTTTGATGATGTGTAAATTACTGACCATGAGGGAGGGGAGTTAGTTAAAATGTCGTATTCATTCATAAACCCGCTACACAAGAAATGTTTGGGGAGCTTAAATTCAACTTTTGTATCTCAAAAGGAAGAGGTCCATGATCAATAATAATAATAATAAAATTCCGTGTTGTAGATAGACGAAGTCGGGGTTGAAGAGGGCACCGTGTGAGGACGGTAGATAGTATATCATATATAAAACAAAGAGCAGTGCAGAGGTAATATGCTGAGGAGAGTGGCAGATGCCACAAAAGGAAGAAGAGATGAGAAAGTGGGTGGTGGTGTTGGCGATGGCGGTGGCGATGGCGATGGTGATGGAGTGCGGAGAAGCTCAACAACTGAGAGAACAGTTCTATGGGACGAGATGTCCCAACGTAGAAGAAATAGTGAAGGAGGCCGTCTCTCTCAAATTCCAGCAGACCTTCGTAACTGCCCCCTCCACTCTCCGCCTCTTCTTCCACGACTGCTTCGTTCAGGGCTGCGATGCTTCCGTCCTCATCTCATCCCCCAACGGAGACGCAGAGAAGGACGCTCCCGACAACCTCTCTCTCGCAGGCGATGGCTTCGACACCCTCTCCAAGGCCAAACTTGCCGTCGAAACTCACTGCCCCGGTGTCGTCTCTTGCGCCGACATTCTAGCCCTCGCCGCCCGTGACGTCGTCCTCCTCGTATGTATATACGTCTTCTCCTTCCATACTTCTGCGCATTTATATATATATATATAACCAATGATCGATGAGGATGCAGGTGGGAGGGCCTCGATTCGAGGTGGAGCTGGGGAGACTAGACGGGAGAGTGTCAAAGGCGTCAGAGGTGGCGGGGAAGCTGCCGGGGCCGGACATGAACCTGGAAGAGCTGACGGACATATTCGGCAAGAACAACCTCTCTCAAGCGGACATGATCGCTCTCTCTGGGGCCCACACCATCGGATTCTCCCACTGCAGCCGCTTCTCCCGCCGCATCTACAACTTCACCGCGCTGATGCCCCTTGACCCCTCCCTGGACGCAGCCTACGCTCAGCAGCTCAAGGCCGCCTGCCCTCCTGATGTGGACCCCACCATCGCCATCGACATGGACCCCACAACCCCTCGCGTCTTCGACAACGTCTACTACCAGAACCTGGTGGCTCGAAAGGGCCTTTTCTCATCCGACCAGATCCTATTCACCCATCCAGCTTCTCAGCCCACCGTCTTCACCTTCTCCAACAACCCTGACGCTTTCAACGCCGCTTTCGCATCCGCCATGAGGAAGCTCGGCCGCGTTGGCGTTAAGTCTGTCCCCCTCGGTGAGATTCGCACCGACTGCTCTTCCTTCAACTCCTGAACCCCAACAGTGCATATATATCATACACACACAATGACTTCCAGTTTGCCATTCATCATCCGTTTCTTCTTAGTTTGTGTTCTGTACTTATAAATAAGATTTCCTTTTTTATTACATAGTGTGTTTCGCGTATGATTCAATGCAGAAAACTTTCCAGTTCCAAAGTCTGTTTGTACATACATGCATACAAAGAGGCTACCTTGCAGCGCAAGAGACATAAATCGCTTTGTCCTGAAAAAAAAAACCTCAGGAATCTGAATAAAGAATCCATTACAACAAATCATACAGACGTGACATACAAAAAACAAAAAGATACAGAATCGATGCATCTGTACGGGGGACATGGAAGACCAACACAGAATACGTTCACAATGCAATACAACTTATGCTTTTCTTCGTGCAAGAATCATTTCTTTTTTTTTAGAGACGAATGAATGAAAATCAAGGACGGGTTTTTCCATAGAGATGGGCGTAAACCGACTTAGTACGACGAACGAGGATCAAGCTCAAGGCGCAAGCGATGACGCAAAATCCAGACATGATGAGGGAAGTCAAGAAGTAACAGATGGAACCTTGGCATCTGAGAGGCTCATCAGGATCGTAAACGGTGCCATGGGATTGCCTCTCAGCCTCTCTGTCATAAATGGAGCTCGCTATCAGACCCGAAAACACGAGGGAGCCTGCCGGATTGGCCAGCGTCAGGAAATTGTAGAGTGCTCCAAACTTTTTGAGGCCAAAGAGCTCAGAAGCGGTGGCTGGGACTATGGCCCAATGAGCTCCATAGCCGAGTCCTATCAGCAGCGTCCCAATGTGCATCGCTCCTGGCCATCCATACGCGAAGAACACGTGTCCCACCGCCATTACTATCTGAGCCACCGCCATCGCCACCGGCCTTGGGTAGGCCTGCTCTCTTTTATACAAAATCCACATACGAAAAAACATTCATTGATTGTTCGCATACTTTCATGAGTTTCAACTTTTGATTACATACCTGACAATGAGCTCAGAGAAGTAACCTCCGCCGATGCGTCCAAGAAAGTTCCACACACTAATCATTGACACAAACACATGAGTGTTATCGTACCCGAGAGATTGACTCATCTGTCCGAGGTTATCAATCACCGTCAATCCCGAACCCGAACCAAGCAGCAGAGAGAAGAATATCAGCCAGAAATCGGCCTTCACCAGCGCCTCTGTTAATGTAAAATCCTCGCCTCTGTGAGGCCCTCTTCTTCTCTTGATTCGAACTGCACCCTCCGCAGCCGCCTGCATTAGCTTCGCTTGCAACTGCGCAATTCTCTTCTGTCTCTCTGACGCAGGTAGCAAATCCACTTCTTTCGGTTTCTCATCTTCCACTTCACTCAGTATCACCTCCTGGTCACGGTCAGGCGTCGAAATAGAAACTTGTTCTGACTGACCCGGTTCTTGGTCTGCCCGTTTTGGAACAAGCGGTTCTTCAAGTGTGGCAGAGGGATCATTTGACTCTATGAAGCAACTGGTCATGATGGGGACCAGGATGGGCACGAGGAGGATTGCAAATAACACCACAGTGAACACAATGATGATGTTATGGCTCAGATCAATCAGATCTTCGACAAGCATCACCGCCATGAGATATGCAGCCAGCAGTATGCAGACTCCGTAAATGAATGTAAAGCTCGTCCCATCTGTGGGACGGATCTGCCTGTGACCCCCAACGGGTCGGATGAAGAACATCAGGGCCACAACGACCACTGCTGGACCGACCGCGACCATGAAGATGAGGGAAGCATGGTCAGGGGAGTGGATCATTGTATATATCTGCGATAGGATTGCACCTCCCAGCCCGGCAAAGCCCTTGAGGATCCCAACCACTGGACCACGGCTCTTGGGGAAGTTCTGGACGCATGAAACTAATGCGGCCGTGTTAAAGTATGTCTCCCCATTGTTCCCTATGAATATGAGGACACACATCTGACAAGATAGAAGAGGTTATGGATCAAAACGAGTGTCAGGTGATGCGGAAGAAAGCCAGTCAATCTGATCAAAATTGTTCCTACTGCATGCGACTTATGACTTGACATCGTTAAAGATGAAAATCAAAACTTTCTTTGGAACTTTCTCAGATATCTGGAAAACCATACAGCCTTGAAATGAAACTTTGGCAGAGAGATTTAGGATTTAGAGTTTCTAATCCGGAAAACCTTCTGCATATCCGCACTTCTTTACCGAGTGTGGATTTGTTGAACAAGGAACACAGTATTTTGGAGCTATGTCTCAGATCTACGGAATTACTCCAAAGAGGGAACATTATGCATGCATGCTGGATTTATTCTGCAGAAAAGGAAGATTTGCAGAAGCGGAAAGCCTGATGGAGACAATGCCATTTGACCCAGATGAAATCATGTGGTCTTCGGTTTTGAACTCATGTCGAATTCACAAGAATCTAGAATTGGCTGAGAAAGCTGCATTGCAGCTCTTCAGTATGGACAAACTCAGGGATGCTGCTTCATATGTGAACATGTCCAACATTTATGCAGCTGCAGGTCAATGGGGAAATGTTAGCCATGTCAACCTACACTTTCTTGAAAAACAAACAACCTTCAAGAGAAAAGAATATCATAAAGGATCAACCCAACCCAACCCAGTTATGATTCCAATAGAAAACAACGGGATCTTTACCAAAAAGGCCCATGTCGTTGCTATATAGTCGATTATGAATCAATCAAATGTGTTTATATCGCATGAAGACCAAATCATTTCGAAAGGAGACGCCGGACAGAAGGAGAATAAAAAACAAAAGTGGAAAAGGGAAACTTTCTGAGAGGTGTTCCGTTGCTTTCCTGGTAACGAAACAACCTTAAAAAGAGAACTTTCTCGGAGATTCTGCGGCACATTGCTAGCAAACCCTGGAAGGAAACCTTAGAACAAAGCGCCCAACTTTCTCGTCACCAAGAAAAACTTCAGCCCAATCCAACATGTAACCACAGAGATCCAATCCCGGATATGTCCAACCGGGAAATCAAATATGAAATCCCAAATCGGGTGGAAAGAAAGATGATTGATAGAAAGGTGATGGGAATACTCACAGCCCATAAGGGAAGAACAGGAGCTCGGCCGGTGACGATGAGCCAAACCCAGCCGTAGCCGAAAAGGTTCTGGAAAGCGCCGACGAGAAGAGCGGCCCAGAGAGGCAAAACCTCGGAGAGAGTGCCGGCGAGGAAGCCGACGCTGTCGCCGAGATCCTTGGCGACGCCGAGCCTGGCGAGCTCTCTCTGGTTGTAGTTCAAGGAGCTCTTGATAACGGGAGAGATGCTTCCGAACAAGTATCCGATGCCGGCGCATGATTGAATCCACATGGCCGCAATGAAGACAAGCCATCGGTTGTTGATGAACGATACCAGCTTATCTCGCGCAGTCGCCGTCATCGGAAATCGGGGGGAGAATTCGTTTACGCTAGCCGGGATCGAGAAATCGGGGGCGATCGCAGAGATGTTTTGCGCCGGAAAAACAGGACAAATTGGTCTTGATTTTTTATTTTTATATTTTGGAATTGATGTTGTCTTCTCGTTATCGCCATTACCCCCTATGATTGGTTGGCCGGAATAAATTATGATAATAATTTTTTTTTTCGTAAGAAGCGAAAATAATGAGAGTAACACGGTAGATTTGACCTGTAGGATTACATACATCAATATTTCCTTTGATTCATTCGCCACAACAACACTGCCTTTCATTGATTATGTCGGAAAACATTTCCAAAGTCGCTCATCTTTCTCCGATCCCACCCTCGTTTTAAACACAACAGCAAAGCAACAATGACTGATTCGCCGACCCTTTTATGTATATATATAAAATTGTTGCTTCATCTCTCATTCATATTATCATCCACCACCCCAAGTGAATGTGTCTCAAGGCAAGAATCGAATGCTTAGCCTCCAGAACAATCAAACCCCATCTTCCCCCCTGGATAATAATAATAATAATTAATTAACGCACAGAATGGTTCTTTGCTTCACTTGAGAACCGTACCCTCCGCTTTTGTCCTCCTCAAGCTGCATATATATTTACCACACCAAGATCCATATATAGAGGGGGGGAGAGAGAGAGATAAATAGGCATTGGCTAAGAAGAGCGGGTGAGTCTGTGTGTGTAGTTAATTTCTTGAAAGAAGAAGAAGAAGAAGAAGAAGAAGATGGGGTTGGATTGGGGGCCGGTGGTGATGTCGGTGGTGCTGTTCATAGTGCTGACGCCGGGAGTGCTGTTTCAGTTGCCTGGAAAGACGAGAGTTGTTGAGTTTGGCGGCTTTCAGACAAGCGGCGCCGCCATCTTCATCCACACCCTCATCTTCTTCGCCCTCATCACTATCTTCCTCATCGCCCTTCATCTTCATATCTATGCCGGCTAACTACTTCACGTTTCGCATTTCTTTCTTGTTTTGATATTTTCGGATATTATTGATTAAATGCCTCCCCTTCTTCGCTTTTTTGTTGGGTTCCTTTCCTCCATTTGTGTTTTTGTTATATATATGGACCATGCAACGACGTATATATACAACTCAGATCAGGTAAAACATACAAGTTTAGAATGAAACTTAGTGGGGGATATTCAACTACGGTAAACAGTAAAAATTATTTGCTGAAACCTGAAAAGCGAACGAGGAAGGAATTAAAGCTTCTCATCACGCTTAAACCTCTCCTGAACGGAAGAGATATAAGAAGAGGCCCTAACGTCAATGGTGTCGTCGGCGGCAACAGGGCTTCCAAACAGCTTCTCCGCCAGCTTATTCAGCTTCTTCTCCATCTCGTTATTACTACTCTCCGCTGCTGCTGCTGCCATGGAAGCGGATGAATTAAATATTTTTTTTTATAATAGAAGATATAATAACGAAATGCATGCTTACATGGTTGGAGGGGGAAAGAGACGTTGGGCTGAGCCGAGGAGGAAGCAACATAAGTAGTAGAGTGAGGAGGATGACGAAGGAAGGAGGTGGTGGTGGTGTTGAGGTTTGGGGAAGAAGCTGCAGGTTGAGTAAAGGCCGCCATCATTTTACCTTTAAAGAATCCAACTCTTGACCTCCTCCCGCCCTTCATCCCTCTCCCTTGGTTTTGACGATCCATGTTTCCCCATTCATCTCATGTGTTTATATGCATGCACCATTCGCGTAAACAAAAGTTCACCCTTTTGCCTTTCGAAAAAATATCAGAGAGGGAATATTATTATCTCAGGCAGTGTTCATCCTTATTACACACACACTCGCCTAAAATATTCGTCTCCTCTTTGCTTTCACGTATTTGGATCAAAGTAAACGCAGGCTCTATATTTGTTTTGTTTTTTTTTTTTGCTTCTTCTAAAATGTTTATATATTAATTCTTCGTTAAATAACAAAGATGTACCGTCGGGGAAATGATATATATATATATATATATTGTTGTACTCTGTTATACGATTCGAATCTAGAAATAATAAATTTTCAAAATCGTTACCCGATTACGTTTACGACTGACTAAGAAAGAGTAACAGTCCAATTTATATATGAGTTGTCTTTTCAAGAATATCTTCGTCTCCAAACCGTATAGGTTCAAAATATACATATATGAGATCCGTATGTATATAGAGTGTTATTCTTATCGAATCAATAACATATAAAACACAGAGGAATAAAGGGGGCGAATAATAGTGGATAAGAAGCATGTCTCTTTCTGGGATATCATCATCATATTCGTTCTTTCCAATTATATTTATTCGCAAAGATCGTGTTGGCAAATTATATGTTATTTCACATACTCGCAACAATCACGATAACATCAGACAAACATAAAATGGATGACCTCAATTACGACGCTTGGCTCAATTTTGTCCTTGCAAGGCTCTGTCTTCTTCCATCTCCATCTCTTACTTTGAAAAAAAAATTACAAATACATTTTCATATATGTGTTATTCTTACTACCATCTCATATTGATTTTCACTGGTGTAAAAAGTTCATAAATTTCTGGAGACGAACGGAATCTTACCAGTTTCAAATTTTACTAATTATTTTTACATGGTCATTAAATTTCTCATTCGAGATTTTTATTGACTCTGTATATATATATAGAGACGTAAACGGCAAATATGTTTCGAATGCATGCAATGCAAGTCATAGTTGTTTAAGATAGAAGAAAAAAATCACATGAAGGATTTGAGACGGGGTCTGACAAGAGACTGAGCTCCATCGACGAAGACAGAAGTGCCAGTCATGAAGCGGGAGGAGTCACTGATGAGGTATATAACAGTGGAGACCACATCCTTGTGCTGGTCGAGCCACCGCCCCAGCGGTGCAGCGTCCTTAACCATCCTCTCAGCTCGCTCTCTCCCCACCCAACTCGGATATTCGTCACCCAGGTGCAGCCCCCTTGCTATCATGTTCACCCTAACCTTGTGCTTCCCCATCTCCATCGCTGATGTCTGCATATTTACCATTTCCAAACATTATCCAAGTAGAAAAAGAAAAAGAAAGTTATTCAGCGACATGACTACCAAGAGAGCAAGAAAATACCCGAACTAGCTGATGGACTCCCGCAGAGCTCGCGCTGTAAGCAGCAGCTCCTGGGTAGAGCCCTCGTTCTGCACTTGCAATTGTGGCCATAAGAACGATTGAGCCTCCCGCTTCATTTTCCTTCATTCTCCTTCCAACAGCCTTCACCAGAAACCATGGCGCCATGAGATTTATCTTTGTGATTCTCTTGAATTCATCTTCAGAGACTTGCAGAATGTCCTGCATCTTCCCTGTTTCATATTCACCATCCCTCAAAAGTATTAGTCGAGGAAAGCCATTTAAAGGGAGCTAAAATGCTGCAGGAATTTTTTTTTTACCCTCGTAGGCATAACAGTTGACGAAAGCATCCACATAGCCCAACCTCTGGAAGGCCTTCTCAACTGCCTCATCGAAAGCTTCCTCGTTATCAGCTTCCATGTCAATACCAATTACTTCGACTGGCAAGACACCCTCTATCGATCCCATGATCTTCTCTCCAATCTTCCTTAGGCAGCCCTCATTTCCCATCAGAACTAGCCTGATCATCAAAGAACCATTCATGAACATTACAGCAGACCTTATGTGAGTGGCACTTAGAAATTGAGAATTGTATAGAACAAACTACATAGATATGCAAATTTGTAACAAAGGCAAGACTACCAAAAGCATACCATGGCCGGGTACAGACACATCCGTCTTATCGTGTAAAACAAGAAGCAAACATGATGAATCTAAAAAGAAATAAAACACGTAGACTAGTCTGTGCATCAAACAAGAACCTATCTCTTCCCTGGTAGCCGTACGTAGAACCTTTCTAAAATATAAGACAAGTGAAATCCTTTCATTTGATCAAATCATAGGAACAGAAGATGGGATCAAAGCACTTGAGGTTGAGGCTCCTACCTAAATGTGAGAACTTGATAGAATGACCAGCAATGATACACGAGAAAGAACTTGGGATGCATAGTACAAAACAAATCCCAAGGGAAAAGTATAAAATATACGGTCTCAGAAAACATGCAGAAGGAATATTCCGAAAAATCTGGTTTTTTCTGGGCAACAAATTGACGATGCACATGGCCACGAAATTCAAACATACAAGGGAAATACGAAGAATGAAAAGGGTGAACTTACCGACAACCCTGTTTGGCTAGATGGAAAGCGATGTTCCGAGAAATCCCGTCGCCGTTGGAAGTCAACAACACTTTCTTAGCCGGATTTTCCATACTGTAACACCGAAAAGCGCGGAAAATCAGAAGAACATCTGAATCATGAGAAAGGGATGCATGCAATCATACCGGAGTGAAGAATCGCTTCGGCTTAGGGGGTAACCCTCCTCGATGATTCCGTCGGAAGGAAACTCTGGTTGGTACTTACTCGCTCTCACATTAACTCTTTTTGAAATGCCTAATCACATGATCCAACCAACCAGGTGGTGTTAGATAAGGTGGGTGGGTCAAACGGGCCTTTACGAGTCCAACTTTTTTGGGGCCGTTTGCTAAATAGATTCAAACTATTAACTTGTGGTCCAACCCTCTTTAACTAAAAAAATATGTACAGGCCCATTATCTGTTTTTTTTTTCAGATAAAAACTATTTATTTACTTTTAAAATTCTAAATATATTTTTAAACTATTTTCTAATTAAAATAATTAGTTTATTGATCTACATATATTAATCCATTATAAAACCGTTTTATAGTTAAAATAAGAGCAGATAAATTAATGGAAAAATCGCCAAAACAATTATGTAAATGGATAAAAACCCTATATTTTTTTTATTACCAAACATATTTATACTTATTCGCCGAAAAAACTTTATAGACAAAAAAAATCCTATATTTTTTTTTATTACCAAAAATCCTATATTTATAACTTATTCGCCAAAATATACCTATATTTTATAAATTTTAACAAATAAATCCATAAACGCAAACGCCAAAAAATACGGGAAAAAATCTGTTCGAACCTAACCCAACTGATATATATCCGAACCGAATCGAACCGATTAAAATTTTAAATCCGAAATAAATGTATTTATTTAAATACTATTTTTTTAAATAACCGAATCCAAAATATACGAGATTTGATTTATATTGATCAGATTCGGTTCGATTATTTTGGATTTGAAATATTCATACCCAATATGGTATATTATTTTAATCGATTTGATCTAGTTTGGTTATATAGCGGTTGTGTTACGTTCGGACATATTTTTTACAAATTTTTTGAGCGTTTGTGTTTAGGTGTTTATTTGCTAGATTTTATAAAGTACATGTATATTTGGACGAATAAGTTATAAGTATAAGATTTTTTAGGTAACAAAAAAGTATAGGATTTTTTTGTCTAACATTTTAAAAGTACATGGTTTTTTTAGTGAATAAGTATAGGTAAAGGGTTTTTTAAGGGAAAAATATATGAAAATTTCTGAATTTGTAATTTGGTATAATATTAATTTCTGAACTTGTATCTATTTATTCCCGAACTTGTATTTTTAAACTCACTAATTCCTAAACTTGTATTTTTGAACACACTAATTCATAAATTTGCATTTTTGGACACACTAATTCTTAAACTTATATTTTTGAACACAGTAATTTCTAAATTTTAATTTGATCAATTACTGTTATGGACGATTATAAAACTGGTTTAGAAATTACTGTATTCAAAAATATAAATTTAGAAATAAAGAAGTATATCTACAATTTCACGAATTAATATTACACTAATCAAGAATTTTGAGGTATGTTTTTTTTATTTTTAATAATAAAAAAATATAGTTTTTTTTTATTAGGTGGTTTTTTTTGGCGATTTTCCTAAAATTAATATATATAAAATAGTTTTTGCAGAGGAAAAGATTTATGATTCAGTTCTCTGGTAAAATCTCCGCATCCATTGAAGAAATTGGCTGAGCTCAGAGTGTGGGCATGACACTGTCGACGCTTGCGAGCTTCTCCGTTCCCCCCCAAATTGCTGGAATCGACCGTATCCACCCGCCTCAATTATCGTTGTTCTCTCGCTCTTTTGGACTGCGTCATTCTTCAGAGTTCGATTTCTCATCGTGCTTTCTCTCTCTCTTGGTTCTCTGCTTATTCCATAGGCATAGGATGACGTCGCGAAGGTCGAAGAAGGCTATGGTAACCTCGTGCGGTTATTCATGTTTCGAGGTGGGTTTCCACTTCTATTCGTTTTTGTATACGTGTACGTGAGCAGGTATGAACGAATGCTCATGTATTCACGCGGGATTCACGCGTAGTGAACGGGACCTGAATTTGATTACTGATTTTGATGTACATGTATTCAAATCATTTTGATTTTGTTTGCTTGGATCTAGATTCTACACTTTACCCTGTATTTGCGATTGTCAAATGATTGATGGCTGATAGTACTTCCATTTCTGTCTAGGTCAGGGATCTCTGCTACCGTCCTCCAGGAACCCAGTTCAATATTTTGAACGGTGTTAATTTTTCTCTCCGTGAAAACAGGTAACTGGATCTTCATTTCTGTGTTGGTCTCGAATAATGATACACGAAATTGTTTTAGTTTGTTTCTTAATCTTTTTCCGGCACTCAACTTTGTGTTTTGAATCCTTTGCAGCTTCGGCTTGATTTTCGGGAAGAGTGGGAGCGGGAAAACTACTCTTCTGCAGGTCAGATATTCCACTAGTTCTTTATACCTTAAGGTTTGCATTCTATGTCCTTTACTCTCTCCTCTTATCACCATTTGTCCGCAGCTACTTGCTGGGCTAAGCAAACCTACATCAGGTTCCATTTGTATTCAAAGATATGGGGATGACAGCCAACCAAAGGGAGTTCCAGAGTTTCTGCCAGCCGAAAAGGTTGGAATTGTTTTCCAGTTTCCGGAGAGGTAATGCTCATGTTTAGTCTTTCCTTTTCATGGTTTTCTTGAGGGTTATTATTGGATTATTTGTCCTTTTAGCATCTCTGAGCTGTAACTCCATTGGTGATGAAGGCCATTTTGGCCTTGCAGGTCTCACATTCTAGGAAGAGTTGGTCTGATTGAATGCTAGAGAGAAACGACAAATGATGTGTCTAACATAGGTGTTTTTCTCCAGATACTTTGTTGCGGATAATGTGCTTGACGAGATTACTTTTGGTTGGCCAAGGCAAAGGGGTAGGTTGCAACTAAAGGAGCATCTGACCTTCAATCTCCAGAGAGCATTTAAATGGGTATTTTACTCCTCTTGATTTGGAAATTTTGTCTAAATATTATGTAGCACCCCTTCTTCTATTTGCTTTCTTCTCAAATTGCTAGGTTGGATTAGATGGGATCCCCCTGGACAAAGATCCTCAGTTACTGAGTGGAGGCTACAAGCGCCGGCTTGCGTTGGCTATTCAATTGGTGAGAATATCTATATTGTTCTATGATCAATACAAGATAAGACGATCCATTTAGAAACATGGCGTATTCTGCATAATTATTGATTCTGTAGGTTCAAACTCCAGACTTATTGATATTGGATGAGCCCCTCGCCGGTCTCGGTATGAAGTTCATTCTGCCACTTCAGTTTCTTGGATTATAAAATTTGTACTGTATTTTCCCTATCCTGTATTTGTAAAACAACGGTCAACGGTGTGCTGGGTGCCTTTTTCTTTCAATGTTTGCTGCTTCTCATTCCTCAGGAACATGTTTTGTTTCTGAAGCTTTCCCCGAATTCCACCAGCTTATTTTGATCTGCTTTAAACTCATGGAGGTCTTCTATTGTATTGGTACATCTTTGTAATATTGTTTCTGTTACCAGATTGGAAGGCACGTGCAGATGTTTCAAAGCTCTTGAAGCACCTGAAGAAGGAAGTGACATTGCTTGTCGTAAGTCATGACCTAAGGTAAGGTGATTATCTTCCCTTTGCTTCTGTGTATGCGCTGATTTTACGCAGGTATTTTTCCCTTGCGTCAAAAGCTTAGAAAGTGAATTATTAGGTTCATTATGTAAAACAAGTTTCTGAATCTTCAGAGTTTTCATTTATACAATGATTGTCAGACAAACTTACACAATTAATCATTTGCTCATCAGGTTACTTTTCATTTAATGTAGCTTACCTTCAGATGAAGATTTGGACTCCAATTTTCCCCTTTATGATTTACTGTATCTGCTTCTCTGTTTTCTCTCTGTTCCTTTGGAACTTGTCGCAGGGAGTTAGCAGGTTTGGTTGACCAGTCATGGAGAATGGAAACAAGTGGTGTTCTTCATGCAGAACACCTGCCAGTTTAATTCATGACTCTGTAATACTAGTCATGGACGTTGTAGTCAGACCAGGTTTGATTCTGTTGATTCTGATTTTTATTGGGGGTTTTCTTGCGCTCAAGAGCTTGGAACTGTCACTCATCCATTACGCTGGGTTGTCCCTGGTAGGTTTGGTGATAAAGAGGGTAAAATGGCAGGGTTTAACATTTGAAAGTTGTGATATCACATGTCAAGTATGATCCTTCCCTTGGAGATAAAAATTGGTCTGACTCACTGTTTATGAATTTCTTGTTTTAAACACTCCAAATGATTTATATCATAGATCACGCAACCTGTAAAATTTATTATCAAAGATTAACACAAGATTAACTTTTGCAGTAATGTTTTGAATACATCAGCCTTAATCACACAGCAAGCACCCATGCATTGTATAACTGAAAACACACTCGCACAATGTATGCATTTCTTCTGATCCCATTTGCTACAGCTCCAACACAAAGTCTGCAAAACAATTGTGCAATGCAATTAGGTTGAAACAAAAAAGGCATGAATGCCTGTGCTATGTTTGAAATCTCAGAGTACTGGAGTTTAGTTATCAAGCAATTGTTCCGCATATTACTGAGCCTCTTCATTTAGCTCAGATAATGGAAGTAATAATCACATTCTTCCATCAAACATGTATAGAATCATGCAAACATATATGTGTGAATTATGTTGAACTTACACTCTGCATCTGTTTTGATCCAATGTTCTCCATTCCTGGCTGAATCAGAACCTTTTATCTCACACTGGATCTGTCTTTTGCTCATCACATTACTTGAGTTTCCCTTCTCTGAGATTAACCCCAGATAATCTGGTTCTGTGCTTTCTGCAGTTTTCATTTTGCCATTGATTTCCCTTTCTGTTATGGAGTTTTCAGGATGTACTTTCCGATGGAAGATTTGGATTATCTGCATGTGAAATAATTAAGAGCAGACTTGTTAGGAGCACGGCTTGCAACTTAGAGCATGATAGTATACCTTCCTCCAATGTACCATGACGGTCCCTAGGAAAGGCCCACTATGAATCTTGCATCATTTACCTGAAATAATTTACAGTGTATACCTGTTCGAGATTTGGCATCTATCATCACAGACATGCCAAAAGTATGGGGTATTAACAAAGTATATTACAGAAGAAGCCACACCTTTTGGAATTTCTTCTTTGTGGATGGTGAATCAGTTTTTCCACCCGTGGAGAACCTTGAAGAAGAATGAATCGTTTTCAGTAGCTTCTTCATCGGATTTTTTGCAGACCGGTGAGCTGGATTGGTTTGCATCAATTTATTCTCGCACTTGAATTCCGAATTTTCTTGTATGTTTGTTCTCTGAAACAGCTCGCCAAGTGATGCCTTTTCTTTCGTTGCTCCAATTTTTGTTTTTGGTAGTTCAATTGAAGAACCAAAAAGATACCCTTGAAGTGGAAATATTGTTGTCTTGATGTCTTCTTTAGCATTCTCTCCCTCGAGAGGCTTAATGGTAGATGCAATAGTGTTTGCGTTACTGTTCCTTGCTGATGGTTGGTCATGTCCTTCAGCTTCAGCCTCAAAGAACTTTTCCAACTCATCACTAATGAAGTTCAAATCATTCTGTGTCACCTCTGCTTTTTCTTCTATTGGGTTCTCTAGCGACATGCCAAATGTGGGCGTTCCCGGTTCATCCACTGCTGGCTCTCCGCCAAGGGTTCCAATAGCAAGAAATCCGTGAAAGAGCTGACTGATCATCTCATCTTCGAGGTTTTCTTCTGTATTATCTGAGGATTCTGGAAAGGAGCTTTCCTGGAACTTGTTGAGCTGCCTCATGAATTCAGTATTGTATCCGGATTCAGCATATGATGCGGTGTCAGCAAGGGATGAATGAGTCGAAAGGCGGAAACAGTTGTTTCCTGAAATGAAATGTCATCAGAAATGGAATGTTATTCATTTTCAAAGAAGCAATAACAACTTGATACCAAGGTTAGCCATGAATGTAAGAAAAAAAGCTTTTATTTTGAGGGATAAAGAAAATGTTTACTAATTTAATGCTTTTGCAATTGGCAGGTACAAGCATGGATATATCTTGATTTGTTTGTTGGGAAAGCTGCTTGGATTTACAAAATGATGAATCGCTAGGGTCAAATCCAGTGGCTGCGTTATCATGTCAGAGATCGGGTTGCCAGATGAAATTGGGTTAGTTGATATGAATAGATAATGGTCTTTACTGGTTATTTGACTCATACCAAATATATCGCGCCTATGAGCACATGGTCCTAGTTTTTTTTTTCCATGACAGAGTTGGTCATTTATTCCTATCAAATAAAGGAGTTTGATACTAAATCCTCCATGAATTGTTTGGTTCAGAACGCCGAAGGCTATATTTCTCCAATTTGTTAACTATTTGGTGGTAACAGGATCTCTGTTGACCATCATTTTGCTTATATGCGTGGAGTACTTGACGGAAGTCATGTCACTCGAAACAGGATTGGTTCCCAGTTTTTGTACTTGCAAGTGATACATTAGTTGTGCTTGAGTGTTGAGAGCTTAGAATTTCCAAAAAGCCTAACGAAGCTAAACCCAATCATAGATATCAGTGTCTGGAGTTTTGTCCACAGATTTCTAGTTTAAATGTATTTCTAGTCTTATGTTTTAGAATGATAGAAATAAACTTACTAGTTCTTGCATGGATATATGAACTGTGATGCTAAACCACTAGTTTCTCCTTTTTGTAAGGATTTAAACTTGGCATTTTTCGAGATTTGACAAGAAAAGAAACATTGCAGGAGTGCAGTCGAATTACCCGTTATAACATCTTTCCATGGCGCTTTGTTATTTTCACGGAATTTATGACGCATCCAGCCCAGGAACTGCCAGGATGATCAGCCTAGTAAGTCTCAAAACAATTTAACTACGAACTCTGTAGGTTTAGGACGTACCTTCATTTTGTACTTCGGTTTTCACACGAATGGCAATCTAAGAGGAGAAAAGGACTTTAATAGAGAAAACTGATTCCTTGAAAGCTCGTCATAGTTTCTAGCAGTGAGTTGGTTGCTTTGAGTATCTCAAGTCTTTTAGGTGGATGACAGTGGAAACAAACGAGAAGAAGGCTACAAAAACTTTGGTTGGGCATTCTCTATCAAGATCACATCAAAAACAAGTTGGAGGGTCACTACATACATGAGTTGGTACTGTTGTGGTTATGTTTCGTGTACATTTATGATGGAGTAGCTCAAATGGATTACAATCATTGATCTTCTCAATTGCTTCTTGTTGAGTTCACTGTTAAAAATTTGTTTTATATGTATTTGCGTAATGAGCTATTGATTAATATACTAATAGACATGTGAACCATGTAGCTGGACAATGCATGTGCGATGAACTTTCTTCATTGCTTGATCATGAAATTCCAACATCCAATTGTGGTTGAAGCAATATTAGGACCGTTTTATGAGCATGTTCTATGATAGGAAACAGTTTGTCAGTGTTTCATACACTGCTAGAAACTGCACACTTTTGTGTCAGATTTTCCTGTCTTGCATTGGTTAGATAACTCATGTGACAGTGGCTGAATGGAGAGATGTGAACGTTTTTTGTGGTAGATAGATCTTGCATCGGTTTTTGAAATCAAAATGCCGAACAGTTGAAGTCTTGGAACCTTCGTTTATTTTGAAGAGACAGGGGATACATTTTCAGGTAATTTTCATAGAAACCAATTATTCTTTACTTGCAATGTCCATGGTTCCTCGGTTATTTTCTGTTTTGGTTTATTATCAAACCAAATGGAACTCAGGAAGTAAGATCGTTTGGAAATCAAGCTGTGTATATGTAATTGTTTGCATTCCTCAGTATTGTGTTTCATGCCAGAGCTTCGGTTGATGCAGGCTTGAATCGTCATCTAGCAATGTGGGGCACTTCTGTTTCGGTAATATTTTTCTTTTCTTAATAACCACCGGTGCCGATTGAATTCCTCTATGTAAATCGTCTAAACGTTGTGCCAAGAAATTGCTTGAGCTTAGCCAAAAGAGATGGGATTTGAATCTGTGTTGGTTGTCTCACGATCTCTGTTAAACCGTATTCATCAAAGCTTTTGTGTGTGCTTCCTAAGGGATACGATTTTATTCTTATCAACTGACGCCACCCATAAAGTAGAACATGTGATTTTCTAAGCTAAGAGATTGATATCAGAGATCTCAGATCAACTTATTAGACTCAATATATATCTTAGCATAAAAAAGATACTGGAGTTGTGTATTTGTTTATAAACTCTCCTAGTAGATGTAAAAATATCTGAAACGTTAAATTTTATGCAATTTGTGTGCTCTAATATACTTACAACATGCATAGAATGGAACAGAATTATGAGCCTAAGATCAACATTAAGTTTAGGATAGTTAAATAACTTTGGAAATTGGGTTCCCGCAAGATTAATATTTAATATGCACCGAATAACTGTCTACATTATGCAAAAAAGTGAAGTGCTTTTTGCAGGATGTTTTCGGGAGCTCTGTGACTGTGACAAAAAAAAAAAGAGGACACGGGGTTAAGTTGCCTCAGACAACTGAAGCTGTCCAAAAGACATCAGGTACTGTTGTTCTCGTTAAATTATGTGAAACCCGTATATTCAAGTGGAAAAAAAAATATATGATAATGAAAGCGTTGGGGTGTAAGGAGGTTGGGGGGTAAGGAGGAGTGGAGGGATTAGGCCTCTTTGTGTTGGAGGAAACCAACAAGGGACATAGGAACAAAGGGGGGATGGCTTTTGGCTTGGGAATAAATGGGACCGAAGTGGTGAAGGGAACATTACCCACCTGTTTCCTATTTTAACTAACTTACAAATGACTTAAAGTTTTTTTTTCCCCGTGTTTTGGAGTCTTTCAATTGGTAGCAGTAGTATAGTATTAGTACACCTTCCTTTTTCCCCACTCCCATTTATATATGAAAGCGCAGACATTCCATCTTCATCCTTGTCAATCATCATTCAACTTGTCTAATAAAGAAAAAGTATCTAAAAATAGAATAAAATACGTGCAGATATTTTTTTTTGGTTTGCAGTAACTATGTGAAGTTGGAATATTCTAAGCGAGATGTATTCTCAAGTAATGAGTCCTTAGGGCCTCAGGATCTAGGAGTAAAAGTAGGAGTTGGGCTTAAACCCACCTTGCACTCTAGAGTGTCTAAGATACTTTACTTGGTGTTGGTGGTGCAGAAGCAAATATTGAAGTGAACTATTTTGATAAAATATATTTTTTGGAGGTGTCACGTGTGTCACCACTGGCGAAGTAATGGGATCCAAGGGCATATGTCTTTTTTATTCATAACCGGAAATTAAACCAAATTTAGTCACATGTATAAACACTTGAACAAAGAAAACTATCTTTACAAATGATAATTTCATGCCTTGTACTTGTGGAAGTGGAGATATTTTGGATAAGGAAACCTTCCATCTGTTTTTGGGTCTTACTCTACCAGGAAGAAGCCCTTTCGCTGGTTTCCACAAGAGCTGAAGAACACAACTTCAAAGAAACGTTGAGGAAAACGGAGGATGATAAATATGCCAAGCTTTTCAGAAGAATGAATCCTCCCTGGTAATTTCACCTCTTCTTCTTTCAAGTCCCTTGTTGGGCTGAAATGTTGGTCTGTGTGACAGAGTACTGTTATTCAGGCGGCGACTTCATTCTTTAATCTCTTGGTGTTTATTCTTCTTTTGCCGTGTGTTTGTTTAGTTGCGGTTATGTATTTTTCTTTTGCCGGATTTATGGATATTGGTGTTTGAGTATGTATGTATGTATGTATGTATGTATGGGAAGTTGGGAACAGGTGGATGGTGTGAACAAACGGGGGCTCTATTGGAAGTGGTGCAAGTGCTCACTGATTTGAATCTTGTCATTAAAAAAGCTTACATCTCTTTCGACTCCGGATGGTTCATGGACAGTATCTGTGCTCACTCTCTCTCATCTCCGTGTTTCTTTGATCTTATCATACATCTTTCTCTCCTTTGTGATTTTCAGTGTTCAAAGTGATTGACCAAGATGGAAATAAAATCGAAGACACTCAAGTCCTTGATTTCATCCAAAGGGTAAATCGTTGAATTCACCACCATGTTTTTTTTTTATAATTAAAACGCTTTCTTTCGCTCAGCTCAATCCTTTACAGAGACTGGAGAGCAAAGCTGGTTGGCTTACTCTGCCTCTGGGAAGCTCTCTCAGTGTTATGCCCTCCAACCAATACACTGACAGGCCCGGTCTCTTGTCCGAAATCTCAGCTGTTCTCTCCGATCTTAATGCTGCTCTTTGGACTCACAACTCTTATGCTGCCGCTGTGATTCACCTCATCTACAATTCCACTCATTCTGCTACTAAAGACCCTAATCACCTTTCCACCATTGGACAATGTTGTGGGAGCAAACAGCCATTTAAGAAGGGCTAGAACGGCATTTTCTTGTTGTGATACGCAATGGGAGAGGTGGCTGCATCAGACCATGTTCGACGATGGGGCTACGAGGAGGTCGGAAGAGGAAGGACTTGGACCTCGAGGCCTAAACATCATGCTCTTGAACATCGATACACTGGTTTTGACCATGAGGTCGAATATGCAGTGCATGGTGTTCCATACTCCATACTCCATAGCATGGTTCAGAGGCTTATCGGTAAATATTCACGATTTCAGCTGGAGGAGTTTTCAACACGATGGTTAGTGGTTTAAATTTTACACCTTAAACCGTCTTATGTACCTTGCTAAATGTTTGAAACTAAGCCTCCAACAGCTTCATAGTGATCTTCATCCCGCAGCTTCAGGTTAAATATGTGCCAGTGTCGTTTGCAAATGGCAGCAACAAGATTGAACTTTGCCGGATTATGAGATTATTTACACTACATTGTTCATGTGTCTTGAACTTGAATTTTGCTGCAGGAGCTTTACATCGGACATGTTTCCCGTGTCAGACAGTGTCTTAAGCAGCAATTGAGGGAAGAGGACGTATGTTTGCTTAATAGCCTCGTCAAAGGCAAAGCCTCTGGACTTTTGTCTGCACAAAAAAAGAAAACCAGTGATGATATCACTTTGTGAAGTCATCTCTTTTCCTTTGGACAGATTATGTAATATTTTAACCCAAACAAGTATATGTATGAAACAAACAAACATGCGTGCATATTTCACCACCTTTGTTGTTGTATGTATCAGCTCCATTCTGGTATGTACGACAGAATTCGCGAGTTGTTAGGAGATTTTGGTAACATCCATTGACTATCTTTCTACCTAATTGGGAATTTTCGATTTACGAATCACAATACAAAACAATGGAAGCAGACCAGGGGAGGGGGAATCGGTCATCATGCAGTGTGTGGGCTCATTGAGCCTTTTCTACAACCCTATTTTGGGTTTATTGGGCCTTTCCTAGAGACATAAACAACCGACGGAATGCGAGCTCCTTCGAATGAAGGCTTCCAGGACGTAGGTAAGCCTATGAGACGATACTGCAAGCATGCTACGGTCTGTTCCAGACATCTTGCGACCCTCCGGCAGCCCTCGCCGCCGGCAAATTTCGGATCACGTACTGATGCTCGTATCATCAAAACTGGGTTCGACACTAATACGTGTCGCGCCAACTTTCAGCTCAATGATCTGATTAGGATAGGTCAAGTTTCTCAAGCACACAAGCTGTACGATGAAATGCCTTCCAAGAACACCGTCTCGACGAACTTGATGATCTCGGGATACGTGAAACTGGGTGACCTTTCCACTGCCCGAGCGTTATTTGACACTTTGGTGGATCGATCCGCGGTTTCTTGGACGATTTTGATTGGCGGGTATGTGCAGAAAGACCAGTTCAAAACAGCCTTCGAACTCCTGCGTCAGATGTGCAGACACTGTACGCCTCCAGACGACGTGACGTTTGCAACACTTTTGTCTGGGTGCAATGATCCATCTTCCGCCAAGCTGCTTCCTCAAGTTCACGCTAGCGTTGTTAAGTTGGGCTGTGATTCCTTCCTCAGTGTTTGCAATTCTCTGGTTGATTCCTACAGTAAGATTGGCCGTCTTGATTTGGCTTGTTCGTTGTTCGAGGAAATGCCCAAAAAGGACTCTGTTACCTTTAATGCACTTATGACAGGGTACGCGAAGGAGGGTTTGAACGAACATGCGATTAGGCTTTTCATGGAAATGCGAAACTCGGGTTACAAGCCTTCAGATTTCACGTTTGCTGCGGTCCTGTGCGCTGGTGTGGGGTTAGACGATCTAGATTTTGGTCAGCAAGTTCACTGTTTGGCACTGAAAATGAACTTTGCGTGGAATGTATTTGTTGGGAATGCATTGCTTGATTTCTACTCGAAGCACAATAGTCTTCTTGAAGCTGGGAAGTTTTTTTATGAAATGCCGGAGTTGGATTGTGTTTCTTACAATGTGATGATCACAGGGTACTCATGGACTGAGCAATACGAAGAATCTCTGAAGTTGTTCAGGGAATTGCAGCATATGGGATTTGACAGGAGAAGCTTCCCATATGCAACGGTTTTGAGCATTGCAGCTAACTTGTCGTTCCTGGAAATGGGTCAGCAAGTTCATTGCCAGACCATTGTGACGACAACAGATTCAGTCCTTCCAGTCAGGAATTCTTTGGTGGACATGTATGCAAAATGTGACAGGTTCAATGAAGCTGAAATAATATTCAGGAATTTATCACAAAAGAGCACGGTGCCGTGGACAGCCCTTGTCTCGGCTTATGTTCAGAAAGGGCTTCACGAAGAAGGGCTAAAGTTGTTCAGCGAGATGCATAGAGCAGGCATAAGAGCAGACCAAGCAACTTTTGCCAGTGTATTGAAAGCGGCATCAAGTTTGGCTTCTGCTTTAGTGGGGAAACAACTGCATTCATTCATAATCAGGTCAGGGTACATGGACAACGTGTTCTCAGGAAGTGCACTTGTTGATATGTATGCAAAATGCGGTTCCATCAGAGATGCAGTTCGAATCTTTGAAGAGATGCCTGGGAGGAATATAGTTTCCTGGAATGCATTGATTTCAGCATATGCTGAAAACGGAGATGGGGAAGCAACAATTGATGCTTTTGCAAAGATGATTCAATCTGGTTTCTGGCCAGATTCAGTCAGCATGTTGTGTGTTTTGAACGCATGTAATCATTGTGGATTTGTTGAACAAGGAACACAGTATTTTGGAGCTATGTCTCAGATCTACGGAATTACTCCAAAGAGGGAACATTATGCATGCATGCTGGATTTATTCTGCAGAAAAGGAAGATTTGCAGAAGCGGAAAGCCTGATGGAGACAATGCCATTTGACCCAGATGAAATCATGTGGTCTTCGGTTTTGAACTCATGTCGAATTCACAAGAATCTAGAATTGGCTGAGAAAGCTGCATTGCAGCTCTTCAGTATGGACAAACTCAGGGATGCTGCTTCATATGTGAACATGTCCAACATTTATGCAGCTGCAGGTCAATGGGGAAATGTTAGCCATGTCAAGAAAGCAATGCGGGAACGTGGAATCAAGAAGGTTCCTGCTTATAGCTGGGTTGAAGTTAACCACAGGACTCATATCTTCTCTTCTAACGACCAGAGGCACCCGAAGAGGGATGAAATTGTGCGAAAGCTCAATGAACTCACAGCTGAGATTGAAAGGGAAGGGTACAAGCCTGACATGGTGGGCTGTGCGTTGCACGATGTTGATGAGCAGATGAAGATGGAGTCGCTTAAATTCCACAGTGAACGTTTAGCGATTGCGTTTGCCATTATAAGTACACCAGAAGGGTCACCGATCGTGGTAATGAAGAACTTGAGGGCATGCGCTGATTGCCATTCTGCAATAAAGATTATCTCCAAGATTGTCAAGAGAGAGATAACGGTGAGGGATTCAAGCAGATTTCATCACTTTAGGGATGGGGTCTGTTCATGTAGAGACTACTGGTAAGATGGATATTATGTACAAACATGTTGACTTTGTAACAGTTGATGATGAATCAAATATGTCAAAAAGATTGGTTTCATATGAAAAGTAAAGAACAGAACAATGAGGATCTGCTGCCTGGAGAGGTGATTCACAACGATTGGGATCAAAAGCATATAATGTAGGCAGATGCTACTACTACACTTGCTAGTCGTCCAGTTCCAGGATGTCTGTCTCGAAGAAGGCAAAGTGGAGAGCCCTCACACACTGCTCCGCTTCCTCATCATCCACTATCAGTGAGATGTTCACCTGAACCCACATTTAAAAATATCATGAAAAGACAAAACAATTGATATAAATAAATAAAATGAATTGCGGAGAGGGCTCAACTCAACAGTGAGTAATGGAGTCAAGGCGCCGCCTCCGCAGTAAATAGAACGTGCGAAATAGTTAGTAGTACGCACGCGCCTGTTTGTTTGTGTGGCCCTCCTTCTTCCCCAATCCATCTTTCCCCTCCGTCCAGTTTGACCGGACGGCTGCTATGCCCTCTCCGCTCTTGTTAATTTTGGATGAACGATTGCTGTTACTTGATTAGGTAGAGTAGAGCTTGAGATGGAACATGATGCGAATCAGTAAATCTAATTCTGGTCAAAGAGATATGAAAGATCTGTGTAGTTTGATTATAGCTAAACTGGAACACGGTTGATTCTAACAATCAAGAGTCCTGTACACCACCAATCTGTTACAGGATTATTTTTTTTTGCCACACAAAAATTCTCCAGCCTATTATTTGTCTTCCTTTTTATCCTTTTGACCAAGCTTTAGAAAAGAAGGGGAAAAAATAAAATGGGCCTTCATGGGTCAATGGGCCCAATAGAAAACGACATGGGCCATAAATACAAAAAACTATAAAACGAGTAATATAATGGTTATTTGAAGATTGCAAAGAGAACCGGCACCGCGCCCATGGAGTCCCCCAAGAATTCCTTCATCCCAAGCTTCCTCTATTCTTCATCTCCTTCGTCTCGGACTTTCCTTCTGGATCAGGTCACCCCTACGCCAACACTGCCTTCGCCTCCTCCAATGTCGATACATCTCCCCCGCCTGCGATTCTGTCGAAGAATTGCTTCCTCATCGCATCTCCCTCTCTTCCGCCGAAGAAGATCGAGATGTACTCTCCTGCGTTCTACGCCGCCTGTACCTTCGGTGGTATCCTCAGCTGTGGTCTCACTCACATGGTCGTCACCCCTCTCGATCTCGTCAAGTGCAACATGCAGGTACCTTCTTCAGATCCCCTGTTTCCTCGCTTTTTGTAGCTCTTCCTTGTTTTTTCTTTCCTTCTCCCATCCCTCCGGTAATAAGATCTGCGTTTGAAGTTGTGTTCTAGTTTGGATCGATCTCTGCTCTGTTTGTTCGCTGTAGATCGGTTGTTAACTCTCCAGCCTTTTATCATTTCGACAGCTCAATGGATATTTGATTTGTATTACGAGGGGTCCGAGAATTTTCTTTGCTATATTATATTCAGACTTCGGGATATTTGGTTTTGCTGCCTAGCTTGTACGTATTCTGTTTTTGTATATGTCTTGATTATTTGTATGTCCCTATTCTGGATTCTGGAATCAATAGTACTTTGAGGTAATTAAGATTTTCCAATATGCTAGACCCTTTTCCGCCTTTTTTCGTATGGTTGGTGTCTATGTAGTTGTATTGGGTTTACCTTGCTATCGTCTAGTGGGCTACTACATATGAATCATCTTTGACTTTGAGCCTCCCTTAGTAGATTAGAAGAAAGTAGATAAAAATAAACAGACACTCTCTTATGCAAATGGTATACTTTGCTGTGCTTAATCGAGGTTTATAATTTGTATTCTTTGCCTTTCAGATCGATCCTGCTAAGTACAAGAGCATCTCGTCTGGCTTTGGAGTTTTGCTCAAAGAACAAGGAGTCAGGGGGGTTTTCCGTGGATGGGTTCCCACTCTGTTAGGCTGCAGTGCTCAGGGAGCCTGCAAGTTTGGATTCTATGAGTTCTTTAAGAAATATTATTCGGACCTTGCTGGACCCAAGTATTTTGCCAAATACAAAACCCTCATCTACCTTGCCGGTTCTGCTTCTGCTGGTGTTATTGCTGATGTGGCTCTCTGCCCATTCGAGGCAGTGAAAGTCAGGGTTTAGGATTTGCAAGGGGAATGTCTGATGGATTTCCCAAGTTTGTCAAGTCTGAAGGTGTCGGCGGGTAAGTTTGAACTACCAATATGATGGTAACATCTGTTCCCAACAAGCCCTTAACCCGCTGCTCTAGCTAATTGTCCACCCTTTCCAAGTGTGATTTCTATATTATGTATGGCCGTGCCTAAGGGCATATTGGTTGAAGTATATTCTTTTTTTTTATCAATCAGTTGATAGCTTGGAGGATTAAAAAACATCTATTGCTTTCCAATTGGCTGTTTTTTTTTAATCTGATTTGCTTTTCTCTTGCAGCTTGTATTATTGTGTAAGGGTCTTGGTCCACTCTTGGGACGTCAGACTCCTTGTAAATTGTGGATTCTACCTTATGACCTATAGCATAATTAATATGACTCCTTGAACGGTGAGATGGGCTTTTGTTGCAGACACTATGATGAAGTTTGCTTCTTTTGAGACAATTGTGGAGATGATCTACAAGTATGCGATCCCCACACCAAAAGAGCAGTGCAGCAAAAATCTGCAACTTGGAGTAAGTTTTGCTGGACGTTACGTTGCTGGAGTGTTCTGTGCTGTTGTTTCTCATCCTGCAGATAATTTAGTGTCCTTCCTCAACAACGCTAAGGGAGCAACTGCGGCAGATGTAATTTAGTCTCCATCAGGCTTCTTCACGTCTCAATCTTGTGCTAACTATGGGTTTATAGACATGACAGCCGCCCTATTTGCATTGCATTAGAGAAAAGAGTGATAAGTAGGAATGATAATGTGCAGGCCGTGAAGAAGCTTGGGCTGTGGGGTTTCTTCACACGAGGGCTTCCTCTACGCATTGTAATGATAGGGACACTGACGGGTGCACAGTGGGGTATCTATGATGCTTTCAACGTATTCGCTGGCCTGTAAGATAAGATCTCTCTCAGCTAGCTTTTATTATCACCAAATGCCCGCAATGGCTAATGCAAATCACTGTGACACAACCACGGGAGGTGTTGGTCCAGCAGTTGCTACTGTCGCCAAGGCCCAAAATGATGAAGATGGCCTTTTACGTACAGTAGGTCGATATGAGTCGAAAGTAATTTATAGGGTTTTTAAAAGAGAAACTGGATTTTGCTGGAGAGCCTGATTCGTAGTCACATCATTTTTTGTTTTTTTTCCCCTGATTTTCAGTGTGATGCGGCTACTAAACGCAGCTGTAGTTCATTGTTTCATTGGGCGAGGAGGCGGCGGGCCCAAAATCTTTCTGAGAGGCCTGTGATTTACAATTTTCTGGTTCCTTCATATTATAACGCAAAAGCCCTCAAGGCAGCAGTCGACTTCTTAAAGAAAAGAAAGGTGATGAGACCAATCAACAAACACCACCGAAAACGACTGACAGCGTAAAACTAACTCATCAAACAGTAGTCCTCTGTCTGCAATTGGAAACTTTCCCTGGCTGAACATCAACACAAGCAAGTCTAGAAACCGTAAGATAAGCATACAGGCCCCAACCATCAACTTAACGCTTCTTCTTGCTGCTCGCTTTCGCTGCGCTGGACTTGGACGGTGTGGCTATCAGGTAGACAAACATAATCACTATTGATATCACTGAGATGAGCGATCCGTATTTTGCCAGCAACCTCTGCAACAGGCGAAACACAGTAGAGTTTCACAAGTAAGACACGCTTGCGATTTTTCTTATTATTACTACTAGTACTACTACTTGACGATCTTGGTCACCTTAGCCTGAGAATATTTTGGTAGCCCCAACAGCAGCATGCACAGAAAAAAGAATGCAAGAATGAAAATGCAAGTTAATAGTGATAAAAAGGGCAAGTATATGAAGGAGAGAAATGTTGTTCAGTTAAGGAATAGGATAAGAATCTACCCAGTCAAACTTCTTTGCAGGAGGTCTCTCAGCAAGGACATCTAGAGGGAGTATTGGAGTTGAGTATGCTTCCTACAATCAATAAAATTGGATTGCGTTCACACAGCCCAGAGAAAAACATCAGCTGATGAAGGGAAGCTAATAAGAATGATAAATTGGGGATTCATCACATTAGTCAGTCGTGGATACGGAAAATGAGGCATCTAGGGTGCCTTACATTTCATACCTTTTTTCCTTTTCACAAAAATCTTATATCTAAAACTAGGGTCCTAAAAGATACACAAAGATGCATTTCATCCCAAAGGACATATAAGAAACACTTCTTTGAGAATGATCAAACCTGAAGAGCAGCCTTTGTTGGGATGCGGAAAGTAACTACGGCGGGGGCACCGTAGTAGATTCCTTTTGCCTTGGCCTCCAGTTCAAAAGAATGAGATAGAATGCCTCCCCTGAAAGATCGGATTAGCAAGATAAAGAAAGCAAAAGCAGCTATAAAGCCATTGAGAGTAAGCCAGGGCGGGATGGTACTCACGCATCAAGTCTTTCCCACGAACTTGAAATGTTTCCGTTAACAACTTCAAACGTGTCTTTATCCCAGCTACTATCTGTCAGGATCACGTCATACGCCGTCCTGAAAGCTCACAGACAAAACAAATGTATATATGATACCTTAGTAACAATCATGACATAGAATTCTTCACCCAAAGGCTATATTAAGTGATCGGTCCGCACTTACGAACAGCATCATCACACACACAATTATACAATGCAAGCTATGAACATATCAAAGTTCAGGCCAAGTTAGAACTTAGAAGCGTGTTTCTAATCTAGATTATGTTCCCTAATATAACCACCGCTAATCAACATCTGCACGCCCATCATCACATCTGGCAACAATTGGCAATATGTAGAACAATAGATCCATTCTTCTCGTGCAAAGAAAATAACAGAAGAATTAACACCCGATCCAGCAGTAAGAGAATAGATCAAAAGGAGAAGAAGAAAACTGACGAAGATCCTTGGTTGTAGATGTCGATGGAGACGGAGACGCGTTCGGCACCAGATTTGAGCCTGTTGAGACTCGCTTTCTTGTGGACCACCATGAACGGAACTTCCGTGGTTGCAAATGAAGTTGAAACAAGCATTAATACCGCTATGGCAGATGTCAGTAGCTTCGCTGTCGGGATCGCCATTGACATAGCTCTTCTCCGTTCTAGGTTTAGGCAATGAAACGGGAGGAGGCAAGCAGATGTGATGTTTTTCTTCCGTAAAATAGAAAACAAATAAAATAAATAACATGAGAGAAGTATATACATATAGAGAGAGAGAGAAGGCCCATGGGCCTGGTTCTTAGAGAGTGCATCCAAAAGTGGGTGATAATTATGGCCCATTTGGTAAAGAAATCCTCATTGTTTAATCTCTCTCATGGGACGAGAGAGTATCATGTTTTATGCTCTCTATTGACCTCCTCAGCTGACCTGGACAATCTATGGATGTGGATTATATTAATTAATTAGCAAACTTATTTGCCCAAATCTATGTGGTGGGATATAATGCACATGCCCAGGAGTTTTGGTGAGGATTCTAATACATAATAGTTGATTAAATGTTACAGATAGGAAAACATATATAAAAGGAAGAATAGAAGAGGGGTAGCATTTTAGAGCTTCAGCCAAGTATTATCTGTACTGCCCCTTCATCTTCACATTCACTATTTTAACTACTATACTTTACCTTTTGTAACACCAAATCCATTGACATTACCTCCAACATCTTCTTTTTACGTCAAGTTTTGTTTATACTTCCATATCAGGTGCATTTTTACCATTGTCTTGCGTAGCATGTATATATGTATCAACACGGCACCGAGGTTCTAAATACATATCATGTCTCTTCCCAATTAAACATTTCTCTTCCTTAAGATCGCATATCCAAACCTAACTCCAAAGTTCATATCACAAACGACGACCAACAAAACAAAACAAAAAAAGGGGCAAGAAACTAGTGCTTCATTCATAAACGAAGGGAGAGATCCAGAGATTCGTCTTCACCCATACGATCATCATGCGACAATGTGTACCCGTAGCCATACCCGTATGGACAACTCGATCCTCCCATCGGAGGTTGGGATTCCGTGTAGTACTCACCCACCCTTGAATGCTGATCCAACTCTTCCCATGGCCCACTGTGATCAGCCATGGCCGCTGAGTTCGAACCCATCCCTAAGAAAGCTTGTGGGTTATGGTAAAAGCAGGTGAGTGGTTGAACCAAGCTGGGTTTGTGGTCTTCGTTCGCGTTGTAGATGCCGCTGCGACGGTCGGAGGGAACAGATGGCGTGCTGATGCCGAGGTTGCGGCGAGCGGCGGCGCGCTCACGTTTGTGGGCGTTTTGGTGACCGCCGAGGGCTTGAGATGTGTAGAACTTGCGAGGACAGTACTGGCATGAGAATATTCTGTGGTGACTCGGCGACGGCGGCGACACTCCCATTCTTCCGGCGAGGGCGTAGGAAGACGTCGAGTGCCTCTTGTTTGCTGCGGTGGGTCGTTGCTTGGAGCCGGAGCTAAGGTGGCGAGGAAGGAAGTTGTGGAGAGATGGTGGGTCCGCCATGGATGACCCTCGGAGAAGAAATGAAAAAAAAGCTTCGCGAGTGGATGTTGTAATGGCGGAGTGTGTGTATATATATGTAAATATGGGAGACGAGAAGAGAGAGAGAGAGAGAGAGAGAGAGAGAGAGAAAGAGAGAGAGAGAGATGGAATAAAAAGCTGTTAGAGAGGAGGGGTTTATGTAGGGGTTTAAGGTGTCTCTCTTTGTTTGTTTGCGTGGATGGCTGCAGAGAATATCTCTGCCGAAATTACATTTATGTCCTTACATATCCCGAAAATGCCCTTCCGTTTGTCTTCAACCTTCGGACCTCCCATGCATCTATATATATATATATATATGCTATATGAATGTATCGTGTATATTGCAATGATGAAAAAAGAGTTGAAATGTGTCAAGAAAAAGAAGCTGCTACTTCACATCAAAAGAATGCCTTGTTGATGGGTGTTCTAGGTATGGTCTCTCACTTGACATTACCTTTTTTTAAAAAAAAAAATTACTCTGCCCATTTATTATTTTATTATTCTTCCCCAAATAAAAAAACATATTTTATATTATCATTATTATAACAGTATAGTATGCACGAGCGAGGCCCGGACGGTTGGCCGGAACTACAAAATCTGGTTTCATTTGTTGTTCGTGATCATGGCGTGAATATGTATATAAAGATATATGTATAGGTTAGGATATATATGGGAAACCCAGCAGCAATCCAACTAACTAGGTTGTTTAAGTTAATGGTGTTGAGGGGTTTAGATTTTGTAGGATTCGACACGTTTCATGTTTTTGTTTCCTTTGTCACTATTTTTCAATTTTCAAATATGCGAGTAATTAAATTCACAATTTCTGATGACTACTAGTGAGATGTGTTAACTACCCTATGGATGCGAATGTTTCTTTTGTCCGTGTGGTCACGCATGTGTATTTTACCCATTATGCACGACACGAGTGACATAATAATGATAATACAAAATCAAATATATTCGATGAACTTGAAATAAAATATGATACGTCGGATAAACCAAAAGTGGAATGCTTCTACGTTTTATGTCCTTTCTGTCGTTCAGTCTTCCTTGACGTTAATTTCTCGCTTTTTCAATTCCGATATGATTCTACTTTCTAGTCGGTCAGAATGGAAAGGAAAAGCAGAATACTGGGCTCATTATAGGCCCAATACGAAATGATCAGGTCCAATTACTTTCACGATACGATGTTCGAAGAGATTCACTTCACTGAGGGCCTCTCCATCCCTGTCTGCGGTCATCGTTCCTGCCCACAGGTCCATGGAAGGCAGACGGAGAAGTACATCAAATTCCAACCTCAAGACATTGAGGATCGATGGCGATACCGATATTGACGACACACTCTGTTTTCTTTACTTAACTCCCGAAGACTTCTCTCTCACTTTATTTGACACAGTCTTGAAGGTCCACTGATTATAAATACACTAACCCAAAGACACTCCACCAACCCAAAGCGTTGCATCAGCTATTTTTCTCTTACAGACAGGAGACGACATTACCATATACCAGTAGTACATCTCTGCCTCACACATCGAATCTCTCACTTTCAGAGTGATCCAAGTCGATCAAGAAAGTCCTCGTCTCCATTGGGTAAAGCTCTATTTCAAGCTTCGATGGGTCCACTGGTCGCCCTCTCATCGCGTTGGATTCTTCTCCTTCTACTTCCCCTTCTACTTTCCACACAAGCCTCTTCTTCTCCATCACGCTCCTCTCTTGGTTTGCTGAGAGATTCGTCTCTGTCACTTTCCCAATCTGAGCAACCAACCAATTAACATGTTCAAACTTGCCATATCAACCAACTTTCTTTTTAAGCACTCAGTTTTCGTTTCTACCTTTCTCCATGGGAAGAGCTTCTTCAGCTCCACTGTCTCCATGATCGACATATCCTTGTCCTCTTTCACCTATTCCCGCAACATCACCACTGTCTTGTTTCACTCTTTTTCCAAGCTAAGTAGATAATGGAAAATGTTGTTCATCTACATTGGATCTATATATTTGTTACCTCATAAAGGTGAGCTAGACGGAGGAGGACCTTTCCATCGTCAAGTTCCTGCATTGATGCGCACATCAAGAGAGAAGATTGTGTTTACAAATTAGCAAAGTTATCAACCAGAAGGTGATACTGGAGAGCAGAGGGTTTGATGCTCCCTCTTTTGTTCTTTTTGGAGACAAATATACCTGCAGAGTTATTATTGCGACATTGTCAGGCAAGCTGTAGGATGAATCAATCCCTGAAAATGTCGGCGTATCAAAACTCATCCGGTTGTCTTCTTCCTGAAACAATTTATACAGAGCATCAAGATCGAGTTTTAAAGGCAGAGAAGCGTTCGGTTTGGCTTTTGTTATTCTTTCACCTGCTCAGTAAAGGCCAAGACGAGTGGTGAATAAATCTCTTGCCCGAAAGAACGTCGCCATTTTGCACCTTCTCCATACCGATCTATTCTGTAGTAATATTTTCCTTGTATCTGTAAAAGTCGCAGATTCTGCCAGTTAGATCCAAGAAATAATACAAAATATAGTTTGACGGATTGTTTAATTCCCTTCAAAGCTAGTTTCTCTGTGCTTACTGTTAGTCCAGTACACTTGTTGTGAACACACACTGTTTCATTTAAATTTTCGGCTACGCCTCTGGAGTCGTCGAGGAGCAGTCTCCTATAAGAGGATAAGAACTTGATTAGATGTAGTAAATTCTGTCTTTAGTTAGAAAGCACAATGGAAACACCAACAGGACAATGGCCATAGTAGCAGTTGCTGTTCATCTAGCCACCAAATTTAGAATTCAAAATTTGATAATTTTTTTAACACAAAACTGTTCTTTTATGCATATTCTTCAATTCAACTAGAGATGCCAGGATTCAAACAAAAACTCCTGATAGAGGGTTACTATCAAGAAGCCCCTGGCTTCTGAAAGCAATTGCAACCCCAGCCACCTTCGACATCGATTGTAGCATGAAGAGAAAAGCATACCTATGAAGCATGAGCTCAACTTGTCCATCCACTATGCTAGATCCTCCCAAGGCTCTGTCCACCATGACTGAGAATTCTTTCGTAGTATCTTGCAGGTAAATTCCGAGATTTATCTGAGAGGTGAAAACAATTAGTCTACTGGCTGAGCAAAGTACTCAATCCATATAAAACTCTGATCACCATTTGCGACAAACCGATGCATAAAAAACTTGGTCCTATAAGCAAAGGTGGAAAGGAATAACACATAACTACTTCATAAGCCACAAAGCATTTCCCTACTTGGTCGATGTAATAAGATATTAACATAACACATGAGACCATAGTACAAATATAATCCCATCATCAGTTTAGCCTCCGGCAAATCCCATATTCTAACACAATTGAATCACCACATTTCCAACTCGAAGCGTACTCTGGTCATTCCGCTCTTTTCCTTTCCAGATTAGGTTACCCACAACACGGGCCCCTCAACTGAAGGTGGCTCTGTTACCGTTTGCCCAGCTTCGCATATATAACTCAAGACTTCAAGCCAGATGAGTTATAGAACTCCACCCTTAAACTTGTTTGTAGGAAAAAGGAATCTAGATTTTTCGTACCGCCAACTAAATTCTACGCTTGATCAATGCAGGATCGAACACATACCGGGTAATAATTTCCTGCAACGGGTTGGTTTACTTCTAGTTCCCAGTCTGACCTGTAATCACGGATCTGCAAAACAAAAGTGTTCTTAGTTTTTTAAAGGTTCACAGCAACTCAACAGCAAGAAAAAATACATGGTCATGAAGTAGAGCATGGATCCTTGACAGGCTCCAACTGATGGGATAGAAGGTGTTTCAAGGGTGAGACATGCATCATACCCTTTTGATAAAATCACGTCCACTGGAATCTGTGAAGAAAGTTTTGTTGCTTTTCAGGGAGCTAGAGATCTGGGTAACGACTTCTTTGCCGATTCCATCTTCAATTGGTATTGGCCCTAGCTGAAATTCCAGATAATATGAAAGTCATATCATGGATGCCTATGCTTACAGCTGTAGAACAAGAGATTAAAATTGAGATAGGAGTTTCATATAATAGGCTCACAATAAATTCGACTTCCACATGCTCCTTGCCTTTGTAAACCCTTGAGATCTGGTGATAAGATAAGTAAAGAATATAATAATTTGCAAACAAGCAGAAAATTTAAATTCGGTTAGAATCTAAGAATCTGTGAAAATGGAACGTTTCCAAGTTCAAACATAAACCAAGAATCTGCTGAATCTTCGGACAACTAAAAGCTCAGACATAATATAAGAATCCTGAGAATCTTCAGAGAATCTGAGATTCTGAAGATTGAAAGGTATACTAAAGCACCGATTAAGCACCTGGGATATCCATGGATTTATCTGCTGATGAACTTCATCGACCAGTGGCCCACGTAGGGCAGTCAACGGAACCTGGAACGTTAGCCAGCTGTTAATATTGGGTTTCTTGTCAATTGATTCCATCTTAATAAACAAAGTTCTTCCTAAGTGAGTACAAACCTTTCCTCCAGGGTTGATGGGGAACGTGCCATTTGGACGAAAAACATATGCTCCCGAGTTCTAAAGATTGGGAAATGACACAAGACAAGAATATTTTCTAATTAAGACTTGGGGAAAGTGCACTGGGTTTTATCCAGCAGTGACGACATCGATACAAAGGCACAGCCCTCATTACCTGGGGTTCTTTGTCGTTTGTTCCATTGTAAGCAGAATAATAGATGAATGTCTGCTTGAGTGATTCTGTCATCTTTAGAAAAGTTTTTGGGAGATTTATCAGCAAACAGCTTGTATATTTCTAGGCCAGTTTTATCTACCTTTTTTATAGATTAGTTGTGAAGGGATAGAAAGAGCATTTCAAGAAAGAGGAACATACCAAGCTTCTGCTGTTGTAATAGTTGATAATTGTTCCGTGATCTGTGGAAAAGCTGAGCGTCAGATTCCCATGACCAATATCAACTTTCGATTGTTTGCCTCTTAGGAAACCGGATACATGTGATTTGCTAGAACGGCCACCTATTCTCGGAAACAAAATGACATAGTTTGTCAAGCAACAGCATGAGTTACTGACGTTCAAGCTTGGTCTATCTGCCAATGCATCTGGAACACTTTACCTGTATTCTTGGCAGCCGAGATAGTGTAAGTGTTGAAGCCAAGAGGAGGAACAGAGACTGAAAACACAAGCCAATACTTTGGCACCTCAGAAGGTTTTTGACCCAAGTATGCCTCCACATGATAGTTTCTTAAGGCCACATATTCACTGGAAAAGGGAATGAGCTGCGACTCAACTTCTTTTCCCTCAGAGTCATGGACTGTGATATCTCCAGTGATAACCTATCATAGATCATCACATGCATGTAAACATAGAAGGGAAATTTCCATGTACAAGAACCTGAGTGACTCACGGGAATCCGAACAATGTCCACTCTCTTCCATCCAAGAGGATTGTAAGCCAAGGCAATCTGCATAGAAGAAAACAAACTTAAGGACTGTGAATTTCAGAAAGGAGGCAGGAAACAGATTACTAAGGATGAGTTGAACGAACAGATGAGAAAATGAGAATAATTGTTCTTACCAAGCTTTTCCCATTGGATAGGTTTACTTCGGATGCAGGACAGTAACTTATGTTCAAGAGTAAACACTGGAAAAAAAAGGAAGAAGGAAACAACGAAGAAAAATGGAAGAATAGACTTTCATCAGCTACAACTCAGAAGCAAATCTGAGTTACAGATACACTGGTTCGATGCATTCATCCCAGACATCAATACAAGTATGTGATATAGAGCAACAGGATTATTTGCCTGTTTGAAGGTTGGAATTTTGGCAGAGCTTGATTTAGTCAAGTGAGCAAGAGAAGTGGCAACTACATTCTCAGCCTGCAAGATCAAGAGATGTCATTATGCTCAGATAGAAAAAAAAAGTGTTAATAAAGAAATATCAATACTTAGAGTAATTCACTACTCTACCTCTGCATAGCCTATTGCTAGTCGTTTCACATAGTCATCTGCCACATGTTGCTTTGATGTACCAGAAACAGCATCATGATGTTGAGCAATTGCTAAGGCATCTGCCAATGCATCTGTCGTTGGGCCCTCCTTGCTTCTCCCTTTGAAAAACTCAAGTTGCCTGGCTGCCTAATCGTGTTACGCCCACACACACACACACATACACAGGTATACATAAAAACAGTGCCCAATCACAATTTGAAGCATATTTATTTGAAAAATCCAGGAACAAGTACCAAATAGTAGGCACTCATCGCTCTGACATGACGCTTAAGTGCTGGTCTACTTGTAAAGTATCCAGTCCAGTAAGCATCCACACGGTCTGCATAACTGAAGTGAGAATCCCTTCAGCATTTATGAGAAATCCGGACCTAGGAAATTGGAAAAGCAAACAGTATTGTAGAGTAGACAGTAAGCCAGTAGAGCACTGAACTTACGGGAAGTAATCCTCTGTCTTTAGGGGCCAAGCCTCATTCGCAGCATGTTTTGCATCCGTATATATGGAGGGCGTAGAGTAGAGAACATTGACACGTCCATCCTAAAAGAATTCAGGACTTCAGATTTAGAGGTATGCTCTAACTATTATGTATCCTCATTAGACAGAACATTTTTGGCTTCACTTAAATCCCCAGGCAACATCATTTGGAAAAGAAAACTGGACACATGAATCACATCGCAGGCACCAAGCAATCAAACATCTACACATGTCTTTAAATTACTTACGATGTTCACATAATGGATAAACTTGTCCATTTGCCGAAACCAAGTGTGTGCATACTGGTACTTGAAATCCGTTCCCATGGTAAACATTATGTGATTTGTTCTAGTAATGTTAGCCTGCAAATCATTGGGCCCAAAATAAGCTCTGCACAGAAGACTATCAAACGTAACAAGAGGGAAAATACAAAATGAAGCAAAAAATGGTAAGGAATAGGGAATTCTATGCACCAACTTTTACCTGATCCAGAGCTGCAGACACAAAGGCATTAACTCTCTCTTGGACATTGTAATCAAACAGGTCGGGGTCATCCTTCAACGATTGAAAGGCAAATTATCACTGCAAGAGAAGGTATAATGGAAATCCTAACCAAATCATAAAAGTCCAACAAAGAAAAATACTTGGAAGATAGGAGAATCATCATTGATTTCAAAGTAAAAACCACCAGGAGGAGGTTCATAATTTGCAGGGAAAGCACCGGCAAAAATCTGTATCAAGTAAATAACTGTTAAAAATGATTTGACATAAGGATATGCTACTATATATTACGTTACTGATTCAGAAAATACACGCTTGGTATTTTACCTGCGCAGAAGAGCCAAGACTCTTAGAACCGCGCCAGATGACTTCAAGACTCTTCTCCTTTTTACGCTTATCCCTATCTTGGTAATCTATCCGACCAAAATAGACAGAATCAAATCCAACCTGCACAAAATATAAGTCAACATATTTAAGCCTGGTTCATTCTTGAACTAAAAGATGGCTTAAAAGGATCATACTTCTGCCCCGAGCAAGTAAGCCTGCACCGCAGAATGTCCAAAAGGATCAATCTGCCAACCGATTCTGGGAGTCACGTTAAACTCCCTGCTAATGAACCGATGGCCAAGAGTTGTCTGATCAATCATGTCGATGTAATGCGGTGCTGCTTCATCATGCATGCACATGCCACCATTTCTGCAGAAAATGAAAAATTATAAAAGGCGAGAGATAAACCTTTTCCTCCCACGTTTCTCAAATCAACCTCTGATATGATCATGAGCCATATTTTGGGGAAAAGACAAAAAAGCTTCTTAGAAAGCAAGGTGGTAGAGCGGTTACATGAGCTCCAGCTGGCCCGAGTGGACAAGTTCCTTGACAACGTGCTTGGTTGCCTCGCTTTGTTCTCTCCACCATCGCTGAAAAAAGGCCTGCATTGATCAAGAAAGTAACCATCATGAAAACTCCAAGTACCAAAAAGAAAGAGCAATAAAAGTTACCTGTTCAACATAAATGAATCTCCGATTCTTATCAGCCAGAAGAGCAGGCACAATTGAATCCAACACGTTTTGCACACAAGCAATCTACCCAAAAGTACCATGAAAATGGAACAAGTTAGGTAATCTCCACGAACACAGAGAAGAAAATGAAGATAAGATGAGGGACCGACCTGGATAGAGTTGTTGGAGCCAACATAGTACTGGTCAACGGTCTTGAGCCAACCGACATCGTCGTGGGTGTGAGGAACCAAATGGACATTGAGTTTTCCAGGAACGATGGTCTGGGAAGTATTGTAGATCATGTACCTTGATTCTGCACATAAAATCCCCAGAAACACAACCACCCAAGACACCACCTTGCCGACACCCATTCTGTTCTATTCTGGGAAGCTCTTCACCGATAAAAACTTTATTTGGACTGCTGGATTCAAACCCTATGCATCGCGATTTTTTTTTCTTTAAAAAAAAACAGCAAATGAAAAAGATGCAACTTCTACGAGCACAAACTGTGGTCCAAGGTTTTGCAGAAGACAGATGAGGATCCTCTCTCTCTCCCCGTCCTTTACCACCTTTTCCTTTTAATTGAGTTTAATGATTGCTAGAAACCATGCGCATTAACCAGGCTCATCAAACGGATCATACAACTACCCTTTTGAATAATTCGTACAGTATCAGGATTAATGCCACGTGGTATGCACCAAGCCTCGAGGTGAGCCCATTGGGCTCACAGCCCAACAACGGGATGTGGCAATGTCGGTTTAGACCCAGGATAAATGCTCGCGTTCTCCGATTGAAACTTTGAAGTTGCTGCCATGGAGGAGAGTTTCAGAGTGAGAGTCGACAAGACATTTGGATCTCTTACAGCCTCATCATCAGCGCAGCTGAGTTCCCTCTGGTGTCTCACGGCCGACGAGATTGAGAGAAACGAGGAGGTTTCTGAACCTCGGACCAACAGCTTCCTGGGGAAAAAGAAGTCGATGGACTCTCATGCGCAGCTAGAGAACGACCTGGCGGAATTATATGTTGACGAGGATGGCCATGAGGACGATTACGACGAGGAGTGGGAGATCAAAGCTTCTATTGGATTGGACTCTACTCTTGATTTTGAGGTATCTCTTGCATCCTGATCCTCTTCCTCTGCCAGTTTCGGTATCAACGTCTCTATTGGATTGGACTCTGCTCGTGGTTTAGGCGATGATTTGCATTTGTACGTGAACTTGGCTGCTTAGTTTTTAAAGTGTCGCAAATAAGAACAAAAACTTGAAAGATGAGAAATAAAAACCCTTTATACTTGAAATCATTTCTCCTGCAAAGTTCCAAAAACACTAGGCTAGCTAGCTTTCTTAAAAAAAAACGTAACTTGTTTGAGTTTCTCAGAGTTACATAATTAAATCGAATTTTCTGTGGTAGAATCTACAAGCAATTCTTAAGAAACTTTTCACTTGGTATCGAACCATAATTTTGAAGAAATTTTGAGGTTCTTAATATCAGAGGTTTGAGAAAAGAAGAAATGTCTGTAACGGCAGAGTCCTCCACCCTAGTGGTTAGTGACAACTCCCCGTGGTAGAGGTTGTGGGTTCGAAACCCAGGTATGGAAACTCCCCTTGAGCCGGTCAGTTTTACGAGACTGGTTTACCTGCTCTGCGTGGTTTGCCGGCTACTTGGCGGTGGGTTTTCTCAGGTTCGCGCTGCTGTCCTGATGTCGTTCTCGTCCAGCCCATGGATTGAGAGACGTTGCGGTGTCCGGTGTCTGACCCGAAGGGTTGTAGGATAGGGGTTTCTCATCGTAACAAAAAAAAAATGTTTGTAATGATGGCGTAACAGAGGTGGAAGAGAACATGAGGAGGAAGATGCTTTTGAAAAATTTCTCTTTCTTACTTACCAAAATGAACCAATACAATCGTCCTTTTATATACAAAAGGGTATGTAAAAAAGTATATAAAAAAGTACGCACTATGCTTTATGTATAATCATTAAAACGGTATGTCAGAGTATTCCTTGGACGCTCTTGGACGCTCCATGTGTGTGTTGTGCAAGGTAAAACTTCTGTGTGTCAGTGTCTATTGATTCCTTTACACCATCATTGCCATGATCCGTACTTGTCGATTGGTTGTTTAACATGCCCTCCTCAAGTCGAAAGCGATCCAAAGGGAGAAAGAGACTGGATAACTGGAGCTTTTGAAGCATCTGATGGAAGAGAGATGGCTGTAACGCTTTGGTCATCAAATCAGCTAACTGACAGGCAGATTTGACATGCATAGTCCGGATAAAACCGAGTTTGATCTTCTCGCGAATAAGATGGCAATCCAATTCTATATGTTTCGTACGTTCATGAAACATAGAATCGGATGCGAGATGGAGAGCAGACTTGTTATCGCAGAACAGATTCACAGGCCGAGCATGGGAAATTCCGAGATCCTGTAGAAGGTTGTCAAGCCAAACCAATTCGCAGGTGGTGTTGGCTAAAGCACGATACTCTGCTTCTGTACTACTTCGAGAGACGGTTTGTTGCTTCTTAGCTTTCCACGATATCATAGAATTTTCGAGGAACTCACAAAACCCGGTGATAGACCGCCGTGTATCGGGACAAGTGGCCCAATCAGAATCAGCAAAAGCTGAAAGTCTGATATCAGTGTGCGCAGAATAGAATAAGCCCTGTCCAGGATTGCCTTTGAGATAACGAACAATCCTGTGAGCTGCCTTTAGATGTAGATCCGTCGGAGAGTGCACGAATTGGCTTAACTTATGAACGGAGAAAGTAATATCAGGCCGTGTAATTGTCAGATACAACAACCGTCCGATAAGTGATCGGAAAGGTGTAGGGTCTGAGAGAGGAGTTCCCGACAACTTGCTAAGATACACATTGAGAGAGCGCACGAATGGGCCACATTGAGGATATGTTGATGTTTCCGCTTGACAACCGAGTTTTGTTGCGGCGTATAAGGACAGGAAAACTGATGCAAGATCCCCTTCTGATTGCAAAAGTCTGCGAAGGAGAATTCGGCGGCGTTATCAGATCTTATAACCTTAATCTGTCGATTGAATTGAGTTGCAACTAGCTGGGCAAATTCAGGGACAATATGAAGAACATCAACTTTATGTCGAAGCATATAAACCCATGTCGCGCGGGAGCAATCATCCACAATGGTTAAGAAGTACTTATAGCCATCAAATGAAGTGATCGAGAAAGGTCCCCAAGTATCGATGTGAATCAAATCAAAAGGAGTAGTAGCCACATTGTTTTCAGAAACAAAAGGAAGACGTCTTTGTTTCGATAAGTGACAAGTGCTACAATGGTGAAGATCTGAAAAAAACTGAGAAATGCCTAAAACAGATGACATTTTCTTCAACTTGTCGGTAGATAGATGACCAAGCCGATGATGCCAAGTACGAGCATCCACAACCAGGGCATGACAAAATGCAGAAGAAACAGCAACAGGAGTAAAACTTCTTTCCAAAATGTAGAGGTTTCGAACCAAACTAGCTTTCCCAATCGTTGAGGCCTGAATAGAATCCTGAATCAAACAATCCTTAGCGGTGAAAACAACACTGTAATGCGAGTCTCGAAGCCAAGCTGAGATGCTGAGCAAATTAAAAGCAAACGATGGTATATACAACACATCATGTAAGGTAATGTGATCATTCAGAGGAATCACTCCAGCTGTTGTAATCACAACTTTGTCACCATTAGGTAATGTTACGTTTACTGGTGCTCTAGTTGTCATCGAGAGAAACAGATGACGATGAGGACTGATGTGGATAGATGCCCCAGAATCGAGGATCCACGCATCTGTACCAAACTTTTCATTCAGGATAACTGAAGAACATGTGACGAAGGAGAGAACATTACCAGATGTGGAAGATGATGAATCTGGAGCACCAGCAGCAGAAATGGAAGGCCCAACAACATTAAACTTCTCAGCTAACTGAAAATAGAGGTTTCGAAGCTGTTCAGGAGTGAAGTTGTCCATAGCTTGCGTTGCCGAATGAACCGAAGCCACGACACCAGTATTCGGACTTGTAACCTTCGAAAGACCAGAGCCCTTCGAAACATTTTGGCCGAAACGAGAGCGATGAGGCGAGGCAGAGTATTGTGAATCTGTCAGACCCGATGAGGGAGAAGGAGAGCCTCTGTAACCAGGAGGGTATCCATGAAGGCGATAGCACTTGTGGATGGTATGGCCTTGAATTCCACAGTGTGTACAAATAGGTCTTGAGCGGCCTTTGAGAGAAGAAACAGCAGCAACAATCTTCCTAGAGGGTTCTTCTCCAGATCCAGAAGCCTGAAAAACATGAGTTTCTGTAGAAGGGGGTTGTTTAATCAGTTGTTGTTCATGTTGATTAATAAGGTTGTACGTCTTCTCCAGGTCAGGAAGAGGATCTAGCATGATGATCTGGCCTCGAATGGTGTAATAGGAGTTGTTCAAACCAAAGAGAAATTCCAAAACAAAATCTTGTTCGCAGGAATCATACCATTCTTTGCTGATATTGCAAGAACATTTACCACATTTGCAATGAGGTGTGGGCTTCAGAGATTTGATCTCTTCCCAGATGGTGAGAAGTTTGGTGTAGTAAGTGGCGACGTCCATGGAGCCCTGGCGGAGGGACTGTAACCGCTGCTTGATGTTGTTCAACCTCGGCGCTGTGTTCTGCTGAAAACGTTTTGTAAGACTCAGCCAAATATCGCGAGATGTCTGTAGATACAGAAGGCTTGGAGCGATGTGCTTGGTGACAGAGTTAACAAGCCAAGAGCCGACAATGGAGTCATTGCGGAGACAAGCACGAAGATCAGGGTGATCATCAGAAGGTCGAGGCAAGGTGCCATCAACAAAACATAACTTGTTTCTGCCATTCAAAGCCATTTGAATGGCTCGAAATCATGTGTTGAAATTTTCGGTGCCCACCAAACGATCAGAAACGAGCTGAAGGTTCGCCTGATCATTAGAACCCAGGTAGTACTGATTATCATAGGAATCAGTGGAAGGAGTAGCAGAAGAGGTTGGTGCAAGAGTAGATGACTGAGAGCCATGATCAGCAACAACCGAAGCAAAAGAAGCCATGAAAAATAAAACGAAAAGAACAACCCCAAAGAAGAGTGAAATCAACGAATGAAAATGGAAGCGAAAGAACAGAGGTGCTCTGATACCATATCAGAGGTTTGAGAAAAGAAGAAATGTCTGTAACAATGGCGAAACAGAGGTGGAAGAGAACATGAGGAGGAAGATGCTTTTGAAAAATTTCTCTTTCTTACTTACCAAAATGAACCAATACAATCGTCCTTTTATATACAAAAGGGTATGTAAAAAAGTATATAAAAAAGTACGCACTATGCTTTATGTATAATCATTAAAACGGTATGTCAGAGTATTCCTTGGACGCTCCATGTGTGTGTTGTGCAAGGTAAAACTTCTGTGTGTCAGTGTCTATTGATTCCTTTACACCATCATTGCCATGATCCGTACTTGTCGATTGGTTGTTTAACACTTAACTTGCGGATGTTGTATTTGTAGGAAGAGGATGACGAATACGACAAAGTGGCTGTAGGCAAGGAAAATAAAGAAGACCGGTTGTACATGAAAGACGTGAACAACTACGAGACGGAAGCTGATGACTGGGATGCACTCCCAACATCTTTCAAGGACCTGGCAAGGGACCCACGTGCCAATCACATTGCTGCAAAGATACGGCTCAAAGAGGATGCTGAAACTGCTAAGAAGATGAACTCTTTGCATGTCTCTGTGGTAACGAACTCTTTTCTTTGTCTGAAACCAAAGTGTCTAGCTCTGTGCATGTGCACTAGAATAATTGCTTGCGTGCGAGGATAATTGTTTACTCTGTGCATGTGCCAAAGTATAATTATTACTTTCGCTGCCTGAAACCTACAAGGTTTTCAATAAAATAGACTTCGTGCATGAGCTTTTAGTTAACAACACTTTGGCTTTGAAAGGTAAACTCTTTGATAGTGTCTTACCTGTGACTCAAGACAGATGCTGTTAAAAAGATGGATTTTTTTTATATTTCTCTGGAGGATAACGTTCTCTACCATTGCCTGTAAACAATGCAGCTGCTAAGAAGATGAACTCCTTGGGTGTCCAAGGATAATTGTTCTCTTTCCATGTCCAAAACCAAAGTGGCTGCTAGCAGATGAATTATTTACATTTTGCTAAGGATAACAGTCTAATTAGTATTCGTCCCCGTCTGAAACCGATGTGGCTGCTAAGAAAATTGAATCTTTGCATGCGTTTTATGATAGCAACTTACTGCTGTGTCTGGAACAAAAAGGCAACTGAGGAGATAAAATTTTTGCATGTGTGTGAGACTAAAGTGGCTGCTAAAATGACGATTCCTTGCTTGTGCCTGAGAATAATCATTTGCTTTGCCTGACTGAAATCAAAGTGGGTGCTAAGAAAATGAACTCTTTGTAGGTATCTCAGGATGATCAGTTTATGTCCCCATCCATAATCAGAGCAGCTCTGGGGGTGTCTGAAAATAAAGCAGGTTTTCAAGTGTCTGAGGATAATCGGTCTTGGTCCATGTCAACCCAACCGAAGGTGTCTGAATCTGATGATAACAACTCGCTGTCCCTTTCTGAAGCCAGAGAATCTTTGTCGGCATTTGCTGAGAAGGCTTCTGTTTGCACTTCGGAGTATGGTGGTCTTAAAAAAATACTAAAGAGGAAGGATGTTCAGATTGATCCTAAGTTGCGGAAGCGTGTTCGTTTTAGTTCAGATTACTGCAGGGATGAACGAGGGGAAAAAGACTCTGAAATGCAGACATTTTCAGCTGATGAGAATAAAGTAGAGAAGGAATATCTGAATCAGGTTCCAGATTATATGCGAAACCCTTCAAAATACACTCGATATACATTTGGTTCAGATGAGATGGATGAAGAATCCAACCGCAAAGCCTACATGGACTTTATCAACATGATGAAGAGTGAAGAGCATTCTTCAGTGGAGTTGCCAAGATCAGTATCCTTTGTACCAAAAAGAAAACCACCGGCTGAAACAGAATTAGGACAAAAGAAAGTAGGCAAGGATTCAGTGGGTAAAAGAGGTGTAATGGCCGTTGATGCTGTAGAGGATGATGAAGTCTGTCCAATGAAAGAAGCTGATGATACCTCGGAAACAGCAGTAAATGTTATGATGAGAAGTGATAAGCAGAGATATAGCCGCCAATATCGAAACAAAGTGAAGGAAAGGCCATGATGATTGTTAATTGCTCCCCTTACGAATACAAAGTGAAGGATGAGCCTTAATGATTGTTAATTGTTCCACTTGATATGATACAAAGTGAAGGGAGAGCCTGTTGAATGTTAATTGCTCCACTATATGTTCTCTCTTTTTTATCCCGTGCAACGTGCATTTGGGATTTGAGTGGGATCTGATAAGAAAAAAGAACTGAAATTTGTCAGAAGTTGATACTTCTGTCCATCTGTTCTAAAATTCATGTCCAGGAACTGATTTCTTAGGCGAATCACCCAGACTGAGTTTAACTGAGAACTAGGGCGAGCTTAGTGTTGGTGAAATTTTTGTACGCCCTAATCTGTGACTTGAGCTCTATCTCCGTAAGATTTTTCATACCTTGGCTGGTTAGAGTTATATATATATGATCATTCAGGTATTTTGTCGTCCAAGAACTGAGAATGACTTGGTTCCGGACCTCCCTCTGACCATAGCAAGCGGGCATATGCTTTATGTTGTTCTCTCTGCATGCTTCAGTGATTCGGCTTCTGATTCTCAAGTTGCTGCTGAGCAGGTCTAGCATTGAGCCAGGTACCACTGTGACTGTCAGGTGGAGTGGAAAGCCAGTCTTCCTCAGGCGCCGAACAGATGAGGATATCAATCTGGCAACACAATGTTGATTTGTTATCTCTTTGGGATGCAGAAAGTGAAGAACCCAGAATGGCTCATTGTGGTCGGGTTATGCGCTCATCTAGGCTGCGTTCCCTTGCCCAAAGGCTGGAGACTTTGGGGGAGCCATGGCTCTCATTACGACATTTTTGGCAGGAACCTGGCTCATCCCTGGACGACAAGAAGTTGCTGATTGGTTCAGAAAGTAAATGTTTTTTTGCTCACGGCAGAAAATATTACAAAAAGAAAAAGAGTTTATTGATTCAGTTGGATAAGAGCCAGTAAACGGTTGGGGGAACAAAACTCTGTTGGGTGTTGGGTATTAGGTCCAGTTTGTTTATGAAACTTAAATATGTGAGTTTAAACATTAACTTTCGTGGCCTTTTTTGTGAATGTGAAAGCTTGCTGTTAGATGTTCTATATTCAATATTGCTGGATAAGCTGTAGCATATGTTCAGCGAACCATCGTTTAGATTTAAAAATGTAAGTTTTTACAGTTGCGACTGCTGTTGTTGCTGTTGATGCTGAATAGGTTTCATCTGAGATGGAGGGAGATTTGATGTGGAGATCCGAGGACTTTGGGCTGCGCCTCTTAACGTTGACTTGACGGCGTTATCACCCCACCCCCTATTTTTAACCGATCAGCTCTCCTTTTTACTCCCAGATTAATACAGAGCAAAATCATATGATGAAATCTACAACAGTATCCCGGCCGTATAGTTATCAGCTTGATAATGATTTCATCCAAACTGTTTCAGGATTACATTAGATATTGAATCATATTAAACCAAACGTCATTGTAATTTAATAAAACAAAAAACGAAAGGTGTGATCCACTTTTCACTCGTCGTGAGATTAAAATTGGGTTGGACGGTGGATGGGCCAAAACAAGTGGCCTGGAGCTGGTCCAAGGGGGCGTGAACCATGTAGTTGAACTTGACGGACGGCTACTTAACGGAGGAGGGAACACCAGTACACCACCACTCACTCTGCGGTTCTTCTTCACTTCTTGTGTGTGTTCGCCATATTCACCCCCATCGCATCCTTATCTTCCTCCTCACTCTCCCACAAATCTCCTTCGCTTCCTCTCTCTCTGGTAATTAACTTTTCCTTCGATTTCTTTCTTTTCAGCGACGGCCCTGAATCCTGCATTCGGTCTACGAGAGGTACGGTATCTCCCCTCCTCGCCTATCAATTGCTCCCTCTTCTAGGGTTTGTCCCTCCTCCTCCGTTGTTTGTTCTCCGTGTTCTTCCTGATTTTCCCGCTTTTACTTCCGTTCTTATTCATTTGTTCAATTGAATCCGTGATTTTTTCTTCTTTGCGCTGTGTCTAATCGTTGTTACCATCCATTAATTCCGGATTGCCACTAGGGTTAACTTGACATTATTGGTATGCAAAGCCCTTTCTTCCTCTCCTCTACGCTTCTCTTTCCAATTATCGATTGAATTTGTTGATTACTTTTCGGTATCTCCTCCTGGGTCGTGTCGTGTCAGATACAATCTCAGAATTAACGAATGCTGAAACCCAGTTGCTCTGCTATAGCACATCATTAGCGTTTGCTTCTCCTTGGACTGTGAATGTAGTTCGATTTAGGTTTCTTGATACTGAATTGTGTATAGCAAGGAGTTCCTAATTTTACCGTATTTGATTGTATCGATTCCTTGTTTTTCTCTTCCAAATTATCATTTAATTTGTTGAGCTTTACGGCTTACCGATTTCATGTTTCTGTCTCATAGACTCTCAGAAGATGCAACCCTAGTATTCTGTGACACCATAGTATCACCGTTTGCTATGTGCTGTTTTCTGAGGGGGAAATATCTTAATTTTGACTGTGGTTGTGGTTTGAATTTTGATTGCCATGTTAGGCTTTGTAATGGAACTTTTTGTCTGTTGTCACGATATGCTACCAGGTCTTCCTTTGACTCCTCAAGATGGCAGCTGATCAACGAATAAAACGGAAGAACAATTCCAACTTTGTTGGTTTTTTTCCTTGGGAACATCATAGAACCAAAAAGAAAAAGATTGCTTCACCGGGAAATCGTTTGTATACGAGAGATCATATTAGCCTTGAGTGTGACAACGACCGAAATAAGGTCATTGCCAAGAAGGAACAAGTTGGACTAAGTTTGAAACATCTGCGCCAGTTTGTGGATACCATTCCTCATGGACGGAATATCCTGGCAGAAGTGTGCTTGGTTCCAAAAGAAATTTTTGACTTGGAAAATCTCTCAGTGGTACTTTCTTATGAGGTAATACTAGTTTCATCCTTTCGTAGCATCTGCTTACTCCCTTGAGGTATCAGGTTTTTCACCATCTTCCCAGCTTACATTTCTCAGGTTTGGCGGTGTTTCCTATCAGAAGGTGAAAGAAATTATCTACATCAATTCCTTCCTAAGGTGGTAGATGCAGAGAAAGTAGTACAAGTGTTGCTTGACGGAGATAATTTTCATTTTGGAAATCCTTTTCTTGACTGGTTAGTATTAATACAGGTTTTCTCGGTAGTGGATCGGTAAAATGAACTCTGTGATAGAGAACTAAATCAAATTGGAATGTTTTGGCTTAAAACATGTTTCTCTGATTGGGCATATAGTGTTAATGCAAATCATTTTTTTTAGCTGCATGATTCACGCACTTGGTGGTGGCCTGAGCCTGAATCATGCTGGTAAAGTTGAATGGTCAATTTGATCTGACGTTTTGGTTTCAGGGGAACAGCTGTTTGCTCTGGCGGGTTTCATCCCGATGGAGTTCTTTCTAAGGAGGAACGCATTAGGGCTGATAAAAGAAGATATTACTCAGAGTTACAAAAATACCATTATGAGTATGCATATTTTCTTTATTCAGGCAACAGGAACATCGGAGCTGCAGTTCTGCGTGATTGTAATTTTTCTTTCCTTGTTTCTGGTAGAATTATAGATTATTTGCAGAAGTTGAAGGAGAAATGGGAAACCTGCAAAGATCCAGAGAAGGATGTTGCTGCAAAGATGTGGGGGTCAGTGCTTGCCTTTTCTTGAATATCTTGTTGAGTTTAAAGTAACAAAGCAGATAGATTCAATCTTGGCTGATGATTGTGTCCGTAACATTTGCTTATGTAAATGTGTATGTTTCAGGTTTTTGCTTTTAATAATTTCAGATAACAACCTGTTGCATGGTTTTAAATAGAATATAGAAAGGTGGACCTTGTTTGGGTTTGAGCTTGTAGTGGCAACTGAAGTAGTGATCACGGTTTTATATATGATTGTTGTTTAGTTAATTTCTTCAGGAGGTCAAGAGGGGGCAATGCACATCTTACTGACAGTCGTCGCCAGGCCCTTGAGCAGGGTCTAACTGCTGTGTCTGAAGCTTCCTCTTGGGGCGCTGATGAGAAACTGTGTGCTAGCGATAGTAAGAATGCTTTTGTTGGTAGGACTAGAGAAGTTCAGAAAAGGTGTGAAACATATACGTCGGCGCATGCATACACAGAGTTTTCACCTTTTGGTGGCCTTTTTCCCCTTATTACCTGTGCTCTGCTTTCCATGTCAGGTCCAAGAGTTTTGTAAAAAACATAGAGAAAGAAAAATCTGAAAATCCCTGGGGTGCGCTGGATAATCCCGTGGACATTGGTGCAAAAGCCAAAAAAAGGGACAAGCTACCGAACCATAGCACCCAACAAACTGATGGTGCTAAATACATGTCGTATCTTAAGGTTAGTAGTTCTTTCTGCTTTTGCTGCTCTATTGAATTAATATATTTGCTATATTATCTATCGATTGGGTTCTAAAGCTTTTATCGGGCTAGAGTAAATTGATTTTCCAAAACACCATTTAGCTTGAAGCCGTGAACAGGATTAAGATTCTCAAAGAGAGAACATTGCATATTTCTACAAGAGACTGCCCGCATTGTGCTCAGAATTGTTTTCCCAATCCCAATATAGAGCATATGTTGAAACTGGTATCCTAGGATGCTATGTTTGGTCGATTTCGTTGTTACTATGGATGTGGTAGGCACTAGGCAGCACGTAGCTGTTTTTATTCTGTGGTTATTTTAGGGTATCATGTAATCCTGGTTCATTAACGACTTCTGGATGCTGATTTTTTTTTTTATCTCTCGTAATTTGTGTAGATTTTGAGGAATATTCAGATTGCATTTTATCAAAAACGAAAAAAAAAAGTGATTTTTTGCGGCATGACAGAGAAAACTTTATGAAGTTTTGGTCATGGAACATTGAATTTTGCCCTAGTAGCCTGGTCTCATGAAGCTAATTGTTGTTTTAAAAGGGCAGCCCGGTGCACAAAGCATCCCCGTTGAGCAGGGGTCCGGGGAAGCTAATTCTGGTTTTAATGAATAAAATATTAGCAATGGTGCTTTCTTTGGTTACATCTGACTTAATGCTTTTATATATTTCAGATAAGCAAGATGCAACATCAGATTGTCACAAGCATGAAACAGTCTGGTAAAAGCATTCAGTCAAGAGCACTGAATCGTATCTTAGGTAACATTGAGACGTTGGATGTACAACCTTATGGAGTTTTTGTAAAAGAAGAACTGAAGAAACTGAATGCACATTGGTCAGTGTTTTGGTGAAACAAGTGACTTCCTTTTGTCAAACTTTGTTTCTGATTTCATGAAACTCGGTTTGTTTCATGTAGGCTGCAAGTGGCAAAAGACCTTCCTGCAGCATACGCAATCTGGAAAAATTTACAGCTACAGAAATGGGTTATAATCAGGTCTGTGGAAGGAGAACTGAAGGAAAAAGTCAATCCATGGATGGAGGTCTTTATCTTTATGTCTTGTGCCGTGGCCGTTTTGATGTTTATTTATTCTGTCTGCATCTCTGTGTTATTAAAAATAAAATCTTTGGTACAGGATGAACAGAAACTGGACCATGCAGAAAATCCCCTTGGAAAGATGGAATTTCATATGCACTTGAGGAATGCGCGCACTGTGGAAGAGAATAGAGAAAGTTTGATTCCAGATCAGAACAATGTCCTTGCGCCACTACAAGAATGTGATGTTGAAGTTTCTGGGAATTCCAGTCGAGTATCTGCTAGAAGTGACTCCCCTTCACTGGAGTCTTCCAATTACAGTGAACAAAGCAGAGACTCGGGTCAGTGCTTGCAACTTGTGCCGTCTCCATCACTGGTTTCTTCACCAAATTGTGGCAATAAGGTTAATCTAGACGCTATAGAAGAGAAACAATATTCCTTTCCTCGTTCTCCCAACAGAAACCATGACGTCAAGGGAAAGGAGACTGAAGCAGACGAATATTCATGCTCCTTACAAGAGCAGTGTCTCTCGCGGGCTTCTCCTGCTAGTGAGCACTGTGCCTTAGAGCTGAATAATATCAATTCTATGGGCAAGAAACATGTTTCACAAATGGCGAATTCCTCATCAGTTATTATGACAGAACACTTAACAGATTTGAGGATCCCTTGTATTGCTTCGGGTGATGAGGACTCTCAGTTTTGTTCCAGCGGAGATGTGTGGAAACCAGAGGCAGGAATTGAGCAGTCTTGCATTGATCGTCAAGCTTACACCACAGGTGGTGGATTAGCAATCATGCATAATCCTCAAGGTGAGGAAGAAGAACCAAAAAACTGCTTCATAGAACTTGAGTCAGAAGTGAACAAGGATGATGGTATGAAGAATATGTTGCAGAGGCTAACGAACAATGGTTCCTTCTGTTCTTTCCCGAACAATGATCAAAACGAGTTACTCCAGTCTCTGTTCAAAGGGCAGGGCATGCCGTCTCATAATCTGGAACAGCTTCACTCACATTTTGAAGGACCGCATAATGAAGAGCATAAACAGACGATGAACGGTGGTCAGTTTGCAGGTCATTTTCTGGCTGGAATGCCTCCTCCACATGCAACGGCTCAGGAACAGCAAAGACTGAATCACAGTTATGGCGTATCGGAGAACATTTACTGTGATGAACGCGGAATGTTGATGCAGCGGCAGGACTGGAATGCAAATTCTGGACAGATGGGAGTCATTATACAGCCCCAGTTGAGTATAGGGCCTGTGTTAAGTCAGGACTGGCAGATTAGGAGTGTTTGGGAAAACACAAACGATGTGGGTTATGCAAGCCAAGGCAGTCAAACAGTGGCCAACAGAGATGAGAGCCTTGTCAGAGGCGTTAGTGAGGCAGAGCAGATCCTTCACAGGGGTAGCACCTCAGACCAGAGCTTATTTTCGGTTCTCTCTCAATGTAGCCAACTGCACCACCCCAGAACGACCTTTGAGTCAACTAGTGCCAGTGATCAATTTGTTGCACCCAGTAACTCTGGTATGATGATGGGTGAAGCAGCAGCAGCGAAGGTAGGCAGCTGTATTCCTCAGCCTTTAAACCCACTCGGTTACTTGAGTGGCAGTAGCCAAACGACATCATTGATGGCAGATGATGTTGGGTGGATGAACAATACCCATCAGAGCTCTGCTCTCAACGACCCACAAGCCAAGCTGTATCAGAGGTCACGGAATCAATAATTCGGTGTAGGTGACAGAAACCACATCAACAGCCGAACAAACAGGGAACAAACAGGGAAGATGCTATGGTTTGAGAGGTAAGAGCTCAGCATCCGCAACTGCAAATCTATGGAGAATCGGAGATTGAATACGATAACCCAGTGGGAGGGGTTTCTTTTTGGGTTCTAGTGAGTAAATATACATAGGGAGATACAGAAATGCAGAACCGAGGGAAAGCAGATGGTCGTTTTGTGTGTGTATATATATATATATATATATAGGCGTTTGAGATGTGGTAGAGAAAGCAGCTACTAGTTTATGCTTCTTCTTTTTCATTGCATCGTCTTTACCATCGTATTCGGTTTTCTTGTGATTGTTATGTTGGAGATTGGAGCAAATGTTTTCCTGGGGATTCTGCTTATATAAAATACAGCCACAGATGTGAGTTTTGTTTTTTCTTGAGCCGAAGATGATATATCCACGGAAGATGATCTTGAATGCTAACCAAAAATGATAGCATTTCAATTGAAAATCCTATCCCAGCACACGAGAGAGATGGTGTGCCCGAGAATATTATTCTGTACCTTGGTGTTATATTCAGAATTCTTTTATTGTGTTCTTTAATTTTCTTTCTTTCAAAAAAAATAAAAATAGATATGTTCCCTTGAAAATGCATCTAAAAGAAAATACTCTCTACTTTGCCGACATTTTCAAAACAACAGAAATCAGATCCAAGCTATATATAGTAATAATCATCGCAGAGCCACAGAAGTTGGGTCATCAATTCGACATTAGAAGGTAAAAGCAAAGGTGATAGAACCCCCTTGAATGAAAACCAAGAGCCGCAGCCAGAAATGCGTGGAGGGAGACGACATTAATAACGTCGTAAATGGTTTTATTAAGAGCTTCTTGTGTTTAATTTGATGCCGCCGTTACTGTTCGACAGATTCTTTCCTCGCTTCTCTAAAGCACAGATTCTATCCTTTCTTCTCCCTAAATCTCTTACAGTTTCTTTTTTTTTTTTGTTCCTCTGCAGAAATCGGGTGTGGTTTGCGATTAACAGACGAAAAATGGCGGGTCGGAAGAAGGATGTAATTCGTCTCGAACGTGAATCTGTCATTCCTATCCTCAAACCTAAGCTCGTCATGACCTTGGCCAATCTCATTGGTCAGTTTCTCGATTTCTTTGTTTCTCGATTTGCTAATTCTGCTCACGATGGGTTCTGACCTGTGTTTTCACATTCATCGCATCGAACGAGGAAGAGAATCTTTTCTTTTTAATTTTTTTTTTATCTGTGTGAACATATGTGTTTGTGGAATTCTGTCTGGGTTTTCTGCGAGAGCCTAAATTTGCTGATTCTTCGAGTTTTACTAAGATAAACTTTTCAGCCTCTTGCAGAAGTCGCGTCTGATAGTACATTTCTTTTTCTGTGCTGCACTTAGCGTTAAGGGTGTCATCCTTTTTGTTTGCTCGCAAAACTTTTCAGAATATTTAGGAAAGCCCTTTAACTGGCTAATGCTTTGCAGAACATAGCAATGATAGACAAGAGTTTCTCAAGCTTTGCAAGAGGATTGAGTACACCGTCCGAGCTTGGTATCTTCTACAGTTTGAAGATTTAATGGTGTTAAAATCTTTCTCTGCACTAGCTTTCCTCTTCTGTAGCATGTTAAACTTGTTTATTGTTTTATCTATCTTGAATTTTTCCCGGCTTTTGCATTTGCAGCAACTGTACTCTCTCTTTGATCCAGTACATGGTGCTCAGAAACTGCAGCAGCAAAACCTAACTTTGGGGGAAATCGATATACTTGAACAAAATTTCCTCACTTACTTGTTTCAGGTTTTCTGTTAATTAAGTTATCTGATCAATGTGTACTGTATTTTGTTTATCTGTTGATGCTTATTTTCTTTGCAGGTAATGGCGAAGAGCAACTTCAAAATAACTACAGATGATGAGATCGATGTTGCACACTCGGGGCAGTATCTTTTGAATCTACCCATAACAGTTGACGAGTCAAAGGTTTAAATGAACAGCACTTAGTCAATGATGTTTTAACTCTTCATACAACCTGGAGAGTCGTGCTAAACAATTTCCGGCTTTGGTGAAGCTTGACAAGAAGCTGCTGAAAAGATATTTTGGGGAGCATCCACATGAAGATCTTCCAGATTTTTCTGATAAGGTAATTTTCTAGACGTCCTATAATTGAAGTCTTTAGACTTTTTCCTAAGGAACTGTTGATGGGAGCAGAGAGAGAAGTTCCCTTTGTATGAAGAACATTAATTGTGGTTATCCATTTTTTTTTATTAGTATGTCATTTTCCGCCGTGGTATCGGGATGGATAGGACAACAGATTTCTTTTTTATGGAGAAATTGGATGTGATCATTTCTCGCTTTTGGTCCAACCTTCTGAGAGTAACTAGGTAAATACAATTTTCTGGACGTAGTTTCCTTTTCCTTTATTTATGTGCTTGTAAATATGGAAATGAGCTTAAGATCAGCAGTTAGATTGTATTATTTTATGCAGGTTTTTTGGCTCTTGCAATTCTTCTTCTCTTTACTGCTTACTGTTGTCATAATTTACAGGTTAGATAAACTATTTACAAAAAGATCTAGCAGACATAGTAAAAAATATCCCAAGAAAGATGATGAGACGATCCATGAAGCAAACAATGATGACTTTTACGTGGAGCGTATTCGCCTTGAGAATATGGAACTGAGGTTATTCTCTGTATCCCATTGCTTCTGTCACAATTCTGTGGCCATGGTCTATTATTTTGTTGTGTTCAAAGATGATTGTTTGCGTTTGGCAACACACTTTGGCTGTTTTCAGTTACTAAATACTTATACATGTCTTGTTTGGTCCGTCTGATTGTTTTTCTCCTGACTCCAGCTTTAAGAATTTATTGAGCAAGGTCACAATCCAAGAACCAACTTTCGACAGAATGATTGTTGTTTACAGGTAAGGTGTATCTCGTCTTATATCAGCTAGTTATGTCTTGTACTTTAGAAAGTTGGAAACTCTTGTTTAGAAGCATATGATGATCGTGTTGCAGACGAGCTGGCTCTAAAACGAATCAAGAACGAGGAATTTATGTAAAGCATTTCAAAAACATACCTATGGCTGACATGGAAATTGTGCTTGTAATTCTCTCTTCTTGCTGTCTTGCTTTCCCCTGCTTTGTTCCACATGCTCTATGGGTTTTTTAGCAAATGCTCAATACGTTTGATTAAAAATTGCGATCCATGTTTATTGCAGCCTGAGAAAAGAAATCCTGGATTGACTCCAATGGATTGGGTCAAATTTCTCATTTCTGCTGTAGTTGGTCTGGTTGGTCTCCTTGCTCCCTCTCTCTTTTAACGGGTTACCTGTCCTTCCAGGTTATCATGTGACTTTTTTTGCAGGTTGCCGTGGTTACTTCAGTCGAGATGCCTAAAGCAGATCTGTGGGTAATTATCGCCATTCTATCAACAGTAGTTGGCTACTGTGCCAAGACCTACTTCACGTTAAGTGCTTTTCTTCTTTCTTATTTTTGTTCTTTCATCAAACCGATAACAACCTGCTTATGCTAGGCGTAAATGATTGCATCAAATTCAAACCTCAATCCTCAAAGTCAGTTTGTAGAGCATCTGCAGGTCTATAGAACGACCAACCAATCCCGTATCCCTCTTTGTCCAACTAGGCATTTCCAGGGTATCTTTTACCTCAAAATCCAACTGTGAGCCTTAGTTATTGAGTTATTCTGATACCAAATGATAAGAACCAGCCTGAACTAGACCTAAATTGTTTGCGACAGACCCATTGAAATCAACTTAAAAATCAGAGTCAGGGGGTCCATGGCAATCTACTAAGATTGACTCACGCTGGCCGTCTCATGCCGCTCCAACAACAACATAGGCCTTTGCATGTGCCGGATATGGTAACATGATAAGAACACATTTTATACTAGACTCGTGTCATTGTTACAAGCTGATGAGCATAGCTCAACTCTAACACCAAGTATGTTGGATTATACAAACTTATAAACCAGAAACCGACACCATGCTAGCATATCCTAACACGAACATTTCTGTGAGTGGTTTTCTTTCAGGTTCCAGCAAAACATGGCAACATACCAGAACTTAATTACGCAATCAATGTATGATAAACAACTTGACAGCGGGAGGGGTACACTTCTACACTTATGTGATGATGTCATTCAACAAGAAGTAAGTCTCCTGCTTAATCTTGAAAACAAAGATGGTTGCTACTATTCTTTCTTTAACAATATTGTCATTTGTCAGAGACTGATTCGTTTTGACTAGAATGAATCTTTGTAATCTGGATTTTATGCAAGGGAAGCTTTGGTTTTGTGGTTTTGATGTTTCCCTCACTCTTATTCCCTAAATGATAATAGAACATAACATGTCCAAGAAGTTAAAGGATTAGCATGCTGTTGATTCTACTTGACAAAATTTAGTCTACTGATCACCAAAGACTGGTTCATCTGTAACATAGCAGGCAAATGACTATAGTATGTAACATGTCCAAAAGGATGAATAATCCATGCTAAAACATGTAAACCACCCATTTACCGAGTAATCTTGTGCACAGGTGAAAGAAGTGATCATTTCATTCTACATACTGATGGAGCAGGGAAAAGCTACCTTGGAGGTACACACTGCTGCCTCTTCTAGTCTCGTGTGTTGTATCATTCTGTGAGCATTGGTGTTAACTTGTTGAAAATCTGAAACTGTAAACTAGGATCTGGATCTGAGGTGTGAGGAACTAATCAGTGAAGAATTTGGTGAGAGGTGTAACTTTGATGTGGATGATGCAGTTCAGAAGCTAGAGATGCTAGGGATTGTAGCCCGGGTAAGTGAAATTTCTATGGTTAAAATCATTCTGATAGTCGATGGATATTGGTTATCGACCAAAACCAAGAAAAGTAAAAGATAAACTCGTTCTTACGGTGAACGAAAACCCCAACGCCATCCTAGCAGTGTTAAACTCCAAGAAAATGATTAAAGTGGCTGATGCCATTTTATGGTGCTAAGCAAGCCTTACATAGGCTACGGCAGTGGAAGAAAAAAAGGCTGCCCTAACAGCCTACAAGTCGGCCAGCCCTAGGGTAGAAACCTTAGGGCCTCGCCCCGTTATTCCTAACAATCCCGACCTGCAATAGTCAAGCATTTTCGTGGTAGCACATCAGCAGGGATAGTATTCCCTTTTTCCTGTAGCTGAGAATAACTGAGCTGCGTTCAGATACAAATCAATAATTTGTTTATTAGAGGAAGAAATTGGACGTGGAAACGCCTTTTGAGCAAAATTTGTCATTGCAGGACACAATTGGACGGTATTACTGCGTTGGGCTGAAGCGAGCCAACGAGGTCATAGGAATGACGACGGAGGAGCTTGTGCTGAAGGCCAAACAGGGTGTTAGCACTGCTTGATTCTTTGGTTTTTGGACCACAGAGATTGTGTGTTAATAAGTGCACGTCACGTGTTGTGTGTTTAACTTTGTTTCATAGGTTAATCGTTTTCTTCATGTGATCATACTCTCGGAACTTGTGGCTGATCAATTTGTTTCCCAAACCCCATCTGCTAGCCTTCGGAACAAAAAGTCCTGCCGAAAAGGAAACACATCGGCTTTGATATCAGACACCTGCGAACAGAAATCCTGTCGGAAAATATCCTTGTTACTATACTGAGCTCAGTAGTCGCTACTGCGTCAAAAGATACTTCACGTTAAGTATCATTTTGTTTCCATTCCTCTAAAATATTGGTTCCAGATGAAAACTCTTGGTTGATTACCAAAGCCTAATTAAATTGAGTCCACAAAGAGTATAACAGTCGTCAGACACAAGGTACGCATAGATAACCCGTACTTAATAGCGATTTAAAAACCTGAAAAAGGAAAACCATAGACACGAAAAGTGTGTTGTTTTATCCTTCACTCTTTTGTTTCTTGTAATTTGTTTAAACGATGACGCTCTATTTATGCAAGATAAACGAGCTTTAACAATGTGACATTCGTTTAGATTTAAATGAAGATTGAATTATACTTTTGAACTTGTGTCGTGAAAGCACACCCCATATCAATAAGTTTCCATTCGAGCCAAAATTATAGGACCAAATGGATCATTAGTCAACCATGAAGCATTAACATGCCCCGAACCTGAACAAAGGATATTTGTCGCTACCCCAACAATACAGTTGACAGGAAACGCGAAAACCAAACTTGAGTTTGGATTTTACTGTATCCCCTCAACGATACGCAGCTACGAAATGCCACCCCTCCCAAACAACCTCAGTCAACCTTACCAAGCACCATCAATACGTACCAAACCAAGTGTTGTCATAAACTAAATTGAATAAAAAGCAGTTAAGAAATATCACTATGGTACATATATGATGCAGTGATATATAATCCAATGCCGTAGAGCAACTATTTGGCTACAGAACCAGCGTTGTAATCTTGATCGAGTCAGACTAGAGGTTACAGGAAGGCATGCCCTCTAAGCATACCCACACCTCTGTAGGCTCATCTCGGCTGAGAGTTTAAAAAGCTTGATAAACGTACAAGTTAGTGTCACTGTCATGAGCTATAAGTTCGATGAAGATGGATCTCTTGAAGCAACAACGACCTGGCTTTGTTAACATTAGTGAACCAAAGGCAGATATGATCCTCAAGATCCTTGAGTTGGTGAGTGACATTGAGGTGGCTTTTCCTGAGCTGCTTCACAATCTCCTGAATTGGATAAATGTCCCTTCCTCTCTCCAGTCCAAGGCGGACGAAGAGCTTGTCGTTCTCGATTCCCATGTGCAGACGGGAGACAAGACGGTCGATGGTATCAAGATCTTTGTTGAGCACAAAAGTGCCCTTCGCAGCAGCATTGAGCTGAGATATGTTAGCCAACTCCTTTTTCTTGAAACTGTGAGGGAGGTAGGCACTGCACAAGGGACCTGCAACAACAAGGGTTGGAAGCGCATGAGAGGCAATAACAGCGGCGGAAGCGGTGACTCCAACAACAGCAGCAACAAGAAAAATGGCAGAACCAGCAGTGGCACGGTGCAGAAGGCGGACCCGTGTGCGGGACTTGCGGAGACGGGTGTCAAGCTGCTGCTTCAGCAGGGAGAAACACTGTTGCGTCTCTCGGAAGTTGTGAGACTCAGGACACGGAAAAGGGTTATCTAAGCTATCGAATTTAAGGAAGATGTCAAACGCCAGGTTGCAGTGGGACTCGTTAATGGCGTGTGGATCAATGGGAAGAATGTCGAGGAGGTCAAAGAGAGGTCGGTAGAGCTCGCGAGCACTGTGGACGCTTTGGTAGAGATTCAAACAGAGGCTGGTGGCATCCTCGCTGTGTTGGAAGTAAGTGGAGATAAGTTGGGTGAGGCTAGTTTGCTTGGCGTGGCTAAGAGCTTCTTCCACGCATTCCCTGTTGGGTTGCAGCACCTGAGACAGAAGCAGCTCCGTCCGATCCCCGTCGTCTTGTTGGAATTGCAGATGATCTAAAGTAGGGTCGGACTCGTGAAACAGTGACCGCATCTCATTGTAGGAGTGGGTCTGGAGAGCGTGAGCCAACTCGCGGCTGAGGTTGACGGTGGTGGAAGTCGCCGAATTCGCTGTTAAGCCAATGCAGAGACATGCTCGTTGAGGCATTTCAACGGACAGGTGATGTTCGTTTTACGATGTGATAGAAAAATAAAACATACCAGGGGAAGTCTGGGGAAGAGGATCGCCGTTGATGGGTCCCGAAGAGGCTGCTTTGAAGGAGAGACACTGCAGCATCTCGAAGTGAAGAATGAGGGAAGGACTTGGGGAGTGTTAGGATGGAGATTTCCTTCATGAAAGCTAACACAGCTGAAGAAGAGATTCTGACGTAACCAAAGCAGAAACGACGAAAATGGGGAAGGATAGTTAAAGCGTTCTGACCGAATCGTTCAAGACACCATTACCGTCCCGGCCAAATTATGCATCGTCTTCTTCCTCCTCTCCGGCCGAACGCCGTGGCGCATTGCATTAAGCGCACATTTTTTCACCCAAAAAAAAAGCCAGGAGCATACACCGAGACGATTTTATTTGGATTTTGAAACATTCGTGACGAACCGATGTTGGGCCTTAGGTTTAAATGTTGGATGGGCTTAAAAATGGGCTTACTCGGGCCAATTAGAAAGTGAATCGGACCGAGTCATATCCAAGTCGGACCGATTCAGTTTTTCTTAAACACAAATTCATACGGTTGTTCGACAAACACTTATATTTTTTTAACTTTTGAGTGATATCTCTTAGTTTTTATATATTAGGAATGTCAAAAAATTTTATGCGATGAATTGTATTTATTCTTTGAGATTTTTTTAATTGTTTTTTATAAAATCAATTAAAGAGGGTTGTGTTAACACGATTGAAAAAAAAAATCATTGTGTTGTACATATAAACCTGTCCCTGTCCCCCTGCCGATGAGCTGGTTACCGAACATCATAAAGGGAGAGCATCACCGGGTACATAAGTGTAGGGGTGTCAATTTGGGCCCGAGGCCCGAAGTCCGGTCCGGCCCAGTCCGAAAAATAGCGGACTTCGTACCGAAGTTTCTTGGCCCGAAAAAAATTGGGTTTTTTGACCGGACTCAAATCGAGTTTCGGGTTCGAGTCGGGCCGGTCCAAAATCCTGAAAATTTAATAAAAAAAAGAGAAAAAGGAAAAAAAAATCATATTTACAAAGGGAGGTCCGCGGGCCGGTCCGGTCCAATCCGAGTTCGAAATGCATAGGGCCGGACTTCATACTTAATTATATAGGCCCGAAAAAATCCGGTCAGCCTGAGCCCAAGCCCGAGCCCGAAACTTTCGAGTCGGGCCAGCCCGATTGACACCCCTACATAAGTGCATCTCGTGATACATATCTTACAACCAAGAAAAACCAGGGGTGTCAATAAAAACTGAAGTCCGAAATTCGATGGTTCAAAAAATTAAGGGTTTGAATTTAATAATATAGGCCCGATAAATAAATGAACGGGCCGGCCCGACCCGAAAAAATTAAGACTCGAATCGAGTCTGACCCGAGATATGCCAGACCCGTCCATTTAGCCCGAAAAAAATATTAGAGGATTATATTTATAATTTCACTCGAGATCTCATATCACACAATATTAAATAATTTTTTTATTTAATATTAAATAAAATATTATATAATAATATTTATTTTTTATTAAATAGAAAAACCTGAAACCTGGCCCGAATCCGTGTGAAACCCTATAGGATCGAGTTTCGGGTCACCGATATATGATCTAAAAATAAATGGGCGGACCAACCCGACCCGAAAAAATCTAAGCCTAAACTAAACCCAACCCGATTCTGACCCGTCTCGCATATTTTACACCCCTAAGAAAACCCCGGACAAAAAGAGATAAAAGGAAAAGTACTGGATGGAAGAAATAAAAAAAAAGCCTGGAATTTAAACCCAAAAAAAAAGCCAGGATCAAGGGAAGAAGAGAGAGATGGAGCAGAGGAAAGTTGAAGATGGAAATGAAGTTATTGTAATCTTCTTTGTGCCTCTATTCCTCGAATGGAACCAAGGAAGTGCCTGAAATTTGATGTAATCCCCCTTAAATCAGTGATAAGGAAAGATCCAGAGCGCGTGTGCCTTATAATAAGCAATCGTAGAGGTTCTCAGGCCGGCACCAATCGTAGATGCTTACACAATCTCTTTCTGTGCATGCAGGAGCTAAAGATCAAGAAACTCAACTCCGACAAAAGCTTCTCCAGTGATGGCTTTTATTCAGTCTAATTGGATTATAGCAATCGCCGTTTTTTCAATTCTTCAGATATGTTGAATGTCATATCATGGAGTTAACTCTGCATGTTTTTCTGGTACATGATTAAGTTTGGTTCCTTCAGTGACCAACGTTTATACCCAAAAACAGAAAAAAAAAATGACAACACCAGAGGCACTACAGACTCGTTTCACTCTCTCGCTCTTTAGTCATCTTCAGCTGTTGGCTCCACTTCTCCAAAGAAATCCCACCTCATAAACTGCGTAAGCCAACTTGGAGTTTCATTTTTAAATCAGAAACCGGGGTTTTGACTAGTGGATCAATGAGCGTCGGTTATGGAGAAACCCCAAACTGGAACGCCTGCCAGGTTGCAGGCTCAAAACGTCGGCGATAACCCTTTACCAGCAGGCAGCAGGTTTCGAGGAGTTGGTAGAAGAGGGGCAGCTGACTTGTAACCCATGGGAAAGCCGTGAATATAGTAGCAACGGGCTACAGTATGGCCCATCATTCCACAATGAGTGCAAATGGGCTTGGGCTTATCGTGGTTTGGGTTTGAAAGTTTAGATCTGTTTGTGGGCTGAGTGTTTCTAGGGTTAGGATTAGAAGAAGAAAAATAAGGCTTAGGTCGAAAAGAGGGAGCAGAAATCTGGAAGGCAGCTTGCTCCGACGAAGAACCAAAAGACAGACGCTGCTGCTCTTCCTGAGAAATAAGATTATAGGCTTTGGTGAGGTTCGGTAAGGGTTCTTGCATCAGAATCTGCCGACGAACGGCGCTGTAGGAGTCGTTGAGGCGCATCAGAAATTTCACAACATTGTTCTTCTCAAACAGAAGACTCCATTGTTCAGGGAGTTTGCAAGAGCATCCTCCACAAGTGCAACCCCCACAGGTGCAGCCACCGCATGTACACACTGGAAACGGCTCGAAGTTGCGTAGTTCTTCCCATAGCGAGGTAAGTTTCGTATAATAGCTGTTGAGATCTAGTGATCCTTGGTGTAAAGTATCCAACTGATGTTGAATATTGTACACCTTGGACACATTCCCTTGCTTGAATCTGTTCTCAAGGCTACGCCAAACCAGGTGTGCATCATCAAGATAAACAATCAAGCTCGCGATTTCAGAACTTACAGCGTTGGTTAGCCAGGTGCAAACCATGTCGTTCGTGCGAGACCAGAGGTTGGCGTCAGGGTGATCCGCCGGAGGTTGGGAAACAGAGCCGAGAACAAAACCCATTTTGTTTTTGGCGTTTAAAGCCTTGAGGATCGCTCGAGACCAAACACTGTAGTTTGATTCGCCTACCAACTTTTCAGGAACGAGTTGGAGGTTCGAAGAATCAGCCGCATGAAGGTATAAAGGGCTAGAATATGGATCTGAAAGAGAATAAAGCATGGGTGGAAGAACCGGAGGTGCAGGAGGAACATGGGGATCTGAAGAAACAGAGGCGTTTGAAGCAGGGGAATCAGTCATGGATAGTGCGAAGAAGAAGCAAAGAAAAGAAGAACAGCGGAGCTAAAAAGATTGCTCTGATACCATAACAAGTTCTCGGAGAGTAACAAGAGAAGGGTTTTCAAAATATTCTGCTTGCCTTTCATTACTGCTCAACCATTGTATATATACACTTTGTAAATGAATAAAAATAAATGGAAAACTAAATACAATTGCAACAACCCTATACACCTATCTGTCAGCTATAGAACACGCAAGGAAAAAGGTAAACATCAACCTCCATTGCAGTAATAATATTCTGCAAAAAGTAAAACAGAATAACCTCCATTGCATACTTGATAGTACCCCTTGCAACTGGAAACATTTTGTGAACAGACGACTATAGTTGCAACTTGCAAGAAAAAAGTCTTTTTTTTTTTCTTTTTTTTTTTCCGGCATTCGGATAAAGCAGTAAACAAATATCTATTCCCGCAGCCACTAAATATCTTCCACATGGTTGGTCTAATTTTCCCGGAAAAGGAAAATATTCACCCGGCTCTTCCCCTTCCGTCGTCAGCCCGGCTTGAAAATTCTCTCTCCGTCATCCGCTCTACAAATAAGCCTTTCTTTCTCTTCCTGCACCTCTAATTTACTTTTTCCCCAATATATTCTTGTCACAGATGACATCGTTGCTTCCGAATCTCGACCTGATTTCTACACCCCTTGTCTTGGAGCTCTGCTCTCGTCCTCGGCAATGGAAGCTCTTTTCCTTCGGACTCTCATCCCTTCCCAGAAGCACCAAAAACTCGTCATTCCTTCCGTTAGGGGCCGTCTATACTCACGTGGGTTCATCTGAAACTGCAGCAAAACCCACAAAATGGAGAGAAAAGCAGGAATTAGCCGAAAGCGACGCCATTTCCGTCCTCAATGAGAGGATTCGGCGTGACCTCTGCAAGAGAGAGACCACAAAACCATCCATGGACTCAGAGGAGGCTGACAAGTACATTCAAATGGTGAAGGAACAACAACAGAGGGGTCTGCAGAAGCTCAAAGGGGACGGGCAAGGGCTGGGGGGTGGTTTTAGCTACAAAGTTGACCCTTATAGCCTCCGTTCCGGCGATTATGTGGTGCACAAGAAAGTTGGGGTTGGCCGTTTTGTAGGGATAAAGTTTGATGTTCCCAAGGATTCATCAGAGCCTGTTGAATATGTCTTTATAGAGTATGCAGACGGCATGGCCAAGCTTCCCCTTAAGCAGGCCTCGCGTTCGCTCTACCGATTTAATCTGTAGGTTTTCTTTGGTGCCCTTTGTTCTTCCACGGTCCACGGCTCTCAGTGTATGCGTTGTATATGATTTGTTTCCCACTGAATCTTAAAGCGACCGGCTTTACATGGCCTAGCTTGTGAAAAGAGATTGGCAATTATTTTGAAACTAAGCGAATTGTCCGACATTTAAACTTTGATATGTCCGTGCCTGTGTTTCTTGTTGTATCTCATTCCAAATTTTGTTATATTCCAGTCCGAATGAAACCAAACGGCCACGGACGTTGAGTAGGCTGAGTGACACTAGTGCGTGGGAAAGAAGAAAGACAAAAGGCAAAGTAGCAATCCAAAAGATGGTTGTGGACCTAATGGAGCTGTATTTACATCGGCTAAAACAGAAGAGACCTCCCTATCCGAAAACCCCTGCGATGGCTGAATTTACTGCTCAATTTCCTTATGAGCCCACACCAGACCAGAAGCAGGTAATTTTTCTGTCTTAATGTAAGGCCCTGGTACTGAAATAATTTTCCTTCTATATTCCACTTTTTGTGCGCTGCTTCTGGTAACCTCTCAACTGTACTATTATGAGCTAGTAGACATTCGGCTTAGCGTAGGTGAGAGGACAGATGGCTCTGATCACTTGCAATTTGTGATAAAGTGTTCTTTGCCTGCCTGGGTCTATGCGGCAGGCTTTCCTTGATGTCGGGAGGGATTTGACACAGAGAGAAACTCCAATGGATAGGTTGATCTGCGGAGATGTAGGTTTTGGTAAAACAGAGGTTGCTCTTCGCGCCATCTTTTGTGTGGTCTCAGCAG